TATTTTTGTATTTTTATCATTCAATTCAAAAGACAATGTTTTCAAGAAATATGACAATTTTTTTTGTTGAAAAATCAATCAATCAATCAATGAAACATAAAGGTGAAAAAAATTATATTTGATCAAAATGACAAATAAATAAGACATCTAAATAAATTCGTGATCATAATTTTATTTTTCGTTCTTTGATTTACCTGAATAACATTTTAGTTGTTGATGTGTTTTTTTTTCGTTATTATCCGATTTAATTATTTTGTAACCTGCAATAGTCAATCAATCAATCAATCAAATCGAAAGAAAACCTATAGGTAGTGTTCAACATTACATTTGATTTTTTTTGTTTGTTTTATCGTTTATCATTTTAAACAGTATTTTTTTAATCTCATCTAATGGATTTCAGTAGTCATAATTTGTACACATTCATTTTTGCATATCATGGATACACGTTCGAAAAATAACAACGAAACAAACAAACACAAATGATAATGATGTATAAAATCATAACACAATAATGATCATCTAATGATAACATAACATTTCAACTATAAATCTCAGTAAATACCTGAAGGATAAATGAATTTAAATCAGTTCATAATTTTTCTATTTACCTATTTAACCATTGAATTGACATATAACACATCATTTTTTTTCTAAAAATATGCAAATATAAAAAGCCAAAATTTAATATCAAGGATCAAATGATTACATCAACAAAAAAAAACATTACACTGTTAATTACAATAATCATTCATTCATTATATAAATGATGATGAAATTGAACATAACATTGATTGATTGGATAGGATTGAATTAATCATTGGTTAAAAATGTAAATGAATTGGAAAATAAAACCTAAACAAAATCATCATCATTATCATCAACCACTAAATATTACAAAGAAATTTCAACTAAAATGTCAATTATAATTGTCGTTAAAAGTATGTTACACACACATTATCATTAAATATTCAACAACCAGAAAAAAAGTTTAGTTTGATTTAGTCCAAATGAAATGTGCGTGGGGGGAGAAAAAGGGCTTAAACCAGCAATATTCATTTCACTGCTAAATCTGTCGATGAAAACAATTTCACAAGAATGTTGTCTACAATCGTAGATTTTATTCAATCAAAATAATTATGATGAAGATGATGATACAGTTCGAGTTTAAATCATTTATTCATTTTCATAATGATGATGATGAGTGCAAACACTTAGAGACAGACATTTCGATTTGAATATTATTGATTAGGGACAAAAACATTGGATCTTTTAATTTTTTTTTCACTGGGCAAAAAAAACGAAATTAAGGCTATTTGACAAATATTTTATAATATCAAAGAAGAAGAAAAAAATGAATTTCATTTCCAATTTTTCATCCGATAAATATTTGATTGATTATTTCATCAATTTCATATTGTAACCAAAACGATTTATTTTGCAATTTAGTTCGGTTCATCTATTTTTTATTCGTTTAGGCAATTGAGGAAGCGATTAAATCAAAGAAAATTAAAATAGATTCGTTAAGATTATCATGTGAACATAAGATGTATTGATAAATTCGTTTCGATTCAAATCGAATTAAAGAAGAAAAAAAAAGAGTGAGGAAAAAATATATTCATCTTATCTTTTTAACCTTGATCAAATTTTTTTTCTCTTTCCAATCGATTGATTGATCGATTTAAACGAATCCTAATCCGAAACTATGTATATATAACAACTATAAATCAACGAATAAAAGAAATATTCAATCGATTGTTTGATTGATTTGAATATTTTATCCATATAAATGTGAGAAAAACCTATCAACAGGTATGATTTAAATAAATATAATCAATCGATTTTTCGAATCATCATCATCATTTCATTTCATTTCAATTGATGAATAAATGAAATCATATATTTGATTACATCAATTATGAAATTCAGAAAAATATAGGATTTTGTTTTTAAAGCAAATGTAAATAAACACAACACCTTGTTTGATTTTATAACGAAGAACAAAATGAATTAGAAAATATGAATTACCTTAGAATTAATTATCAATGATTTTTTCATTTTGAACGGAAGAAGAGAAAAAGAGAGATATATAGGAAAACCACTTGTTGTCATTCTGAATTTGATTTGTTGAAAATTATATTATTTACTAAGAAAAACAAACATAAACATAATTTCACAGAATATGATGATGATATGGATGAAAAAAAATGAAAATCTTTTACTTTACCAAACATTAAATAAATGAATAGATTTTATTTTTCTTTTGTAAAAAATATTCCAAACATGCGGAACCATAAAATAATTGGAATATTTCGGTTAGCAACAAACTGCTGCTACTATTAATACTATTGTTTGTTGATGATGTCGCTTGAATAACCGTTAATCGTAATAATAATAGTGACGTGAATGAAAATATAATGGATTTTTTTCTTCTGGAAAAAACCATCTGCATGTATGGTAGGTGGGTGTGTGTGCATATATGTCCCTTAAAAAAAATGTTTTTTATTATGACCAATGCTGCTAGGTTAAATGATATTCATTTTGGATAGAAAAAGATAGAGATTGAATCAAAGATTGATCCGTTATAAAATCCTGACGACCGTTGTATAATATGTTCGTGGTTTGATTTGAAAATCAACAATCTTTATTCAGTTGTGCATCATTTGGTTAGGTAGTTTGTTTTTCGAAACCGGCAATTTTGATTCGGTTCATTTGAATTTGAATTGACGATCCTTTATATGTTGGACAAAAAAATTACCGAACATATGTGTGCTATTTAGGACATTGCTCGTGTCATTTTTTTAAAATAATGTTACTGTTGGTTTGTTGGAACATCTGTGTGTGTGTGTGTGTGTATGCATGTTTTCGACAAACGTGTGTATGGCTCGTGGCCAAGTGACATTGAAAAATTTTTCTATTATATCATTGCTTACCTCTATTTGATTTTGAATTTGAATGATGTTGAATACAATAAAAGAGATGTAATTTTTGTTTAAACCGATTGAACCACCGTCAACATTGGATCACATAAAATATTAAGCGTGAAAATGAAAAAAATTGTCTTCGATGTTGCTATTAAATTAAATTATTATCATGTTTTGAATGATAAACACACAATGAACTCAACAATAAAAAAATGATGTTTCAAATAACACGCGTCACACTTTTTCTTCCAAATCAAAGTTTAGCAAAACAGATTGGAAAAATCCAGAGAAAAAAATCAAAATCAAAAGTAAAAAAAAAAGTTAAACGACGAAGATCAGAGAATGTGAAATGTGAAATGGATATAAATGGAAAAAAAATCCGCGCGCGCGAATGAACAGATAACTTGAGCGAAACCAAAAATGCAAAAAGAAAAAAAAATGAAAGAGTACGTGTGCATGTGCGAAATAGAATGGTAGTTTTTTTTTTGAATTGAAGAATCTTGATGCCGTTATTGGATCGTATTGGATTGGATTATATGCCTCTAGTATACCAAACTATGTGTGTGGGTATGTATGAAATATTGTCATTATTTTATGCTACTACCTTCCATTGTATATATAATTGATATTGATGAAGAAAACGATTGGAATGACAAGAATTCTATTACCGTGGCATTGTTTGCGCTCCAAACGGTGTGTATACATAAATGTTTGATTGGGATTTTTTTTCGTTATTGTAAAGTAGTGGTATTTTATGTAATGTGAAGAACAAGATACTGATGATTGGCATGGATTCAAAATTAAAAGTAAAAGAGGAAACTATAGTTATATAGGAAACTATATATAGTTAGGTATACCACTACGAATTTTTGAGATTTTTTTTTCGAAACACACATGCGCATAGATTCAAAATTTTGATAGAATTTTCCGCTGAAATACAAAATTCAAAATGAAATTCATCTCTTCGTTTGTGAGCTCTCTCCCCTATTTTGAAAATAAAACTATTGCATTATTTTTTGTTAATTTCTTTGGTGTTTACCATCATCATCATCATCATCATTTTTGTTCTTTAATGATAATGATGATGATGATGATAATTCGATTTATTGCAAAAAAAAGCATTGCAAAAAAAAAATCCAAGGCAATTTGTATTTGCAACAAAACCTGCAATGATCTAACTAACTTATGAACAGTATTCAATTATAATGGCAATAAGGATGATTATTATTATGATAATTATGGAAATAAGATGACAACAATAACCACCTAAATGGCATTCAAGATTCACGGATATGAAATTCACCTTTTTTTTTATTTCTCACATTTAACATTTCTTCAATGATATACACGCCCTCATCTAATAATATTTTTTTTTTAAATTCTATTCATTGTTTAGCTGCTGGTTGTTACAATCCTTTGATAAATCGTAATAATAAAAGAAAAAGAATTCATTTTGTTCAAAATTCTATTTGATACTTGTACGATTTAATAGTAATTTTCACTTCGTGTGTATCCATCATTCGACATATGGTATAAACACATTTGCCAATTTTTTTTTCATTCACTATTATTCACATGTTCAAATGTAATATTAATTTGCCAAAGTGATGGTTGAATAATAGCAAACATAAATGTAAATATAATACCGTTATGCATATAATATTACGGCTGGATATTTAAACATAGCTAATTTTTCAAGGACAAAAAATTTCAAAAATAAATCAATTAAACATATCGGAAATAAAGCGGACAACAGGAAAATAGATTCTAATTTTTTTTAACTTATGAAATTGTGAATATTAAAATTTTCAACCAAATGAGAAAAATCTTTCAATAAAACAAATGCTGACATCTGTCAGGCTTGAAACAAATTTTTTCCAAAAATTTTGAATTCTTACATAATCAAATCATAACATTTTAAAAAAATAATTTCTAATCGATATAAAAGTTCAAATTTTCTCGAATTGAATGAGAACAAAAAAATTTGTCGATCGAATTGTAAATTATGATTGTAAAGAAATTGATTTTATCATTCCAACTGTTACTGTTTGTGTTGATCAATGCCGATAATTCCTCAATATCGGAATTGAATATCACAAATGTTATCGGCAATGAATTATCAACCAGTGGTCAAAACATGACTTTTATTTATGAAACAAAGCCGTTACAATTTCTACTTTCATCTAGACCAATGCTAAATATAACATGTAATGATGAACGTAATAGTATTATTGCCAATAAACAAGGTCTCGCAAACATTTTAAAATGTTGTAGTCAAATATTGATGTGTCAATGTTTTGAAGATCATTGTAACAACGATCCGGATTATAAAAATGGAATATGGTGTGAACAGGTGCGAATACATGGTTGTAAAGTGGGTGCAGATTGTGACGGATTAAATCTCGACACTAAAAAATGTAACGCATTACCAGAAGTAGGTAAGTGGTTGTTTTACTTACTGATTGCTATTGGAGTAGCAATTGCTTTTGCTATTCTCGTATTGATATGCATGATTGGTTATAAAAAGTTTAAAGCATTTAAATCCAATAAAAAAACTGGTTCACAATCTCACATACGAATGGCAATCGCATCCAGTCCAAATGTCACCAGTCAAGTGATGTGTGTAGACACAGCAAACCCCTCACAATATTCACAAAGTCGTGCTTCATCAATGAGTAAAGCAAAAGATTCTGGGACCAGTTCAAAGTCGGGCTATAATAGTCGTGGTTCAAGTAGACAATCGGATCGTATGTCAAAATTACCGCAACAACAACAAACTACTAATCACGGACAAAAATTTAGCAGAGATGCAATTAAACCTACTAGAAGTTTTCTTCAAAGAGCTGTATTATAATAAAAAAAATGTGTGTTGAATTTTTTTTGGTTATAAAATCTATTTTTATTTAATTATATTTGGGAAATACATTGAAAATTAAAAGTGAAAATCAATGCATGCAAATTTTTTTATAAAACAATAAAACAAGCATAACATCCATCAGAATTGATTCTACAAGTTTGAATCTGTTAATGAAGAATATATGTCCACAATTTATACCAAAACGATTGTTTTTTATTGTTTGAATGAATAAATTCGATTTAATTGTATATCTTAAAGTAATCCATGCCTCAAAGCGTTGTTGTTTCAATTGTTCTCGATTCGATGATTGTTGTTGATTTTTTTGTCGAGAAAATCGATACCAATATATTCGAGCATTCCAATTCATAATTAATCGGGTAAAAATTTGATTATAAAATGGAACCAATGAAACGTATGAGTAGATAATTTTTGTATACAGGTATGCCGATCCCATCATGACAATTATTCCTTTATTTGTTGTATTCATTCTTTGTTGTTTACTATAAAATGTACTGCAATTGATGATTGCTGATTTAGCAATCATTTCGATGGCGAACATAATTATTCTCATTGTTTTATCAAATTTCCATGAATCTTGATATAATGTAAGATATTCACAGTGAAAGTTTCGCCAAATTAATCTTCTATTTGCTGTATATTGAAAATCAATTGTTCTAGTGAAAATAGCTTTAGCTATTTGTAGAATTTTTATCAATTGAATTCTATAGAATTCTACTGCGAACAATACAAATTTCATTGCAACAAATAATTGTCCCATCAAATAAATCAAACGAAATCTAAACATGGTCCATAATTGAAGAAATAAAAGCCATTGTAAAAAAGTCATTTTATTATTCAAGTTCAGGTGGATAATGAATAAAACATAGCCCAATGTTAATATTATTGCTGCTAAACGATAAAATAATGTCGAACAATAATCAATAATTCCAAAGAAAAAAATCAGATATTCTTGTAACCGTGTTTCCATTAGATTATTATCATTATATTTTATAAGCAAATCATTCAGTAGAAAATTGTAAGAAAGAATATTCTTGAACATTGAAAACCATAGATAATCTAACATTAGAAAAGTGATGACTAAATGTATGATGATTAGATCTGTTCGCTGAATATCAAAAGTTTCTTCAAAATCAATAAATGATAATGGCAAACCGGCTATGGATTCTGGTCGATTAATCATTGTAAGCATGACGGAGTTTAAAATCACGGAAATTATAGTGATCCAAACGGCCCATTTAAATGTTCGATATGTCCAACGAATATGTCGTTTTCGATAATCAATGATAGAATAATCCATACGAAGTAGATAATAGTTAAGACATTTGAAACATTTATCAAAAATGTCACTGATGCCATTTTGCGTCGAAATATTTCGCTTGATGATTCTAGGATAGTACATGATTTTTATTGTTGTTGATTCACAAGTCCAACTGTAGGACAAAAAAGAATAGCTGGTACGTAATTTATATCAATTTAATTATTTGAAATAATGATCATTATAGAATAAAAAACAATACTTTCGGCTAAGATCCATTAGTCTTCGTCGCCTTGGTGAAATTTTAATTTATCATTGACAACAAAAATAAAAAATTAATTATTTTTCTGCAATTTTCATAATGATTAAACAAATAATAATTTAATGGATCACATCGAAGCAAATATGAAGAAAAAATGGTTAAAATTACAAAATAATTTGAAAAATTGAAAGTTTTTTATTTTTTTGTAGTTGTTGTGTTTCATTCAATTTATTATTATCGGCAAAAAAACAATTTACGAATTTATAGAAATTATTTGACATCGACAACGCTAAATTATTCTTATATACATTTATAAATCGAATTGCTATTTTTATAAATCATTGTCGTCAGATCGAAATTTATCATCATAATCATCACCATCGGGAAGTAAAAAAACGTTGAAAGTAACGTAATTCACAGACCATATGTTTAGGATGGCTGGCACTATAAATAAGAATTGAAACAATTTTAATCATTTAATAAAGAAGGACAACAACAAAAAATTACCTCCGTAAATTATCGTAGAAACTTTTTAATCTATCATGGCTGATATTATATCCCTCTTTCTGTATTTTTTGATATAGATTTTCCGTTGTATATTGTAGATATCGATCAAAAAACTGTTTAAATTAAGAGGAAATAAAACCAAACAAAATTGACAATCGTTTGTCATTCGATTTTTTTTCATGTTTATTCAGTTTTATAACAATCTTACCTCAGGGTATTCTTTTTTAAACAACCAGATCGCCTCGACCATATCCGGTATAAAAAAGCTAGGCAATTTAAACATTATTGAATCGATCAATGAATAAAATATATTACGACCAAAATCGGCTGCCAAATATTGTGTGGAAACTAATGGATGTCCTAACTGTAAAAATTTAACAAAAAATTTTGTTATCGATTCATTTGCTTCTTTTTGTGGCAAATAAATGGACATAATGGCCAAGCTGATAATTCCATTTAATGTTTCAACATTTGTCATAAATTTTTCGGGAAGCTTGGTCATCGTACGTGTACATAATTTGAAATAATCGTCAACCGTAAAAGGATTAAGATTGAGATTGTTTTCATTTAGAGAACCAAACGTAGCCATAGAAAATGCCTACCCAAAGGCGAAATGATTTTTAAAAAGATAATGATGAAAATTTTTCTTTTTTTTTATAAAAAAAGGACAAGAAAAATATTTCACTATAACTTACGTTGAGCATCCGAATTAAGCCATCGGCCAAAATTTGATTATTTGGATCCGCAAACTCATCGACCAAAACGGAAGCAATATATAGAAGGGAAGAATTGCTTGGAAAATTTTGATATAATGGAACGATATGATCAACGATAGGCTGCAAAAGATATAAAGGTTTCATTGAACGAATAATACAACGAATACAACGTGAACAATGTTCAATCACTTGTGAATCGATCGGGGCGAAATGTGTAATGGATTCTTTCAAAAATGGCCATATATTATCACGAATGTGGGCATGTATCACAGTCGAATTTTTGGTCTTTTCGTTCGGAGTAAAATTTTTGAATGCTGCATAGATATTGTCAATGATTTTCTCCCATTTCAGTTTTTGTTCTTCTATCGATGATTTTTGATTCAATACGACCTGAATTTTGTCAAGACAATTTTGCAATGATTTTTGAAATAAAATTTCTTGTTGCTCAAATTTTTCATTATTCTGAATAGACAGTATCGCTGTACAGCAGGCCATAATCGGTACACCTAACTCAACACGATCTTCAATTAGTTTATAGATCTGTTCCAGATCATGAAATAATTTGGAAATCCAATCAAAATCAACAATGTTATTCATAGTGCTCAGTATTTGTTTTAAAGCGATTGCAGCTTTTATCGATAATTTGGTTTGCTTGATATGATTGGTGGTAATATTATTAAGCAAGAACATTATGACTGGTTGTAAGAAATTTGGATTATCATTGACCCATTCATCTAGTTCGCCAATCAGATCACAACTCGTGGCATAGATCTGTATATGTACCTGTTCGGCACCGGGTTGATTGATCAAATTGAGAATGTGATTAATCATTCCGGATAGAACTTCATTTTTGTGTGGATTTTCAACATCGATACCTTCAGAATAGGCAATACAATACATGATATATAAATGAGCTTCAATAATTTCCCACGAAGTTGTTGGCCTGAAATTATCCATAACATTCATTGAGATTGTATAATTAACCCAATCAAAGCACACACAAATTTCTTGAATTAGTTCATGGATTTGAGATCGATAATCATATACATCGGATTTTTCATCAATAATACTTTCTGAATCAACTTCTAAACGACAAAGACGTGTCAAAGATGTAAATAAATGATTGTAGTATGGAGCGAATTTAGTATGATCATGTTTTCGAAGAACTTCCGAAAAATTATACCAAAAACTGAATGTAATTTCTGCCACTTCAAATTCATAATGCCCAACACATTTAAGAATTAAGTGCATGATTTTCAAATCGATTTGATCATAAATTAGAAATTCGATAGTTGAATTGCCTAATTCGACAAAAATTCTTGTCAAATCTCTTAATTTTTCAGAATCTTCAGTAGCCAATGCATTATCATAACATGATTCCAAAGCATAAACTAATTCGATAACTTCAACACGTATATCGGCGAAATGACTATGTGCTTCACATTGATAAATCACTTTGCATAGAGCATCTGATGCTTTCTCATGTGTATCAACCGAACAATCGGGATTTCTTAAAAATTCAAAAGTGATAGCCAACATTGAACGAATAAGATCGACATTATCTTTGGTAAAATTTAGCCAAGATTCGAAACATGAAAAACATTTTTGACTAATGAATTCCTGTGTAATATTATCACAAGTACGTGACTCTTGAAAACAGGAAATCAACAATTGAATGACCATTGCAAAATTATTTGACATATACTGTTCAAGTTGATCACGTCGTGTTTTAGGTAGCTTAAACATTGGTCTACTTTCATCATATTCCTGTGCGATACATATGAGAATTTCAATAAATGTACATTTGGGTAATTTTTGCGAAAGCTCTTCAAATGGATTTTGCCAATTATCATTGATATAAACTAAAAGAAAATTTGAATCATTCAAAATAAGTTAATTTTAATTTTTTTAAAATACATTTTTTTTACTTACAAATATAAGTTAGAGAGAGACAAAGCTGAGTTTCGATCGGTTTCATTTTCATATTGATCAAATGATTAATGAGAGAATTTTTTAATGAATCATAACTTTCAACTGGTAGTTCAGTGTATGAATGTAAAATTTTTGTTTTCAATGTTTGTGCAGCAAAATAACATGATTGAAAATCAATTTTATTTATTAACAATTGATCGGATATTTTCCATGCAAATATGGATCGTTGAAATTCTTCTAACCATTTTGAAGCCAATTCTTTGCATTCTTCTTGTTCATACATTGCTTTGATTAAAGAATATACTTGTTCCAATTTGGGCATTTCTGTTATGGAAAATCCAGAATTTGGAGCTATTACAGAATTATTATTGTCGGAAATATGTTGGTTCATTTTTATTCTATTGTCTTTACTAAGTCAATCACAATTATGATAATACAATAGAATATCTTGATGCACGATGAAAAAGAATTTGACAGCAAAAAAAGCTTAAACGATCATCAAAGATTTATAAAACAAAAAAAAAATTGAATTGAATATATTCACATGCATGCATGCTCATGTTTTTTTCGGTAAATCACATTCATAAACGACGTTTGATTTACTTCGAAGGATAAAGAAATCGGAAACCGGCTTATTTTTTTTCGTTTATTTTTCACCAATTTCAAAATCAGTTTTTTTATATTCATCATTTTTTTAATCCAGGGGAAATGATTATAAAGATAAATAGATTTTTTTCTGTCAATTGATTGGCTACCGAAAAAAACGTCAATTTTTTTTTCATTTTGCATAATCCATTACGTAATATAGGACGGAGATCAATTACAAGGTTTAAAATTGCTACAATAATTAGACAATGATTACCTCTTTTGTTTTTTCTTGTGTTTCGCTATTTTGTAATATTCAAAAAAAAGAAAGAAAAATTTTCATTCCAAATGAACCTTTTCATGTTGGTTTCCGATATTGGTGGTCTTTAAATGGTTTATGTTTTTATTTGCCATTTTCAATCGTCAAGGTCAAGAGAAATCGACAGAAAAATCCAAAACTTTCAAAAAAAAACCGACTATCAATTGTTTGGATTTTTTTTTTCGCTGACCAGCAACTTTTATTACTTCTTGTTAATGGAAAAACAAGAAGAAACAAATTTAATTTGATTTTGTCTACCTGTTGTTTGGTGTACAATTCACCTAATTTTGTTTTTTTTCTTAGTTTCTTCCTTTTCTTCATTTCTATTTCCGAATGACAACAAACATGTAATTTTTAAATTTCAAAGTTGATTTTTTTTATATATAAAGTTATCGCACAAAAAGACACCGGATATTAAACCGCATACACTTCCATCCAATGTAATAATATTATCATCTGATGTATTGTATATTGCTTTTCATACCTGTAATATGTCAAATGTATTCAAGCTTGAAATAAAATGAATGATTGTTCGAATCAAAAAGAAAAAAATGTCAAAATTATTATCAAATATGAATAAAGTTTTGTATGCAAAGAAGAAAATTAAAATTAAAATTTGATTTCCTGATCTACATATCGATAATTATGATGATGATGATGTTAATCATTTGAACTTTATTGATCAAATAATAATTTTTCAATAAAACATTTTCTTTAATCATTTTTTTCCAGTTATTTTGAAAGTGCCATTGAATTTTTTTGTTTTTGTTTTATTAAACAAATGATCAGTTAAATTTTTTCGACCGAATCAAATTAAAAAAAAATGATTCGGAAGAGAAATGATGATGTCGAAAGCTCAAAAATAATAGTAGCAGCCTTTTTTTCAAATTTCAAATGTTGAAATTTTCAACAATTTTTTTTTCTTTTGTTTTGAAGTTAACAACCGGAAATCATGTAGAGGTCGTATCGTATTGGTTATTGTATCAAACGTATTTGTCGTATTGAAGGGAAACGGATTGGATGGAGCTATACATTTCTTTTTTCTTTCTTTGTTTTTTGTTTAATTTTCTTTTCTGTTTTTACAATCTTTTTCACTTAGTTTATATTATTTTTAAAAATACCTTTAAATCTAGCCGTTTCAAATCAAAAGTTTGTCATTTGGTTTTGAGCTTTCTTTTGTTTTGTAACACACCAAAAGACAAATATAAAACAACAACAAAAACTTTTATAACATCAACGGCGAATATTGTCGACCATTTTTTGTGATTATTGTGAAGTGAATTTTTTTTCTTCTATTCGTTTGCATCTTAATGCAATATATTGTGTTCATATTCATCAAATATTGTTTTAGAAAACTATTCACAATCCACAAAATGCCAAATCTATACGGTCTATTATGTTGTTTGTTTGTAATTGTGTTTTCATCGAATATCAACAATATTTATGCCCAAAATGAATTCGACTTGGGAAATCTTGGTGATGGTTTTGGTTCCGGCGGTGGGGGTGGTGGTGGAGGAGGACCGGGAGGATTAGGAGGCCTTGGAGGTCTTGGAAATATCCTTGGAGGTGGTGGACCAGGTGGTGGCGGTTTTCAAGGTGGTCCAGGTGGCCTTGGATTCGGTCTTGATGGTGGCCGAGGTGGAGGTGGTGGTAATGTTCTTCAACAATTTGGTGGTCTTGGTCAACAAGGTGGTGGTGGTGGCTTTGGTCAAGGATTGGGCCAAGGATTAGGTCTTGGCCAACAAGGCGGTGGTGGTGGCTTTGATCTTGGAAATCTTGGACTCGGGAATCTTGGACTTGGTGGTGGTGGCGGCGGCGATGGACTTGGCCTTGGCGATCTTGGTTTAGGAAATCTAGGCGGCGGAGGAGGTGGTGGTGGCGGCGGTCTCGGTGATATTGGTGGCCTCGGCGGTCTTGGAGATATGGGTGGTTTTGATCCAATCGGAATGCTTGGCTAAGTAATCAATTAAAAATTAATGATCGAATAAATCGAACCGGAAATATATCATCGCCGATGGTGACACGAGTAGCCGGCCATATTAATTTATTCAGAATTTTTTTCAAATAATGCTCATGTCTAGAATTTTTGTTTATTATTCATAATGTTTAAAAACACCACTCACCCATCAATTTTCCTGTTCCATACCTGAACCTATTTAATTATTTTTGTCTACTTTTACTAAACAAATTGTAATGTCGTGATTTGAGAATATAGGGATACATGCAAACAGACAATACAAAAAAAACCATCTAATGAACAATAGCATCCATCAACCATGATGATAAAATAAAAATAGTTGTAAATAGCTTATATTCAACACTGGTCCGAAAGAGAACTTGTTTGAAAGATGATGTGACCTAATTCTAACAAAAAAAATGACCAAATGAAACCTGAATTGAATCGTTTTTTTTATTTCATTTCTCGTCTATCATTCGTATGTAAAGGTCTGACTTTCTTTTCTAATCATCATATCCTATTTGTAGAACATGAAGATTTATGCAATTGTCATCCACTTGGTAAGTTTGATTGTTTATCAATCTGAATAATTTTTGATTGTGTTTTAATATTTGAATAGATCTACATCTTTTTGGCTATTATCAATCTATTGGCCAATGTTGACGCCGATTCCGGTGATTTAGTTACACCTTGGACACCATATCGAACACGAACTAAGGCACCACCACATTTTTCCTTATATGATTTATTTAATTTGCCGAAAGGAGAAGTGGCCGCAGGTCAATACATTCGAAGATGTATTACATGCGATATGCCACGATTATTCAAAGCTAAACATTGAATATGATGATGATAATTGAATTTGAGTGAAATAAAAAAGAATTTGAATTCGAAATTGCTATACATTGTATATGAAAAGCTCAATTTAGTCATTTTTGTGTGTTGTTTTGATTGACCTCAACGTTACAATTTAACGCGTTTGAGAACAGATCATTTGATCAAAGTTTTTTTTCATTTTCTTGATCGATTATTTTTGCTACTATCAATTCAATTACGATGAATGTTGTCGAAATCAAAATCGAAGGAGATAAGGCTGTGGTCAAGAACCCAGAAATGTTGAAAGGACGAGGACAAACTGTGCCGTATGATCCTCGATTTCCAAATACCAATCAAACAAGGTATACTCGACATTGTTTCAGATTCGATTGAATAATACGTTTAATATCCCAATCATAGAAACTGCTATCAAAATTATTTGGATTTTTTCCGATGCCAGAAAGTTAAAGGTGAAGATTATGAACCATGTTCATGGTATAAATTTGCCTATAATGAATTATGTCCACCCGGCTGGGTAAGTTGAATGATGATGATTATTTATTTTTACTTTTTGAAAACAAACATTTAAATCTAGATCGCTAAATGGGACGAGCAACGAGAAAATGGCATCTTTCCCGGTCGTATCTAATATGTACGATACTGATCGTATGGCTATGAATATTGGTTATTCATTGTAGATTGATTTCCAAATTGATACATTATTATTATTTGCAAAGAAAAATAAATTTGAGATTAAAATAATTATGATTTTATTTTCATTTTATTAGACAAAAATTTTGAAGCAAAGCATCAAGATTTTTTTTTTGATTATTATTTTAGTTAAGTTAGTTTTTGGGGGACATTCAATTTATAGATTATTAGTTCATTTGTTCCATGAGTAGTTCTTGAAATGAAATATCAAAATGTGAAATATGTTCAAGGACTTCTTCATCAGTGGTGAATAGAATTGTCTGTCAATTTAAAGGAAAAATAATTGCAAATTTTTTCTGAACAAATTGCATAATCATACATACATCACCGAAATTTTCCAACGTACCGGTTAGATCGCCACAAGCTTTGGCAATCTCACCACAAAATATTGTTTGTTCATCCAATTTAACTTTTGCATATTTAACGCCTCGATATGAATGTATACGAGATTTATTATAGTTCCATATGCGAATCAATGCAATTGTTGTCGGTTTTTCGAATCGAAATATGATACGTATCGGTAATGCTTTTTTTTCATCAAATCGACATTGCCAAATATGCGAATCATCATGTGTTCGATAGACATTATCGATCAATTTATATAAATCATTATATTCTTTACGATTTTCATCATTTTTCAAAAATACCTATTCAACATTAATTAGAATAAAATTAGAAAATTTATATCTACTAATAATAATTAGAAATTAGACATTTTCAATTGATGGACGATTGCCAAATCGATCCAATATTTCGATGCCATTGAGACCGATGAAATTCTGATCACCCCAATTCTCCATTAATATCAGACATAGTTCAATACCGGTCGGCATTTCCGGTATGATACAGTCTTCAATGATTTTGGTTTTTTCATCAAGTTTTAAATTTTCGATTGATTTGAATGTTGCCGATGTGAATGAAAGTAGATTATCATCATGTATATCTATGACACCCGCAGATTTACTTGGAGTTTTCATTTTAAAATTATAATCAAATGAATGTTCAAATGTTTTTGATATATCTTCCGTATCGATTGGTTGTTTATAATCTTTGATCGTGGTATCATTATCTTCAAATTTCGAATAATGATCAGTAATTGAATCTCCATTTTGATTGACAACAGATTCGCGCAAAGATTCTTTTTTGTATTTAAAATCAGCAATATCACTCATTCTACGTTTTTGACTCAACTCTTCAAACCACTTTGGTCGATTAGTTGTGATATTGTTATCGCTGGATGGTCGAGATTTATTTCGCAATGGATGTATATCGTGATGAAATTCCAATAGCCAGCTGAATATGAAAATATTCATTTGTATTAAAAAATTCTCCTTGTAAAATCGATAATTACCTTGGAATTTGATGCTGTTGTTGTCTATCGTTTTCATTATCATCGATTTCGGTGGTTGTTATAATAATATTGGATTGTTCGTTTATAAATCCATTTGATGATGGAAAAGGCATGTCATTCACAAATATTTATTCGAATAATACCATTCGACTTACCATAAACACTAATCGTTAATGGGACCAACCATATAAACCTTAAACATTTTATCCATGTGAAAACGAACATAAATAGAATAGTTATCTAACAGATATTCTTTATTGTTTTATTGACTGAATGTTTTTGTTTGTTTGTTTGTTTGTCGTGAGTTGTGAATGGTAGTTCGTTTGCCCTTGGAAACCGTTTCGGCGTTTCTATGATTCTTGATGACGTTTACCTGGATAAAATTTTAATAAGTCAATAAATGCAAGTTTTCTTTCTTTTCTACATTATGAAGATTTAAATTGTAACAATGATAGGTTAATGACATTGTTTCATATTCATGAACATCCAATAACCAGGAACTAGCAATTATTCCGAAATAAATTATTTGTTGTGCATTTATATTATGCATGCGCGTAACTTTTGTAAAGTTATTTCCGGGATGAGAAATAAATAAAAAAATTGAAACTATTCTTTGCCAACATATTTCGTTTTTATTGTGATTGTTATATCTAAAAATGAAATAATATTTAATCAAATATTTTTTTCTTAGAATTCAATTTATTGATTCAATGTTTATCAATAGATTGTTGCAACGGGTAACCAAATGGGGATTATCTTAATCAGATTTCTTTCCGAGACAATAACAGTATTAATCGATTAATTCCAATCACTGCGAACGATTTGTCATAGATCGGATCATCAGCATAAATGAGAAATGTAGATGACAATATTTAGGATGAGTGAGTGCTTTGTTTGGGAGAAAAAAACTACGGATGATCTCAATCTAATTTAAACCAAAGCATAATGACATCAAGAATAGTTGAACATTTTGAATCAATTCAAAAAAATATGGGCGCATTTGAATCTTATATCGACGAGGAAATTGTTCATATTGAAACCAATACTATTCAAAAAGAAATGTCCGAAATCAATGTTCTCACCTGTACTATTGATCATAATAATAATCCACATCGTAATCATCCACAGATTCGATCGAATTCGGGATCAAAATGGCCATGTACTGGACATTATAAACCTGAACTTGGATTAGGTCTTTTAAAAAAATTATTCGATACGATCAACACAGGAAATAGCAATGAGAATTCTCAATTTCAAGCAACTAATAAAATCGATGATCTCGACAACAATGTTCATTCAATTCAACAAACGGACCATTCATCATCAATAATTCCAATGAATGATAACTGTGTTCAATTCTACAATGATTCCAATCAAACTTACGACAAAAACAATATCATCAATATTTCTACATCGACTGTTCAAATGACAGTCGATCCTCAAGCAATTGATAACCATAACGGATTTCACAATCAACATTATCATTATGATTATGATTCAAATATAGCATCATCTCCGGACATTTTTCTTACTCATCCATCATCTAATGATCATAATAATTATCATGATAGACAAAATCTGGTACCATCAGTCCATTTGCAAAATTTTTCATCACAATCATTATCACAAAATTATGATCAATTTGTTTCACAACCAGAGTCCCCTGGAACCAATTTTTTTGATAATGAATCTGTTTTTCCACCAATAACGTTAGAATCTCCACAATTAATAATGAATATAAATGAGAATGATCCTAATTTTTTACAGCCTTTTTATTGACTTTTAAAATAAATGAAATCGATACAAAAACAAAAAATAATGCATGTGTACTTATTGTTTGCTTAGGTTTTAAATTATACAATAACAATGTATGAAATCAACGCCGCCCACCTTTATGATGATAGAATTGTTCCCATAGACGTGGAAATTTATTTTTTGCCATCAATGTTTCAAAACTATAAAAATTAAATGTAAATTGAGCGAGGACCGCAAAAAGAATCGGACCATTTTGAATAATAAGCTCACGAAAATGATATATTTCTTCAATCGATGGTGTAGGTTGATTTTCATCGACAACAATAACAGAAAATAATGGTTTATGGTTTTGTTTTTTATTTGCTTGAGATTGATAAATGTTAAAATCAATATTTAACATGGAAACAGGACATTTGGATCCAAGATTATCAAAACAGAGTGGCGCTTGTTGTTGAATTGATTGGAAAAGACTTTCGGTATCCAAAATAGAACCAAGTGGTATCAATGGCTTATGTTTTTGACTATACAATGGTCGAACTAATTGTGATAGATTCGCAGGTCTTGCTGCTTTTTTTACACAATATAAATATGAATTTGTCGATGGTGATAATTCTTCATCAGACCCATCTTTTGATTTAAAATGCTGTATCAATTCTTTGTCCATTTTATTCAATTTTGGTATATTTTCCATTTTCAACGGCTGAATACTGGTAATGATTGCATAGTTATCGTTTGAATTTTCATTATTTGATGTATTGATTTTTTTGGAATCAATCTGATTTTGATCATTATCATTATCATCCATCACAGTTCTTTTGATGCTTTTTGATTGCTGCTCTTTCTCAATGTCAATTTTGGGAATTTCTAAAGGTTTCGAAACAATTTGTTGAACATAGAACCCAATTCGAGATAATGTAGAGAAAATTTTATAAAGTTTAACTTCACGATTATCATGAAGCAATAATTCATAAGCATCTTCAATGCTCAATAAAATATCTAGATAATAAATGGCTAATGATCGACATTCGAGCAGAAATAATGCTTCGAATGGCGTTAAACATTTAGCATTTGGAGTGTATTGTTTCAGGTAATCTTTACCGACGATTTGTACTACTCGTTTTTCAGGATTCCAATTACCTTTGGTAACATTTTTCTTATCAACTAATATTGATATATCATCACGAATTTTCGCATATTTTATATTCAATTGTTCAAGAAGTGCATCGAAATCAATTTCTTTTTCTTCGTCAATTATTTGATTTTTTTCATCATTTTCATCATCATTTTCGGACAAATCAGATTCATCATCATTTGGCACACGAATATAGAAGAAATCACGGTCATTTTGATCAGATTTTTTGACGGTAGATTTATCGGCCATTTCAATGTCCATGGTTAATATCAATTAAATCATTAGTTGAAAATTTCATTTAAAAAATCTTTGACAAACAATCCGGCATGGATATAAATCCATCGTATATAGCGACATCTAACGAATTCATTTTTCAAATTAATTTGAATCTTTGATATTCAACTTCAATATCATTGAAATAATTGTAAATTTGAATAATTTAAATATCAAATTTAATAATTGTTTGTTATGTTAATAAAATTAAATAATGGGATATTTTTACATACAAAAGATATAACCAAAAAAATTATGAAAAAAATTCTTGTAAAAAAACATGAATATGATCAAACAATTTATTGGCAATGATAATGATGATATTGGATCGAATTTTTCCGTTACCCCAATTATTTTATATAAAAGTAAGATGAATAATTATATGATGATGATGATGATATGGATGGGAAAAATCACAACCAAGCAAACTAAAATTTTCAGTTTTTTTTTCAAATTAAAGTTTGCTGAAATGATAATGATGATGATATATTCAAATATATCGAAATAAACGAACAAAAAAACAAAGTTTACAAAATATCACAATCGTTTACGGTTTCCATTATTAGTCGATGATGATTGATGTTTAGCAACAGCAGCAACTTTAGCGGTACCATTTGATTTTACCTCCAACAATTGTGGATAATTTTCAACAATATTGAGCAATATACCATCGATGTATGAACGTAATTTTGCGTTGACATCTTGCTGCTCTCTTAAGGCAGTTTTCAACTATAAAAATGAATGGAAAAAAAACAATTAACAAATGGGATTTTTATGTTTGGACATTTATTTTCAATATGAATATTAATTAATTGTATATTTACCTGTTCCAAATTGAGATCACTGATTTCACTAGCTAATGATGAGATGGCTTCACCTTCTTTTAATAGGCTTTTGCCTTCAATCAGATGATTATTTAGCAATTGTGCGGTTAATTCTTCATTATTCTCTTTTAATGTTTTATTTTCATCTTTTAATATTCGTAATTGTTGTTCCAATTCCGAATGAATACTGCTATACATTTCACTATCATTATCATGATTATTATTTTGATGATTATGATCGTTGTTGTTTACAAATAAATTATGATTGCGTTCGATAGATGATAATTCATAATTAAGAGCTTCAATCAGCGATGAATCGATTGCATCACGTTCTTCATTTTTTAACCGTATTATTTCTTTAAGTTTTCGAATCTCATCTTTTAATGATTGTATTTCATCATTTTTATCATGGATTTCAATTTCCAATTTTTCTTTTAAATCCTGTAGCCGTTCAATTGTTTGTTGATGACGTTTTATCTCTTCTTTGGCTTCAACGGATTCTTTTTGTAGAGAGCAGATTCTCGTAACACAATTTTCAAGTTCTTGTGCTTTTTCACGTTCTAAACGAGCCATTGATTCACGAAATCTTTGTTCAACTTCTTTACGTTTATCCTCCGATTGTAATTCAATGTCTCGGATTTGTTCTTCAAGATAATTGATTCTGAAAATTTATTGACAAATGATTGATAATGACCATGACAACAGTGATAACAATGACAGTTGACATAAAGAAAAGTAAATACAACACAAATTGAAATTATTTTAATGAAAAAAAAATCAAGATAAGATAAGAGAAAATTAAAAAGAGTCTGAAATTAATCACATTGTATATGAATGAATTTAGGAAATGGAAAACATTCGAATTTGAATTGATATAATTTGCCTATTTTTCTAAATGATAACAATTCAATTCGAATAAATCGTGTTTATACACACAAGTATTTGGTCGAGAAAAATACAAACAAATTTCATGAAACAACATTAACGAGAAAAAAAATCATGGAAACATTGGTATGACAACACCCGAAGCAAAACATACAAAAACAACATTTATCAAAACAAAATTCGAAAGAAAATGAAACGATCCTTTAATTCAACAAAACTGTAACAACTACAATAATAATGATAATAATTTAGCTAGAAAACACCGAAAAAAAAACAAAATGTGGCTCACACAGAAATGAAAGAAGAAAAAGAAAATGAAACAACACAAACCATTTTTCGTTTTGTTTTATGTTTCGTGTAACACACACATACACACACACACAAACGATTGCTCTCATGACCATCATTATCATCAACATGGCAATTGTCGTTGATGGTGTTTAGAGTTTGAATAAAGCATATAGGAAAAAGCGAAAAGAAAACTAACTACCAGAACACAACAACAGGTATGTGATTGTGGTTGAAAATATAAAAAAATGGTCTATTGTGTATATGTTTATGTGTGATATGTATGGTTCATCATCATTATTATTATAAACATCAATTTATGTTTATTTTTATTAGAAAAAAATACTAAAACTTTTTTTACACGAAATACGATAAATGTTTCAAATACAAACTAACCACTATTGGCTCAAATGTCTCTATTGAAGATGTTCGAAAACGTTTTTGATATGTTTTTTTGTTCATTCTGGCTATTCTTTATAAATAAATAAATAAAAAAGAGAAACATCGATACTTGGGGAAAAAAAGATAAACATTTGTACCAAACTATTTAAACATCTAGGTTAATATGATATAACAAAGATGATAATATTTATGAGAAAAAAAAACCAATAAAAGCTTTTGAATACAAAATTCAGCTGTATGCACTTTTATCTTTGCTGTAAATCTGTGTACAAATTGTTGGTATTTGAATAGATTTATATTTGTACGTGTTTAAAATCAAATCAAAAGTAATTTTCCATTGAATAGACATGATGGCCTCGAATTGAAAATATAGAGAAAAAACATAATAACAATAACAACAACAAAAAAAAACGCTTGGATTATTTTGTTAGAAAAAGGGTTAAAAGAGATCTATGGAAAAAAATTGGCCTGATTTTTTTAAAAAATTTGTATCAAGTTTTAATATTTAAAATCAATAATCTTACTTATTGTGTAATGTAGAATTTTCTTTTTTCATTGTGGAATATTTTTCTTCATTTTTTTCTTGTCCTTCACGTAGAAATTGTACCTGATCTTGTAATTTTTTCAACTATAATTACAACACAAACCCAAAAAAAAAAGAAAGAAAGAATTTGTTAAATATCTATGTCAAATTATGATCATTAATATACCTTTTCGGTAAGATGAATAATATATTCTTCCATTGAATTATTATCATTGAGCATATTATCGGAATCACAGTTTAGTGAATTATTCATACCATTTAATGAATTTTGTCTATGTTAGGATATTGAGAAAAAAAAATTTGTTAAATCATCATCATTAAATTACTATCGAGTAAAACAGGGTAAACGATCGATGAATTGGAGATTTAAAAAAAGAAAAGAAATACATACGACATTATTTGATTGTTGGAATGTTTATTCTTCATCGGTGTTGATCTATAAATTGACGAAAAAAAACAAAAACATTAATTTCGATAAAAAGAATATTTTTTTTTGTTGTTGAGGAAACATACTTTCGAAAACTTGAATTCCGTATTGAATTTCGTTGTATAAATTTTAATGATGAATGATTATCATTACTACCATTTGTTGATATCGAATTATTATTATTATTATTAAAACTTGTATTACTCGTTATAAATTCATCATCATTAATTAAAACATCATCATCATCATCATCATTAAATTGTGGTGTAAATTCAAAATGTTCTTCATTTTGATCAAAACTATAACTTGAACTGAAAATAATTCATTATTGAATTATAATTGATATTAATCATTTAAATATGTAACATTGAATAATACATACTCGGATGTTTTATCATCGATGAACGACATTTTTTCTTTTCTTTTGTTGTTGCTGTTGTTGTTGGTCGGCTTGATTACACAGTTTTAGTTATTAATTAATAATGATTATGATGATGATGATTATGCGTTTATTGATGATGTGATACAATTACAGTTTAATGACTTTAATTTTCCTATTAAAAGATGATTGTTGTTTTTTAAAAACGATTAATTTTCATTCCGAAAAGTTTTTTTTTATTGGAAAATTCCTAAATCAATAATCGATACAAAACAAAAAAAATAGAATAGATCAAATAACACTGAACACAAAATAAATGATTATGAATTGATTGATTGAATTTGAATGAAAAAAAATGATTCAATCAAAATTGTTTCTTCCAAACTCTCATTTGATGTTTGATTTCATTCACATGATGTACAAACATTCAACAGGTGGCATATTTGATATTTATGAAAATTTTTTTCTGATTATTTTGATTTAGCAGAATATTCAATCGATAGAATGAATGTTTTTCAAGATTTGAATGAATTTTTTTCTTTTTCCCTTATAGTTTGTATGATTGATGATGATAACAAAACAAACTAATGGTGCAAGAGAGAGAGAGAAAATATAGGACACAAGTGAAGTGAAGCCAGTTGTTAGCAAGATTTTTTTTAACTTGTCAAAATAATTTCTCACTCACCATTCACCAACTGAACAGGTATTCGCTGATACAACAACCACCACCACCACCACAATAACCACCAACAATCATCTCATGAACATCTACAACAACAAATGATTTGTTCAAAAATGACATAAAGTAATTTTTTTCTTTTTCTTTTTGTAACTTTGTTCCCATTTTCCGATAGATTTTACAATAATTATTTTGAAAATAAAGGATTATGAAACATCTCAAAAGATCAAGAAAAACATCATAGATGTGATGAGTAAAAAATATTTAAATTCAAAAACATCATAGGTTTTGATTACCAAAGAAAAAAAAGCAAAAATTCTTACCCGATTTTCAATTTACCGTTCAATTTATTGATTGTCAATAAAATAACCGACTTGTTGCATATAGAAATTTATTGTGACTAAAAAAAAAATTTAATTCTAAATTTCAATACATTTTCTTCTATTGTTTTTTTAAAACATCATCATCATTATAATCGTTATCATCATTATCAAATTAAAATTAGAAACACCTATCACATATCAGTATTATGATTTGGCCAATTTTTGGGAAATTTTTTTCTCTATGTCAACTGTTATCTATAAATTCTACGGTAATGATATGGTTTATTATAATTTTTTTACCATCTTTTTTTGTAATTCTAACATCTTAAAAGATTATAATTACAACGAACAAAAAAACAGAGTTGACACTGTGTATCATAATTGATATTGATGTCACATTTTATCCAATATTTTTCTTTCTCACCATAACATCATTGTTATTTATTAATGAAAATAGAAAGATTAGCAAAGTAAACAAAACTTGACATAACTGTAAATTTTTTTTTTAATTTTGAAAATGTTTTTGGGAGTTTTTTTCAGTTAGATTTATCGATATTTTAGAATAACGGTACTATTGATGATATTATTACGTATAATGATGATGTGATTGCATCAGGTTGTTGTTTTTTTTACTCCCTTTTATAAATCAATTCTCAAGATTCAATGTCAAGAGGGTGAGAAGAAAAACTAACGAAATAAAACGCAAGAAAATAAAAAATTAAGAATGAATCATAAGATTCTATCGTTTTACAATTTCAAATGAAATCACATCGTCTTCGTAAATGTAAGACGCACTTGAATTTCATCTTTTTGTTTCTGGCTTCAATTCGTTTGTTTTTTTTCCGATGAATTTATCCGAATTCATGATCTTTTGATCTATTGATGAATTTAATCTTTTTTTTTCGTATATTAAACTTTTGTTTTTTTTGGATCACAACTATATGATCTTTTGGCTTCCAAAAAAAAGCATCCAACAAACATTTTAAATGAAACAGAAAAAAAACTGTTTTTTTTTTTGCTATATCTTTGGGAAAATTCCCAATTAATGAAATTCATAAATAAAACGCATGCGTAATTTTTACCCTATCCACACAAAACACAAACAGACAAACAATTTACATTATTTAAGTAAAAAATTCAGGGTAACAGCCTTCAACACTATTGTTTTCCGTATTGGGAAAGATTTTTTTTCATTCGATATACATTTACAAAATTGCGTGGTTTAATCAAACAAGGCCTTTTGTCTTCATCGTCGTCGTAGTCCTCAAATATTTCGTAAACAAAAAATAGTAAGAAACAAATGAATAAATTCTGAAAAGAAAATGTTTGAAATTCTCAAATAATGACTGAATGATGTTGGCAATTTAAAATTTTCATTTTAAATTCTAAAGTTCATTTGCTTCAAAGATTCATGTTTATTCAATTTATTTTTTGTTTGCTTGGTTATGTTTAATCAGAATTTAAATATAATTCATACTAAATATCGTATCACATTTTTATCAAAATGTCCTAACCCTGCATTTATCATCATCATGCGACGAAACAAAAAACTTGACAATATCATTATCACACGATTTGTGTTTCAATCATATAATCATCATATGAATTAATCACGAAAGAAAAAAATTGTTATATTTTTCTGTCAAAGAAAAAAATTTTAACAATTCTTGATTGTAAGGAATCTTTTCTTTTCTTTTTGTATTACAACGAACGACAATGTTATTGCTGAATTTCTAAAAGGGGGGAAAAATATCTAATTTATTTTCTTAAACATCTTTTTTTCTCTTCAACAACAAGACAAATGTATGGAACGCCTACAACTAATTTTGTTTTTATTCGCGAATTTTTAAGTTTTTTTTTTGATAGTTAAACCAAAAAACAAAAACAAAACGAAAAAAAAATCTTGCATTTGTATGTGTATACTGTTGTTTGACTTGTATACATTTACAATATATTGTATAGTTATCGTCGTCGTCGTCTGATGCTCATTGCTTCAATATAGTTTTTTTTTGTTAAGTTTCAATCGTATTGCATCGCGTTTGTTGTTGCCGTATCATTATATTTGTTTTTCCTTTTAATTCAATGGCAAAAATGCTTTAGTGTTTGTGATTGTTTCTTCAACATTAATAATTTCATCATATTTTTAATTTTTTGCATGCATTGATCATCATCATCCATTATCTTCATTTTATATATTTAAACCCAAAGTGATTAATCTAAATTTTTATTTTACAATCAATTTCATCATTATTATTAGTGTTTGATAATTTTTTTTCTTTACAAAGTTATATCAAATAATGTGATTCTAATATTTTATTGAAAAAACACAATTTTTGTCTCGAAAAAAACCAAGTCATAAAGGTATGTTATCGTTTTGTATATTTTTTGAAATAGTTTCATTAATCAGCATTTGCATTTGATCAGTTTTTATAATTATGGATGAAACAAAAGATGAAGCATCAACACCGAAAAATTCTTCAGAAGAAAATGATAATAATCCAATAATTGATCCACAAATATCAGCATCATCATCATCTAATTTGAATCCCATTTTACCAGAAATTTATGTTCCACATACATCGCGTGAATTGACTCCTGAAGAGGTAAGTTTCTATCATTCTTTATTACTTGAAAATTCTTACATTATAAAAAAAACTGAACGAATAATGACCTTGTAATATGTTGTTTCGCCTCTATTCATTGTTTTATCAAGTTACGACGCAAACGACTTTCAAGATTGGCTGGTGCTGGAGCATACCACAATAATAATAACGATAATAACAATAACCTTACCGGCCAACAACGACATCAAGTTCAATCATCTATAAGTGTAGAAGCATCAACCATAACAACAGCATCTGGCAATTTGCCGCAGCTTGCCGAATCAAGTCTTCTTCCGAAGCAACAGCCAATGAATTGCAATTCATCAACAACTACAGCAAATAATAAGAAAAGAAATGACACCCTCCATCACCTACATCATCAACAGGGAGTGAATAACCCGACTAAGAATAACAATCAACAAGGAAACGAATCACATAAGTTTAATGTAAATTTGGATTTCGTTTCAGATAAAAGATCTGCATATGAACCACCATCAGCAATGGATGTTGATTGTACTCATCCACAAGAAAATAATGATAAAATGAATCCAACCATTGGCTGTTCAGACACTCGTATCGAAAAGATGGATGTGGATAATATCGAAGAACGTCGTGAAAATCTCAAACGACAAAGAGATAATTCATTTGAATCTAAATCTGAAAATGTTCTCGATTCTTTTGAAGAATCAAATTCATTATCATTGACTATTTTCAATATAATTTCCAAAACATTTAATGTTGAAATTTCTACTACAAATGAAAATAATTGCAATGATCAATTGATTCATTCTCCGGTTACCATAAATCTTCAAGAGTTGAAAACAAAAATCAAACCTACCGATGATTATAAAAATATTATTCAATTTATTCTCATGGAAATTGTGACGAATCTTATCAATCACTCTGTGAATTTTGATGAAAGTCTCGCCTATTTCAATAAATTTAAGCCCGAAAATTTTGTATCGATTATTCAATCAACATTCAAAATAAAAAAGAGCAATGAATTCGAAGCTGTCAATTTCATGTCATATCGAAACAAATATATCTTGGCTCTATCATATGTACTTGATTCATTTAATCGTGCAAACAAAGAAGAAAAATTAACATTAGACAAATATGAAACACCAATCATTCGTGATTTATTGGCATCAATCAAAAATCATTGCATAGATTTTGTTGCGTTGATTATGAATCAATCGGAATCGGATTCATATCTTATCAATTATTTTTTACAGTTATTGTATGCAGAAAAATTACATCCAGATTTTATCAATAGTTTTATTGTAAACACTTACAATCATTATTCGTCGACATTGTTTGCAGCAATTTTTAAACCAATTCTTCGAAAACTTTGGCTAGACATGAATTCATATTGTTCATTCATCTATGATAATCATAAATTACCATTACAAATACTTAACCAGATTTGTAATGTTTCGGTTGGAAAATCGAATTATCCGATTGGTGAATTGCTAACTCAAATGACAAATTGGTTACCGGCCGACGTTTCAGATTCGAAAGGTCGTGAATTTTCTAAATTTGCTTTCATGTCACCATTCCTTCGATTGTCAGTGTTTGCTGAGGATGATCCCAAAATCGTCGAAAAATACTATCCAAGCAAACATGGCCATGACGTAGTCAAACAAACAACAATTGATTTGCAGAATACTTTGGATTATATTCGTCGTGATCTATTATATCCAATCTTTCATTCATTATTGTTGAATCAGAAAAGTCGAGCAAGGACTGTAGAATTTTTCTCCGAAGCATTACTGCGAAATAGCACTCGAGCACGTTTGCATTCTGATGAAAAATCGGTTGCATCGGATGGTTTTTTTACCAATCTCACTAGCGTTTTACAATTACTTTCAGTTAAAATTAAACGTGAAAAAATTGATCCATTATTTCCGTTTAATCCAAACTACTCGTTAGCCGTGAAAAAAGATGATTCACGAATCAAATTTACACAATCCGAAGCAGAAAATTGGCTCGAAAAGGAGATCGCTAAACCAAATTTCATTTGGAATGAAGTAACATTTTCAACACAATGCTTTTTTCAAACTTTGCATGCACATCATCTCAGCGTTATACCATGTATTCGAAAACATATGCGACGTTTGAGAACCATTCGAGAATTGAATCGTTTTATCGAAGCTCATCAGTCGGACCAATCTAATCGCTTGCGTCGTTATAAAGAGCAGATGTTGCGATATCATAAATCAAAACTTTGTGCCGAAGCTGGCTTATTGGATGAACGATTTCTTGGTCGCTGCATGATATTTTACAATCAATTTATTCATTTCTTATTGAAATTAATCGATTGTGATAATGAATATGATCTGAATTTACCATTGCCTCAAATTGTACCTTCAATCTTTGCCAGCTATCCTGATTGGTATCTAGAAGATTTGGCTGATTTTCTTATCTTTATAATTCAACATTGTTCTACTATATTGGAACCACCGAATCCATATTATGATTCGGCCAATTTCGAATGCCTAATTCTATTTATTATAGTTGTAATCTGTTCGCCACATTATATAAACAATCCATATTTGACAGCCAAGTTTATTGAAATTGTTTTTCTATCCAGTCCGATCGTCAATACACATTCATCCACGTTTCACGCGAAAATTATGCACCATCCATTAGCCGATAAATATCTAGTTCGTGCCCTAATGAAGTTCTATACGGATGTTGAAATCACTGGAACATCGAATGAATTTTATGATAAATTTACCATTCGTTATCATATTAGTATTATATTCAAATCATTTTGGGCAAATCAAAAACAACAATTAGCCATTATTCATGAAGCTGATAACGGGAAAAATTTTGTCAAATTCATCAACATGTTGATGAATGACACAACTTTCTTATTGGACGAAGCATTAGTTTCCTTGAAACGCATTCATGAAGTCAAAGAAGATATGAAAAATTCCGAAACTTGGAATCGACAAACACGTGAGCAGCGAGAAACTCGTGAACGACAATTGGCATTCGATGAGCGACAATGTCGTTCATTTTTGATTTTGGCTGTCGAAAATGTTGACATGTTGCACTATCTGACAAAAACGGTACAAAAACCTTTTGAAGCTGTGGTAAGTTTGCGAGAGAAAGAAAACAATTGAAATCATATAAAATTCATATCCCTCTTTTTTTGTGGTTAGGAACTCATTGATAGATTAGCTGCAATGCTCAACTTCAATCTACATCAACTTTGTGGTAAAAAATGCAAAAGTCTCAAAGTTCCAAACCCTGAAAAATATGGCTGGGATCCAAAATATTTACTCGATAAGATTACAGACATTTATTTACATTTAAAATCGAAAAAATTTTATCAAGTAAGCCTTGAATTTTTATTTTCAAACTAATCTAATCGAAATTTGAATAGGCCATTGCCAATGATGAACGATCATATAGTCATGAATTATTCAAAGATGCTGCATCAAAAATGGAACGTATCCATATCAAATCACAGCATAAAATCGAATCATTTTTATTGATCATATCAGAAGTGGAAAAAATTCTTGAGGTTAAAAAACAAATGGAAATTGATTTTAGCGATGCGCCTGAAAATTATAAAGATCCATTGATGGATACCATTATGGACGATCCAGTCATATTACCCAGTGGAAACATTATGGACCGATCTGTGATAATTCGTCACTTGTTGAACGCTTCTACTGATCCATTCAATCGACAACCATTAACCGAAGATATGCTTGTACCAGGTAAGTACTTATTTTATTCTATACAGGCTAATTTTAATGTTTTTTAACACTTTTTTTTTGATTAGATGATAAGCTTCGTCAGGAAATCAAAGAATGGAAACAGCAACAGATTCGCAATGCAAAAGAAAAGAAAAAAACTGAACTTGACCCCGATGAAACCGAAGAACAATGAATAAATAAATTATACATTGTATATAAATCGTAAAATCGAAACACACTAGCTCATGATTTTATTTAAATTTATTTTCCGAATTCTTTTTCTTATAAACACGGAATAAACTAAATAAACTTAAATGATGATTTTTCAATAATATCAACAAGTTGATTACTATTATATTTAGCCAGAAATATTACTTGCATTCGATAAGAATTTGAGATTTGATACAAATGTCCATTTGTTATTTCAAACAATGTTCGATACGATAATGATTTGAACCAATTTTTCAACATTTGATATTGTAATTGGCGATCTTCAGACACTAAAAGTGCATCCATTTGTTTCGGTCCATATTGTAACAGAAGATGACAGTAAGACGAAACAAGGTAAGGCGAAGGACGCTGGAATGAAATTTATTTTTTAATTTTTAATTTCATGGTATGAAAAAAAATTACCTCGTCTGGATTCCTTCGAAGAATTCGCTTCACCATCGATGCCAACAAAGGCAATTGAGATGGAAATGCCGGTATATCATTTTCACAATAATTTGCTCCATCAAAAGCTTGTTGATTTATCGTTTTTCGATAAAAGGGATTCAATGAGCCAAATATTTCATATGCAATAGTGGCCATGGACCAAAGATCCGCTTTTCTATAATCTAATATTGCACGTTTTCGTGGATGAGCTGTTTTGATTTCAGGCGCCATTAATGCATTGTTGCCCCCTTTACAAACTTCATCTGTTTCAAAAGGAATTTTTAGACTTGTTGAACAGAGTCCAAAATCGGTGATGACAATCCATGGATAATCATTATCATTGTTAGGTAATTCTACGAGAAAATTATCTAACTTGAGATCTCGATGAGCTATTTGATTTTTATTTAAAAAATCAATAGCTTCAAAACATTGAGTTAATATAGCCAACGAACAAAGTTCCATCGGAAACGGATTCCTAATAAGATATGTTTTCAACGACATATCATAGAGTTTTTGCATAACAAATAATGTTCGATTATGACCGAAACCACCATATGCTGGTGGCAACGCATGTAGATAATGATTTTCACTATTTTTTACGGGTTTGAATTCGTCGACAAACACTGATAAAATTTTAACGATATTTGGATGCGAAGATAAAACTTTTCGCGTTGGAATTGTTCCAAAAGTTCCGCGATATGGTGTACATTCTTTAATCGATTCTTTCATGATGGCTATAGAATTTGAGCTCATATCATAATTGAATAACATTTTTACGGCAACGTATCTAACTTTTTCGGTTTCATAATCTTTGATTTTTCCTTTGTGTACAGCACCACAACATCCTTTCGAAATAAAATCATCGAACTCGATATAATCAGCTTTGGTTATATCATCTCTAAGTTCGTCGGATTCGAATATAGGACTTTTCACGGTTTTGAAAAAGTCTCTAAAGTCGAGACTCTGAGGTTTATGGGATAAAGTTTTGGATAAATCAGGATAACCATCACTATCGCGACAATAAATACCGGCTAAACCAAATGTGAGCCCGGTTCCATTAAAAACGCGTCTATTGAATGTTTTAAATGGAGAATTACCGAAATAGAAACGGGTAAAATGTTCTCGCTGCCGAAACAAATGACGTACAAGTCTTGATTGTGTATAGAAATTCTTCGAAATGAGAACGATGTTCTTATTGTTCGGGATGAACTTCTTTGACGAATATAGTGATGAACCACGACCCAATAAATGTCGAACAAAAGCTCTTGTCCTTTTGAAGGACGACGATATCAATTGCTGCATCGACCAAGGTGATGGCTGCAAAAATGCATTTCGTATCATAAATCTTACGAACCGATTGTCTGAATATTGTCGTTTAAAATTGGAAATAATCATTTTTTAAAATTAAAGATCCGATACTTTAACGAAGACATTTCCTACGACTTGGAATTATCTCTCAAAATGGCTGAAAAAATATAGCGAAAATTGAAAACAGCGAAAACCTATTTCGAGTCTATTTTCACTCAGGTAAGCAACTTGTGTGGCATATCACGTGATTTATTTTGGATTCTGATTTTTAGATTCAGCAACATTTAATTATTCTGGATTTACTTTTTTCCTCAATTGTTCAAAGATTTTCATCGAAAAATGGATAACGAACCATTTTCGAATCCATTAGCACCTCCATCTGCTTTACCATCCAAAACTGAAAATCATGCCGTCGAACGATCACAACCATTGACCAATGATGATTTTCGTAAATTAATGATGACACCGAGATCTGTAATGCACGGGCAATCAGCAACACCTGGTTCAGTTCGTGGTTCGATTCGAAACAAACATGGCCGGTCTGGTTATAAACCGAAAGTGGAACAAAGTGAAAATATTAAAAAGAAAAAAAAGATATACGAAATGATTCGAAAACAGGATGGTGATGTATTAAATGAATTAGCGAAAAAATATCGCGATCGAGCTAAAGAGCGAAGAGACGGATCAAATATGGATGCGGCTAGAAATTCGGACATATTGACTAATAGTACTGCTTATCATGCTGTTGGTCCGGATAATTTTGATATGGATGCAACCGAACGACGAAAACAACTTATACAGAAATCAAAATATCTTGGTGGTGATATGGAACATACTCATTTAGTCAAAGGCCTTGATTATGCATTGTTACAAAAAGTGAAAGCTGAAATACAAACAAAAGAAGACGAGGACGAATATCTACGGGAACAGCAACAACAAGAAGAGGAGGCAAGAAAAGAAGAAGAAAGACAACAAATGAAGAAATATTCGAAAAAAGATTCCAGCACATTCGATGATCAAGATCGTTACGCAATAAAAAATAAAAAAGTTGAAAATTTATTGAAGATTATTTTCAATGAAAATCTACCCGAAAAAAATGAATTATTTCGACAAGGAAGAATGGCATATCAATATGATCTAAGTATGAATGTTTTAATATTTTTTTTATTGATATGAAATTAATTTTTCTTTTTGGAATACTAGCCAATGATTTTCCCGAAAATGAAATACCAACCACTATAATTCGAAGCAAAGCTGAATGTCCTAATCTAGATGCATACAATTCAATCAGTACAAATGAAATTATCATGAATAAATTAATTCAGATTTGGACTCATATTAGGCAAGGATCAAGTAAAAAACAACGAAGAAAATTCGAATCTTTACCCAGCTCATCAAGGAATGAATCATCAATCAAACAGGACAAGACAAAATATCAAGATGATAACATTTATGATGATGTTGGTGATTATATACCAGATATTAAAACAAAGCGAGTATCATCATCAACTCGCGAAAACAATGATGGCAAACGTAAATCATATTTTGAATCTACAAAAAAATTGAACAAATATGAAGATCATGAAAGTGGTAGTTCGAAACAAGCAGCATTGGAAATGGCTGCTTCGGTCGTTGGAAATTTGGCTGCTTCGAATATGAATACCGCCATTCCTAAAATTAAAAAAGCTAAACTACAACAAGAACCGGAAAGCTATGCAGAATGTTATCCCGGTTATGCTGAGAATGATGACGCTATCATCGATACAGATGATGACGATGATGATAATGATAAAGTCGTTAAGGGTAAAAATCGACAATCACATAATCGTTTTGAATATAATGATGATGATGATGATGGTGATAATGAAGAGAAAGAAATGAAATATGGTAACTCTTCAAAATCATCTAATGCAAACAAAACGAAACGAATGAAAGATGAAAAAGCTAAACTAGATCGGGAATATCAGAAGATTAATGCATTGATTAATAAGAAAAAACAATCAGGTGAAAAGATTGGAATGTCATATATTTCTGAACCTAAAATTTAATTCTATTAATTCGATATGTATGTAATTATTATATTTGTATAAATTAATCAACAAATTGTTGTTTTATAAAAATTTGACAATTCGTTCATTTACGCTAAACGATGGTGGCATATATGGCGCCATATGGTGTACATTCATTCCAATTTGAATTCCAGATGTTTTTCGATATATACGCAGGAATGATACCAATCAATTGCAATTCGCCTGTTTATTTAATACAGACAAAATGTCACGTCAGTTAGTAACTAAATATATCGTTGAGAGGGGTGTGTATGGATGGATGATGCTGTTATCAGAAAATTTTCTTATTTTTTTTGAAATTTTATTAATGATCGCATGCGCTTCGTAAAAATCCTATCATCTCAAGGTTATTTGCTAAATAATTCTCGAATATTACTATGTGACGCACGCGTAAAAGTGGCATTTAACGAGTCAGCTTATATATATTAAACCAGCCGGTCAATGGGATCATTCGCATCTCATTTATTTCACTTGCTTGCATTCGTATGTTGACTGAGGAAATTTACTTTATTTTTTATTTCTGATAATTTACTTTTGTTTTATCGTTACCATAGTTTTAAATAAATAATAAATAATTCTAAATCGTAAAAATGGTTAAAATCGGTATCAATGGTTTTGGTCGTATTGGTCGTCTCGTTTTGCGAGCTGCCATCAAAAAAGGTGTTGAAGTTGCCGCCATCAATGATCCATTTTTGGATGTAAAATATATGGTTTACATGTTCAAATTCGATTCAACACATGGCCGTTATCAAGGTGAAGTTAAAGAGGAAGGTGGTCTTTTAGTTGTCGATGGACAAAAGATCCAAGTATTCCAAGAACGTAACCCTGCCGAAATTCCATGGGGAAAAGTTGGCGCTGATTATGTTGTCGAATCGACCGGTGTGTTCACAACCATCGAAAAAGCTAAAGCCCACTTAGCTGGTGGAGCTAAAAAGGTTATCATTTCAGCACCGTCTGCTGATGCACCAATGTATGTTATGGGTGTCAATCATGACAAATACGATCCAAAACAACAAATTATCTCTAACGCTTCTTGCACCACCAATTGCTTGGCTCCATTGGCCAAGGTCATCAATGACAAGTTTGGTATTGAGAATGGTTTGATGACAACTGTCCATGCTATAACTGCCACACAAAAAACAGTAGATGGTCCAAGTGGCAAATTGTGGCGTGATGGTCGTGGCGCTGGACAAAATATTATCCCAGCTTCAACTGGTGCTGCCAAAGCTGTTGGCAAAGTTATTCCCGAATTGAATGGTAAACTTACAGGAATGGCACTTCGTGTACCGGTTCCGGACGTCTCGGTCGTCGATTTGACTGTCACATTGAAAAACCCAGCCAGCTATGACGAGATTAAAGCCGCTGTCAAAGCTGCTGCCGAAAGTGATCATTGGAAAGGCATTCTTGAATATACTGATGAAGAGGTAGGTTATATCTAATTATAGATTTATATTTACATTCTAATTTATATCCATTGTTCTTATGTCATTCAGGTTGTCTCATCGGATTTTATTTCGGATACACATAGTTCAATATTTGATGCTAAAGCTGGCATTGCATTAACGCCAACATTTGTGAAGCTTATCGCCTGGTATGATAATGAATTCGGCTACAGCAACCGAGTGGTCGACCTTATAAAATACGTTGCCAGCAAGTGAAAATGAAGGAATGACTGCAATTCAACCAGAAAAATCAAATTAATTTCTGTCTCATACGCTATCTCCTAATGATTATGATGTTTATCCTATTATCATTTGTTTCAATCATAACAAAATTTTCCCCTAATGATTAGACCAACATACTTATTTGTCATTGAAAGACGGAATTTAATTTACTGAAACTTGAGTTTTTTTTCTCTATGAATTGTTGAAAAAACTAATTTTTATTAGAAAAAATCGTAGATTTTAATTATGCATTATTTATGTTCGTTCGATGTTTTGAAATTAAAATTTCCGAATGAATGAATTTTTAACAAAAAATTATTCATTCAAGACTTGATCTAATTGTTGTTGGACAAACATTGGCAATATGAATGATGATGAATGCATTTCAGGTGAATAATACCGTAAATGTTTGCCAATTTCATTGAATTGTTCTTGATGTTTTGCATGTTTGAAATCAACATTATTGGATTTTGATGCGATAAGAAATCCAATCTGACCAGATGGATATGATGCAACAGCTGTTGATGCATATGCTAATGATGGATAAATTTTTTGAACTTTTCGAAATAAATTTTTGATGAATTCCAAATCGAACCAATAGGATTCAGCCTGGCAACAGATGATACCATCCGAACGAAGACATTCATAAAGTGCTTGATAATATTCTGTTTGATACAATGTTGTTGCCGGACCTTTAGGATCTGAACTATCCGTAATGATTACATCGAATTCATTTTTATGATTAAGAACATATTCATAGCCATCCTGGAAAAATAATTTCAGTTTTTCATTTTCAAATCCGACGCCCATAAATGGTAAGTATTTTTTTGATATTTCCACGACTTCCGGATCAATTTCACATTGAATTATTTCTTTGACTAATGGATGTTTAGCAACTTCACGTGCTACACCACCATCACCACCGCCAATAATCAATACTCGTTCAGGATTTGGATGAATGTTCAACGGTAAAAAAGAAATCATCTCCTGATATGAACATTCATCCAATTCAGTACATTGTATGGCATCATCTAATACCAGGCATCTGCCAAACTTTTCACTACGATAGCAAATTGTTATCTATAAATGTAAACACAAAAAAAGAAATTCATTCTTTCAAAACTTACTTTTCAAATGCCAATAAATTTTGATATTTGGATTGTCGTTTGATTAATTTACGGTCGATTTTGATGGCTAAACGACATTGATCTGAATTAAGTACACCTGTTTCAACAAACCAATCGTCATTGTTTTCATTATTAGTTTTACATTGTTCATTGTTTGCCATGACGAGGGTTTTTTATTAAAAAAAGAAATTCAGTTTATTGAAAATCGAAATATCTAATGTGACCGCAGTGGGTTGTACAAATAAAGTTATTCACAGCGAAACATAACTAATTGTCGAGTTTTTATAGATCCAACAACAGTGATCGATTCCAAAGACCAAGGATTGTTCATAGCTACATATTGATAATATTAATTTAGTCATAACCGCATAGTTTATTTTTTCAATTTTAATGTTTATCATTATTTTAGAAAATCAGCCATTTCTTTTCTGTACAATCGTATACTTTTTATATGTAAAATCATCATACAACACACACACACACATGTTTGGATCGTGGTTTTGTCATTGTCATTCGATCTTGATTCGATTCATATCAAAGTTTTATGATAATAATTCATCTTATAACTTATACATACTTTGGTTACAATGTTGATTTCGAAATCTAATGTTCTATGATATCACTGATTTTCGAGATTGATAATAAAATGTATGAAGTGAAAAAAATTTCAAACATTTGATTAACTTATCTTAATGAAATTGATATTAATTATTAGACTTTGCAGACATTTCAACCATATATTCAAAATGGGATGACCCAAATCAATTTTATATCATTTAATCATTTGAATTATTTTATTTTTTGCTTTCGCGCTTTAATCTGGAAAATACAAGAAAAAAATTTATGAATCCATTACATGCTCCATCTATGATCCGGAATCCAATTTAGAATAAAAATATCTTCATATTTTTAGGCATTTGAAAGAGTATACTCCCATTGTTGTGTAAGTATAAATGTATACTGTGTATTGGAACACGTTTGATGATGCTCTGGCGGCTACGATTGAGTTTGTCAATGTTGTTGTTTATTGTTTATAAAAATAACAATAATAATAATATGAATGCATGATATTTTCAAATTTTCAAACAAATATCAATTTATATTTTATTTCAATCATTGATCAAATTTGGTTGTTTTGATTGCTTTAATAGAATTATGTGATTTAAAATCTGATTGATTGTTTTTATATTTTAGTTGATGAATTAATCAATCTAATCTCTGGAATAACATTCTAAACAACGACTGCAACAAAAAAAAAATCATAATGTCCAGCTTTAGTGAAGCAAATTTAGTAAAAAAATTGGAAACTGTTACTAGCAGTCAGGAAAGTGTTCAATCATTATCATTATGGGTTCTTCATTATCAGAAACATTATAAAAAAATTGTCGATCAATGGCTTAAATACTATACTAAAGGTAAGGATTTTGTTTCCATGAATTTTATTAATTAAACAAAAAACTAATATTATTATTTAAACAGAAAAAAGTGATCGTCAATTAGTGCTGTTCTATCTGGCCAATGACATTGTGCAGAATGCTAAGAAGAAAAATCTATCTCATTATCTAAGTGAATTTATGAACGCTTTGCGTGAAGCATGTAAAGTGACAAATGATGAAAAAATAATGAACGTTATACATCGTATTCTAAACATCTGGCAAGAACGATCTGTTTATAATAAGGAATTCATTAATGAATTGCGAGAATTGCTTTGTGGAGAAAAAATCGAAGCCGAAGTCATTTCCAAAATTATCTCAGATTTTAACCTTAATGATTTGATCAATCAGATTGTCAATGCTACAAAAGTTGAGCAATCTACTCGTGCAAAATATCAAAATCTGATTAATTGTAAATTGGATTTCGCCAATTCTGATTTGCTCAACAAACTCAAAGACAAGTCGTATGGAGAACAATGTAGTAAAGAATTGGATGATGCAACCAAATGTTTAGAAGCGGCTAAAGTAGCCATTGAAAAAGAGATTGCTACTCGAAAAGCTTTGTTAACAGTTTTAGAGAAAAGTAAAATCTATTATGATATACAGATGAAAGAATCGAAAGCAATAGCCGAAACATTTAACAATTGTGAAGTACGACTGCGACAAGTACAATCAAAACTGAATAATTATGGCTACAATTTTTCTAGTCTGAATACTCCGCCAGAAATGAATGCTTCTCAGTTATCATCAGTGTTGAATTTTTTTCAGCAAACAGATAATCAGCAAGTTAGTAGCCTGGATAAACGTCTAACAAGTCTTATGTCTGGTGCAGGACCATTTCCATTGAATCCTGTAATATACGGTCAAAGTAATAAAAATTTGTCCAGAGATGTCAACCAAATTGAATCAGTTATCACAACGCGATCGTTTGGGAATGAAAATCCTGTCGAAAATTTTGAACCAGCCGACATGGATCTTGGTGATTCCGAAGATGAAGACCGCCATTCGATAGATCCGGCACAAAAATCTTTATTGCCACCTTTATCATCGTTCATTGGAACGCCAGATATGGCCGGGCCATATTGTTTCATACCACCACCACCTCCTCCTCCAATTCCTCCTCCATCGTTTAAAGAATTTCTTGGTTCTTCGATTGATAGCAATGATCTCGATACATTTCGCGCACCTCAACCATCATCAATTACACCATTATCAATTTCGAACATTATACCAAATATTCCAAGTCATATTGTTGATGTAAATAATTTTCAACATGGTGATTCTATACAAAGTCTATCGCCATCAAATCGTCATCATAATCAACATCACCATCATAATCGTAATGTAAGTTCTTCCTCTTCATCGTCATCATCATATCATCATCATCATCATAATCAATCGCCATCATCAACATCATCCATCAATCATAATAATCGTTTTAGCCAAAATAATCGACATGGACAAAATTATTCAAATAATCGACAACAAAATAATACGAACAATAGATGGAAAAATGGAAGCGGTGGTGGTGGTGGTGGATGGAAAAGATATTAGCGAAAATGTCTTAATAAATTCTGATTGCGGCTGTAATATATATTTTTCTTCCCATTAATACAATTATTTTTTCTTTTTGCTCTCATATTTGTAATGAATTGCATACCTTTAATGTAATCATGGTTTCATTTTGGGAATTAATCAATACAAATTTTATCTAATTATAATAATAATAAAGTGTGTATGGACTTTAAAATTGTTTTTTTTTATTCAATGCCTAAAGAAATATCTGGCTTATTATAAATAATAAAATGGAATGGGAAAATCTTACATTATTTTTTCATCAATGATTTTGTCCCTTTTTTTCCTCGTTACAAATATGAATGTGTTTTAATCTGACATCTAACAATATCCTATATGTTTGAATGACCCAACAGGATGTTCTTGTTGTTATAAATTCCGATTCCTGTGTTATTTTGATTATTATTATTAGCATTAGTATTGGTATTGGACTGATGATGATTCAATGAAACCCAGCGTAAAAATGCACAATGAATTGGATGAAAATGAGATTTCCGTAAACGTTTCATCGTGGACAACAATAACATTATTTGTTCAATTAGATGACTTATTGATTCAGCATCCGTTCCAGACATTTTTCTTTTCAATTCTTGATAGAATTGCATCTGTACCTGATCGTACAATGATGAAATTGTTGCCAAATGTGGTATATATGAAACATGATCTAAATAAAAATCATGATAAACTAATATGAATGAATGTAAATAATCTATTTAAATTATATATACCGGATTGTAATAAAATCAACAATTTCAATCTATCCACTTCTGCCATATCTAATTGCAATGAATTTATAAAAGGAATCACATCATTCACGATTTTCTGATCTTGTTGATTGACAAAATAACATTCGTATATATAACGAATATATGGTGAAGAAAAATTGTGATGAACCGATAGATCAATGATAAGCAATCTATTCAATGATTCTTCCAATAGATGTATATAATCTTTCTTAGCTGTATTATTGAAGGTGAAATTTTTGAAAAACCAATCAACTTAATGAAATGTAAAAATTATTTAAATTTTCTGTAAATAAAATCAATAGATTAACATACCAACATTTGCGATGAGATGATAAATATGAATAAACATTACTGGCGATATTGTTGTATTTGAATAACTGGCATGACGATAATTTTGCATATGATTCAATATGGCCGATTCATCGGCTATTTGAAATATTTAATATAAATCCAAAAGTTCAGTTTCTGTTCATTTATCACTGTTTTACTTACATGAAAGAACCAACTGAAAGTTGGACAGATTTGCATTGTTCCATAATGTTGTAGAAGTTGTTATTTTATTAATGTTATCAGCATATCTTGCAGATAATGAAGAATCATTCAATCTGACAGTCTGTTTTCGTCGAATATTTCCGCAAGATGATGTTGAAGTTGTCGGATTGATTGATGGTCCATTACCATTGATTATGTGATTTGATTTTCTACCTGATGAAGTGGTTAGATTAATTCGCTCATGTTGAACAGCTTCAGGTTTCATTTTGACTGCCAAACATTTTCTAAATCGACAAGCTTGACATTGATTACGATTATTGATATTGATATGGCATTGATTATTATGTTTGCAATGATAATTCAAATTACGACGAACACTGCGCTTAAAAAATCCACTTTGAAAACAAGAAAAAAGTGTTAAAATTTTTCATTTCTTTGTTCATTAGTATTGTGATCATACCGACATCCATCACAGCTTAATACTCCATAATGACGACCGGAAGCTCGATCTCCACATACTAAACATCGATTCACATTTGTACGGAATTGTAACATTTTATCGTATTGGTCGTCAGCGATTTTCGAATCGAAAGAACCGATCAATAGAGCAATCAAATTCTAAATGAATCGTTTGAACATCATATTCTTCTATATCCTATCATTTTCATTTTTTTTACTCATTGGCGTTTGATCCAGGAAGAAAATCATATTCTATGAGTGGAACAATAAACTTGTTGATCAATCAATCGGGACGGTCATGAACACGATCCTTACGACAAGACAAAATGGGAGGAGCATCGAATATTTGGTCCCGTTAGATGCGGGACATTATTCAGGAACACTACCATTTATAATTATTTTTTTATTATAGGTCTAACAAATACATTATCATCATCATCATATGTGTTGACAGAAACTGTACACTTGATTGCGAATGTTAAACCACTCGACACCTGAGAAAATGGACATTTGTTTTCAAATACACACTTCGGTACCAGAGAGTTTATAATCGAAATTTTCGTTGTTGATGCGGTGTTGCAAATGACTTTAAATTGAATTGTCATGTCATTCATATCATATCATATCTATATGGACCGGGCTTTTATATCAAAGTCAAAAGACAATTATCAGATTAAAGAATAGGAAAAAAAAGAATGTGTAAGTTTGTAAGAGTATTAAAATCTTTTTTTTTATTTTATTTGTCAAATTGAGCTAACATCATCATCATCATCATATTGATTCAATTGCATAACTTATTTTTTTACACAGTTTCTGTGACAATTTTTTCTATGAACAGATGTTTATGAAATAATTTTTTCCGAATCAAAATTCATATCATCATAGACAAAAAAAAATTGAAATAGAAAAATCAACTTGACATTTATTTGTTAGCTATTAGAATAAAATTTCTAGGCGAAATGGATGGTGAAAACAATGGTATTAGATAAGTATTTTTGACTGGATTTTGTTCACAAAGATAATGACGATAGTCCATTAAAATATACAATTCAATTAATGGTGCAATAAGTAATCTCAATGAATAGAAAAGAATAACCTGATCCGTTTGATTGATAAAATCATTGATTTCGTTTGATTCGAAAATCGATTCAGGTATCGATATATCTAATCCTTTTGTAGCTTTAGCCACATATTCTTTGAATGTTATTTCTGTCGTAATTTTTACATTTCTCATTGATTGATAACGTTTTTCAGGTGCATATCGTTCCAATAACACTTCCAAACAGGCTCTATAACCATGAACTTTAAGTGAATCTAATTCTAAATAAAAAAATAAATTTTGAATTAAACAATATTGAGATTATAATACCTTTTTTACTAAAATCATCAAGAAATTTTTCAATTGCATGACAAGCTAATTCTTTGGCCGAAATGCTTAACGTGAATTTGGTATTCTCCTTCAGTAGCTGACTCATTGGAAAGCGAAAAAGTTCCGAATTCATGTAACAACAGCAGACCAGTACAAGGCAATGAGAATTAGGATTAGTGGCAAACTCTTCAAGTACCAAATTCGAAAGTGAACCACAGGCATGTAAACCCAATAAGAGATGAGGTCTAGTTATTTTATCACCAAAAAGTTCATCGATACGATTTTCTTTAGTCAAGAAACAGTTAGCTTTAACAGGCATTTCTTCTTCAAAAACATTGAAACGTTTGTACTTTTCAAGTGCTTTCAGAACTTTGTTTTCGCGTTTGATAGCCCCGTTTAAATTTTCACTTTTTGCCTCAATACAGAATACTTTGAATCCATAACAAATGCCTAATATCCTGGAAAGATGACATTTGCCTGATCCAAAGTCGATTATATCAAGATTATTGTCAAATTTATTCATCACAGTCGATATAAGCTTGCATAATTGTTGAATTTCATGGCGTTTCTTTGCTTTGATGCCTCTGGTAAGAATATGATCTAAACCAGTGGAAAGATTTTCCGAAAATTGATGTCTCTCTTGAGAGTGTTTTGTATAAGGTGATGAAAATATTTGTTCATTGAATGGCTTCGATCGGATCATTCGAATAGTCGTAGATAATGACCGGAGACAGAGTAAAGTTAATGGCAGCACACATTTAGATTGATCATTGAAGCCAAGTAACCAAGGAATATCAAACAGATTTAATTTGTTCAAACATTCAGACCATTTTGTAGGTAGCTTACACCAATGGTCATCAAGATAAAAATCAAGAACATAAGAATCCATGAGCCATTGATAATGATTGAGAACTTTATCAATGTTTAACAAAGTTTTAATCATGTTGTGATTCTTGATTTTCGCTTCGTTGTCCATATAATTCAAATTTGTATACAATCACTCGGCCGAATGTATCGGTACAATCAAGAAAGAAAATTTTAATGAATTGAGATGAAAATTGAAGACGGTTGATATCCTTGAAGTTCTGTGTCAAATTATTATCTTCACAATAGATAATTGATTCACCAAGTTCTTGTTGATCTTTGTGATTAAGATATTTGATCAAAATCTTTTTACAAGAAAATCCTCCTTGAAATTGAATATTCAATTCATTCAAAATAAACGGATAATGAAATGTACAGAATATCCATTGAAAATTGCCTTCATCCGAATTCCAGCACGTTTCTTCATTACCATCGGTCAGGTATGACTTTCCAAATTGTTTATGATCTTTGTTCAATACGGAACTAACGCTATAAATGTACATTAAATTTTAGATTTAATCTTTTTCGACCATCTTGATACATACTTGAGAGAATAATCTCGATTTATAATGGCCAAATTATTTGGATTAAGACTCATGATACGAAATTGTTGAAACTATTCTATAATACACGTGGTCATATCAACAAAATCATAAACACGAATTAAAGCAGAGAAATGTGTCAGGACAGCCCATCACATAGTTAAAAACAATAATCGATAGTATCGAATGTGTCCAAAAATGAAAGAAAAATTTTATCAAAAACGACAATGCATATGTAAGTCCTTATGGAATTCATCTTGGATCATTAATGTGTCCAAAAATTAATCGGTTCAGCCGTTTATTACCGAAATTGACAAAGGACATCTAGTGTTTGAATCCAGATTTGTTTTTTAAAATTAAATTTGAACATCATCTTGATATAATCAAATTTGTCATTACTATTTTTTTTTTCTTGTCCATCATCATTGAATATGAATGATTGTCATTCGAGATTTATGTCATCATTTTTGTTGTTGTTTTGTTTTCTTGATTCAGAATTGTTTAGTTGCTGTTTTTTTTTAACAGTCGAATTAAAATTTGTAATTTCGTTTTTGGAAATGAACCGTTTTACAATCAATCTATATATGAAATTTTTCCTAACTATTTTTAGATTAATGATGAAAATCACAAATTTCCAATTCTTTCTCTTTTGTCTTTATATGTCAAAGCTAAGACATCCATCCATGGCAAAAACCATGTCGTTATCATCATCATCATTAGAAAAATAAAATAAAATAAAATTAGTATGCAACAAAAAAAAAAATCTAAAAATTATTTCTCATCATTTTTATTCGAAGCCAAAAAGTGAAACAAAAAAATTCATTGGTTCGTTGATGTTATTCTTACAATTCTCGATCTATGATGATGACGGTGGTGGTGGTATAATTGGGTAAACAATTTCATCAATTTTAGCCTCCATTTCATTGTCGTCGTCGTCGTCGTTGTTGCCATACAAATACATTCCCAATGGTTAAAATGAATCGCTTGTTGATTATGAAAAAAGATTCTTTTTCTTAACATGGAAGAAACTTTCATCTCTCTCTCTCTAATTCTTGCATACAAATTATTATTATGACTCCCAGAATTGCATTCACAACTTTTATACACACAAAAAAAAAGTTTTTTTTTTATTCTCTTTGCATGTATTTCATTTAGAAAAAGAAAACAAAAATTTGTCGTCATCAACATAGGAATTATTTGATGCAAAAAAAAAGAAGGAAAGAAAAGAAGAAAAAAATAACATCGACAGAAGGAATAAAACCAAAACAGAAATTCAAAAAATAAATAAATATACCAAAATATTTTAAAATGAAAAATAAAATTCTGCTAATTCGAATACTTTGTCGCATTTTTTGGTTATGATCATTCTTCTTCTTCTTCGTGTTGTCAGTGTCTTGATGCTTGTATGTTTAGTCTCTGTGTTTGAATAATTAGTGATTATATATTGATTTTGGTGCCAAATTGATGACGATCTTCTTCTTATTTTCGATTCCATAAATTAGAAATCATCATCGAGTTGCTTATGTTTATGAAAAAACCACTAAGAATCATCCATTCATTTCATAAGTACGTCTAGCTGTGATCGATTTCATTCTGTATTTGTTTGGATTATCTTGCACATTGATTATTCTCTGTGTGTGTGTGTGTGTTTATTCTATATCGTCTGTTCACTTGATCGAAAACATCCGTATCATACAGGATTAGGTGAAATTTTTTCTTTCTTTCTTTCTGAAATTAATTTCAATCGAATAAAAACCCATCGTTTGAACTTGAACAATAATGAGTGAAAGTGAATCCGTTGATATTAATACAACGTTATCCGTTAAATTACCTACATCCGAACAAACCGAAACAAACACAATGGAATCAACAAGCGATTCAAATACTATCAGTTCCAATCTAGAACGCGAACAAAGAATTACAGCCCAATCAGATTTGGAACAAGTTAAACAAATTCTTAAAACTAATTTTAAAGATGATCCTTCATTGGAAGATAAATCATCATTTTATCCATTACAACAGAAAGCACAATATATGTCACCAACGGTTACGTTAAGTGCCGAAAGCAAACGCATTGTACGACAAGCTCAAGCACCGATTCTACAAGCTAGTTCTCGTGTTGTTCATTTCCTTTATGAGGTAAGTTTTACAATCGTTTTTTTTTCTTTCATTTTAACAATAAAAATTTGAAATTTAAAATTTTTTGAAAAATTGCATATTTAGGCAAGAATTGAAGAACTCGAAGAAGAATTAGACAAAGAACGAAAATCAAGAATTAAAGCCGAAAAACAACGAACTGATTTAACTAGAGAAGTTGATGAATTGCATAATCGTTGCGATGAATTAGACAATCAAAATGCATTATCAAACGAAGCAGTTCGACGATTAGAAGCTGAAGTCAGCAAATTACGACGAGAATTGGAAACATCCAATGTTAATCACGAAACCGAAGTATCATCGTTACGAAGACGAAATACGGATATACTTAATGAAACACAAGAACAAATCGATCAGATAAACAGAGCAAAATCCAAGTTAGTATTCCTATTCAAATTTCTATTTATTATGATTATCGATGGTTCAATCAACATTTTGAATTAAATCATTTTTTAGGGCCGAAAAAGATAATGCAAACCTTACGGTTCAGGTATCCGATTTGCAAGCACAATTGGAAAATGCACGAAAAATGCAGGTAAGTTGAAAAAAAAGAATCTAATCCCCAACAGAAAGATTGTTATTTTTGCATAATTAATATTATGAATACATTTCTTAATGATGATGAAATCAGCCAATATCCATTTGTTAAAACTGAATTCATTCCTATAGGAATAAAATTCAAATATTATATTTAGCTAATATTTTTGCAAGTTAGATTGAAACTGACTGCAATCATTTCAAACAGAATGCAATAATATTCTCATTCTCATCATCATTGACAAATATATTTGATGATGTTTGTGGCCGTATATCGATGCTAATTATAGTAAAGTGGGCAACCAAAATTAAAAAAAAAACTAAATTCTGCAACAAATTCTCGTTCGCATAAATAGTGTTAGTGTGTGTGTGAAAGAGTAAGAGAATGTCTGCCACTGTCTGTCAAAATAAACTTTGAAAGAATTGAAGGTAATTTTCTTTATTTATTGCTAAAATTAAATGAACATCATGTTGTCTCTATGCAGAAAATTTTCCTCTATTTTTCTTTTCTCGTGAAAAAAAATGATTATCGCTGTCTATGCTTGTTATTGAAATTAATATTTTTTTCTAATTAGTTGTTCTATAATGAATGAAATTCTTTTACTAAAAATGGACATATTTTTTTACCAATAATTTTCAACGAACGATGACGGGTGTGTGTGTGTGGATTGCATGTTTTTTGTTTGACTGAAAGTAAAAAAAAATTCTTGATAAATTACCCAACTGTCATCATCTAAATGTACGAATGATAATCATGGGGATTATCATTCGAGAATGCAATCAATGTTGAACTTTTTTTTTAAAAAAAATTCTAACTATTTTTTTGTGTTTTTTGAAAATTATTTAGTCCAATCTTGAACGACATAATAAACAATTGGAATTACAATTGAAAGAAGAGAAAAAGAAATATGAAGATGCACAACGTATCATACAGGATACGGAAGCATCGAAAAAGAAAATTGAATATCAAAAATTGGAAGCAGAAAAACAATACCAAGAAGCACAAGCACAATTGGAAAGTATTGAAAAGATTAAGGATCAATTGAAACGTGAATTGGAGGAAGCGAAAACACAAGTTGCTCATGAAACACAGGTTTGCTTAGATATCTATAATTATTTGATATTTTTTTGAAATAATTATCATTCCGTTTCATATAGGAGCGCCTTGCTATTTTAAGCAAATATCGTAACCTCGAAATCGAATTGGAAGGTGCACGAAAAACAATTGAAGATGATGAAACAATTAAAAGAAATCTTCATAATCAAATTAGCAAAGCTTTGGAAGAAGTTCAACAATGGAAAGCTAAATTTGAAAGTGCTGGTTATGTACTTCGTGAAGAAATGGAAGAAATGCGCAAGAAAATGACCATCCGACTTCAAGAAGCTGATGATCACATTGAACAATTGAATATTAAGGTTTCCGGTTTAGAAAAGGCCAAACAGAAATTGACTGAAGAAGCTGAAGAATTAGCTAATGAATTGGAACAGACGAGAGCATTAGCTGTAACATTGGATAAAAAGGTGAAAGCTTGTTTGAAAGAAATTATGGAATGGAAACAACGATGCAGTGATTTGGCTAATGAACTTGATGCTTCGCAGAAAGAATGCCGCAATTATTCAACCGAATTATATAAATTGAAGTCTGCATTCGAAGAATTACAAGAACAACACGAATCGGCCAAACGTGAAAATAAAAATCTACAGAGTGAAATCAAAGATCTTTTGGACCAATTAAGTGAAAGTAGTCGTCAAATTAATGATTTGGAAATGACACGAAAACGATTGCAAATGGAAAAAGAAGAGTTACAAAATGCATTGGCAGAAGCGGAAACTGCTTTAGAAATGGAAGAGAACAAAGTCTATGCTGCTCAACAGGCATTAGAACAAGCTAAAATTGACCATGATAGGCATATTCGTGAAAAAGAAGAAGAATTTGAAGGTGTTCGCAAAAATATGCAAAAGACTTTAGATCAGATGCAAGTCAGTCTTGAACAAGAAGCCCGTGGTCGTGCCGAAGCATTGAAAGCCAAAAAGAAACTTGAAAGTGATGTCGTCGAATTGGAAATGGCATTGGATGGTGTTAATAAACAATTATCCGAAGCACAAAACTTTATTCATAAATTACAAGATAATATTAAAGATCTTCAACATCAATGTGATCGAGAACGACGTGAAAAAGAGGAAGCACAAGAATTATATGCTGCTTCTGAACGTAAATGTCATGCATTGCATAATGAATTGGATCAAACAAGAACAATGTTAGAATTATCTGACCGTAAATGCCGTAATCTAGAAAATGAATTGGGTGATTTGAATGAATTGAATCAAGAATTAAATGGAATGAATGCAGCATTGTCGAATTCCAAACGTAAATTAGAAGGTGAACATCAGATTTTAAAATCGGATCTTGATGAAACATTGAATGAATTGAAATTGTTGGATGATAAATGCAAAAAAGCCATTATGGATGCTGCTAGATTAGCCGATGAACTTAAAGAGGAACAAGATCATGCACAAGCGGAAGAAAAAATGCGTAAAACATTGGAAGAACAGGTGAAAGAACTACAAATTCGATTGGATGAAGCTGAACAAGCAGCCATGATTGCTGGCCGTAAAACTATTGCCAAACTTGAAGCTCGTGTTCGTGAATTGACACAAGAATTAGAAAGTGAACAAAGAAAATATGCCGAATCATCCAAAAATCTACGCAAAGCTGATCGAAAGATTAAAGAAACGGAATTCGAATTGGATGAAATGAAAAAGAATACCGAACATCTACAAGATTTAGCTGAAAAATTAAGCCAAAAATGTAAAGCATACAAAAGACAGATTGAAGAAGCTGAAGAGATTGCAGCATTGAATATGGCTAAATATCGTAAATTGACGCAAGAATTAGAAGAAGCCGAAGATAGAGCTGATAATAGTCAAACTAATCTGGCTAAATTACGAGCAAGAACACGTGCTAGTTCATTTGTACAGCCAGGTGGATCACGTCGATCGACTAGTCCGATGGTAAGTTCATAATAAGTTTATTTTTTAGTCTAATTAAATTTTTATTTTATTACGTCACAGCGATTGGATACGATGAAATTGGAATCGGAATTATTTTAAAATTTAAAATTTGTTTTTTTAACGGTTCGAATGGCTTGCGCGCAATAAATCATTTATATTAAACAAAATTCAGCAAACATCAAACAAATTGGAAATTCAGCAAATACAAAAAATTTACAATGAACAATCCTATAGCTACAGAAAAAAACCAACAATGAAAGATCGCTTTTGATTTTACTGGAAAGAAAATTGGAAGAACAAAAATTGAATTGAAATATATTATTTATATGAAATTTTTATACAATTATAATTATTATATGTTGTTTTTCTTTGCTTTATGAATTTTATATTATCTGCTTTCTTTATCTATCTTTATCCATCTTTCTTTAATTAAAGAAAAATATTTTTTTGAATTTTTCAAAATGAACGTCGTTTATTAATGGATCGTTGGAATACAAAATTCCCACCGTTTTTTTTTTCTTTTGGTTTGATGCAAAATAAATTAAAATTTACTTTTTTCGCAACAATATTGAAATTCATTCGTTGAATTCATATCATTCCCCCCTTTTATTGACAATCAACTAACAAATAACAGATTTATATAATAATGTTACCCGAAAATATTGACGAAAATCAAATCAAAAATTGGGCTCAAAACGAGTTAAATTTAGATTTAAATGAAGCGCTCATTCATGAAATGTTAAAGAAACGATGTTTGCAACAAGTTTTAAGTTATGTCGTTTGTAAAGTTAAAAACAAACGAAATGCTCAAAAATTCTTCAACCATGCAACCATGAGAAATGTGTCACAACAGATCGATGTAAACAATCAACAATTTAAGGATGTGATCAATGATTATAATAATGAGCCAGTATTGTTCCAATCAGAGATGATTGAAAATTTTGATAAATTCTATGCTGAAATTGCCAAATCCAATCATACTAAAACAATGATTGACAAATTTGATTGTCATAGTGAAATAAAAAACATTGATGGATTGATTGAACAATTGCGACAAAAAATCGAATCAATGGAAACAAATGTATTCAAATTAGATTCGGAGCATTCCTTGTCGGAAGATTCGACGACTGAAATAGCTAAAATTCTTGACATAAATTTGAAAAATATTTCCGATCTATATCAAATGATTCGGAAAACATCTAAAGAAAATATGACAAAAATAAATCAACTTGATGATGTACAAATCGAATCATCAGACACGACAGCAACAATGAATGATCTAAAAGATCGATTGCATCGGATTCGATCTTCAACATTATCATGGATGGCCATTATTGATAATTTTACAAATAAAAATTGAAATTTCTTTTGCGATGATACTTGTTGCTAATAAATTTTTTTTTGTACTTTTTTACACTGAAAATTTCGAAAGAATAATTTATTGTCTGGTTTTTTTTTTTTGGTTGAATCGGATTTCCATCTGGTGAAAAGGAAATCAAACATAATATTCTGGATTTTTCTCATCTGATGTTTTTCGGTTTGTTTGTTTTGTGTTGATTGCATTTGAATGAATCTTGGTTTTTAGGTTTCCAAAACAACTGACGAATATTTCATTTTATACCGGTATATTTTTCCGATTAAAATTGAAACAATATTGGCCTAATTGATTTAAAAAAAAAGATACGATCATTTTGATTGTTCATATTAATACGTAGAAGGAAAAATTTTTGAAACCAAAATGATGAACATTACCGAAAGCCTTAGTCCCTTTGTTTATTGGGGACAAACATCCGATTCAATTACATTGATTATCGATTTGAAAAATGTTAAAGTATGTTTTCAGTTTTTTATTTATTAACATTGTGAATATCATCATTGTTATTTTTTCCAATCTTTTTTGTTTCAATCTTTAGTCACCAGTTATTGATCTCAAAGATAAAAGTTTATACTTTTTTGCAGTTGGTGTTGGAGCTAAAGGTTTGAATGAATATTCCATTTCGGTTGCACTCCATTCTGAAGTCGTTCCAGAGGTATTGCTATCTACATAATTTCTATTATTCATTCATTCAAGAATGAATAATTTCTATTATGTCAATCTGATTAATGATGGTTATTTTTAAAAAATTTGAAAATGTAGAAAAGTTTTTATAAAATATCCGATCGAAATGTTGAATTTGTACTTCGAAAAAAGATGATGATTTCATGGCCAAGATTATTAGAATCATCAATTAAACCACAATGGCTTAAAGTTGATTTTGATCGTATCAAACAACAAGATTTTGATACAACATCCGAAGATAGCGAAATGGAAGAATTAAATAATCAAACAAATCGTCTTCCACGAATGTACAAAGATAGAAATTTCGGACGTGGAAGAAAGAATCGAGGTAAAATATAAGTTTGTCTATTGTTTATCAAAATTTTTTTTAATAAAATGAAAATTTTCTTTTCAGTACAAGATTTTAAAACAGCATATTTGTTTCTTTACAATTTATTTCAATTTGTGGGCTACATCTATATATTTGTTATATTTTTTATTCATTACATTAAAGAAGGTCCAGGTATAAATTTTTCAATTCTTAGATGTCAAACATGATAATAATGTTTTTTTTTTAATAATTTAATTCAGAAACTATACAAACCATTTATCCATCCTTAAGAAATCCTATAAAATTTTTAAATCTTATGCAAATTTTAGAAATATTACATCCATTAATTGGCTACACTGAAGGTTCAGCAATGATGCCATTTTTCCAATTATTGGGCCGAACTTTTTTCATATTTATATTGATTGATTATCATATTGAAATACAATCACATTATGCTACATTCTATTTACTACTTGTTTATACTATTTCGGAATTGGTTAGGTAGGTGACATTTATATTAATTATTATTTTTTGATCATCAATGTTTTATTTATCAATTTCAGGTATCCATATTATATGCTCCATATATTCAAAGTAAATATCCGTTTTGTAACATGGATTCGTTACAGTGCCTGGATGGTACTATATCCATTAGGTTTCATTTTCGAAGGTATTGTTTCAACAAAAAAGAAATTATTCAAATTGAAGAAAAAAAAATTAATTTTATCAATTTTCAAATTTTGTTAGCCATCATTCTTTATCTAAGTATTCCATTATTAGAGGCAAATGAAAAATTTTCAATATTTCTACCGAATGCAATGAACTTCTCATTCTACATGCCAACATTTTTACGGCTTTATTTAAATTTCACATTATTTCCCAGTAAGTTTTATATTGATTCATTTAATTGAATCATTAAATCCAATAATTAAATTTTAAATAATTTTATTGTATCTTTTCTTGTTTATCTTTATGGTGACAACGAAAACGAAAAATAAAACACAATATTCAGCGTCCTACTTTTTAATGTCACACATGTATCGACGACGAACAAAAATGCTGAGTATTTTCAAACGAAAAATTAACTGAATTGAATAAAATTCAATTGAATTGTATGTTGGAACGATGATCATAATGATATAAAATATGGATCTATGCAAAAAGTCAATTCTATAGTCATCAGTACATTTCTACCATTTTCGGTGATAATTTCAATTTTTTTTTCGTCAATTCAATCTCTGTTAACATACGATAAAAATTCATTTTGAAAAATGAATGTAAAGAAGCCATTCATCTGGAACTTTGTATTTAAATTTATTATTTTTTTCATCTCTCATTTATACTATTGTTGTTGCATTTTAGCTTTTGCTTCTAAATTTCATTTTTTTATTTGCAAAAAAAAAATCTGTCTTGTTTACACTTTTCGACTGTTTACATTTTCATCTTTCAATTTATAAATTTTTCTTTTTTTTGGTGATTAAAGATTAAGATTTCAATTTTTACAGAAACAAAAATCCTACACATACTCTGTTTTGATTATCTGATTTTTAAAAAATATATTTTTTTTGGGCGCCAATTCATCGTCGATTTCAAAATTTGATGCCATGTGGGGACAAAGTTTTTTTTCTATCAATATTCAAATGAATCCTTGAACAATCATTGAATTCCATAGAAAATCATTTATACATTGGTATAAATTGGAAAAATTGGAAAAATTGTTTTCAATTTGTGATTCAAATTTTTTTTCTTCTCCTGTTCACTGTTGTATTTCAATTAAAAGTCATGTCGACGTACAAGGTGGTGGCCGTTATTACCTTCATATCTTGATAATATTAAATTGATTAATCAGTAAAAACACATTAACAATTGGATTGTGGTCAATGTTTAGATATTTGATTATAATCAAACTGATAATGATAATGTCTAAATATATATAGATAGATAAATTATGAATAGATATGTCGAATGAATCTTCAAAAAAAAATCTATTGCCATTATCGATTATGATGATGATCATTGAACCGAACCGATAGATCGAATAGATTATTTTTAATATATCCGATCCCTTTCCAAAGATTTCTATTTCATTAAATGTTAATAAAAACATATTTTGTTTCACTTTGATTGTTTTTCTTTCTTTTTTTTGCCAATAATTGGTTTTTTATTATTATTTTGTTGCTAAATTTGAGAGATAGTAATTGCTATTTATTAGGCAATAAATACAAATTGTTGGTTAAATGAGAATATAATTGTTATTGCTGCTGCTGCTTGGTGGTTGACCTAATGAATTTTGATACCAATAAATAAAATCGAATCCGATTGTATACAAAATAACTGTACTTTGTGGCGACTTAAAATTTCATTAAAATCGATCAATCTATTCGAATGACAATTGTGACAGATGATCATCATTAATATCGATTTATCATTACATTACTATAGATATCACACCGTTACAACCATCTATTACAAACAAACATTTTCCGAATGATATTTGATTCGTATTATGATCATTTGATCATGACCGTTGCAGGGATTTTTTTCAACTGTTCATTGTATTTATATGATGATGTGGTTTTTTTATTCGATTCGATTCGATTCCATCCATCATTATTGATTGTCGATTGATATTTTTGGTCATCAGTTAAATTTTTGTTCACTGTTTCTATTTTCTTTCATCGATATATGGCCAATATGTTCATAACAGCTGCAGGCATATATAAAGTTAAATTGTCAAATAAATAAAAATCACCTTTCCGAATTGGCCGTTATTGCATTCATTGCTATCAATCCAGTCTTTTCATCTAATATTTCGTTTAATAATATTCTCTTTTTTTAAAAAATATAGAGAAATAACAGGTAAAAGAACAGGTTCTCTGAATCAATTTATGGCTAGGCTATCATCAACGTCATTTTGTTGTTGTTATTGTTATTGATGTCGATGTTTTCGATGAAATCAACGAGAAATAGAAGAGAAGATCGAATAAAATCTTCATATATATTTAAGGTATTTCAACAGGCCATAAAGAGAGAAAAAGAAAAAGATGGCTGATAGTAGAACCTGTGTTGCTTTATTTTTTTTCCATTCTAGATAAATTATTCGTCTCTCTTTACTTTAAAGATGTGGTATGTACGATTTTTTTTGTGTTCAAAAGTTTTTCCATAGAAAAAAAATCTACCTAAACATTGTGTATATTTCAGGTGTTTCACACATATACAAATAAACAACAAAAACAACAAAAATTCGTTTGATGCCACCACTACAAACCATCACGATTGACGACGAAGACGACGATCATCAAAACCACCACCACCAATCGTACCGCGCTAGTGAATTGTGTTTGGATCCGAATATTTTTTCTGTTTTGTATCGATGTGTGGCTGGTGTTAACCATCAAAGTAAAGCCGAGTCCAAATTTCAGTCAATGAACAAACATTGTCGACCTGTTGTTTCGACCTTTTTTTTTGCATTGGCACCGGGCAAAATCCAAAAAATATTTGTAACTCATCGAATGATCATTCATTCTATACCTCATCATAATAAAAAAAAACTTTTACATCACATCATTGGCGCTTATACTCTACGTGAATTTTTGTTGTTGTTGCAACATTTACTTTATATTCGTGTGTACACAGGACCTAAGAAGAAAAAGACAATTTGTGAATTGTGTGTTGTGTTTAATCCATAAATGTTAGTTTTTTTTTTCCTTCACAATTTTATCAAATTGTGAATAAATTGTTTCATTACATTCCACATCATTAAATAATTCATCTTCCTGAAATCAAACAATGATGAGATAATCTTCTTTTTTTTCCGCAATAATATCGGTTGATTCAGAGAAAAAATAATTTTCATTTTTCAAAATCAACCTTTTTTCTTTTTTGCAGCAAATTTTGTTTCCTTGAAATTGTCAAATGATCATCAGTTCAGTTGTGAAAAAATTGTATTGTTGTTTTGTTGATTTTTCCCTTCAATTTTCACATGTGAAATCATTATCATCATCTATCTTAGTAAATTATTATCCATAAAAAAAATTAATAAACATTTTGGTTTCAGCTGAAATTATCAATTTTTCATTTTGGTCAGTTTCGTTGTCTGTTTGTTTGTTGTCATCATCGCAATCGTCAATTTAAAAAAAAAAGAAAAGAAAATTGGAAATTTTTTCTGTTGAAACTGGCCTTTGTTTTTGGATCATTGTGGTCAATGTTAGTGTTTGTTCATGGTTTTTTGTTTGTTTGTCATCAAAAATCATCATCGTTGTTGTTATCACATAATAATACTGATATCCATTTTGTTGTTTCAATAAGAAAAAAATCTTAATTATTCCAAATCATTCTCTTACAAAAAATTTCAATGTGAATATTTAATCCATCTTTTATTGAAATTTCTTTTGTGTTTTTTCTTCTTCTTGTCTCTTGTCAAATCGATCAAACGATTATATATAACAATCAACAACAACTTTTTATTCAAACATCATTGATTAATAGTGTGGTTTTTTTCATATATTAAAAAACAAATACAATCATGTCCTGTTCAGCTGTAACATTGTCCGTAGCCACTGTGCTATCGGTTATTGCTGTTGCTTGTTTAGCTATCGGTTTTAGTACCGATAATTGGTATGAAATACGAGTCGATACGAATAGAACAAGACAATATTTGGATGCTATTGATAATAGTGGTAGTCTACCATCCGATTATGATTCTAATTATCTTTATTATTCACGTGATGAAGGACTATTTCGTGTTTGTTTTGCCGATAAAAAACCTCGAGAATGTATGTATCAATTTCTTCTTTATTTTATTGTGTTATTGTTCAATTAACCAAATTGGTTAGTTTATCTTGACCATTATTCCCTTCTCATATACAAATTTTATTTTCCAATTATTTGTCAATCCATTATTTATTGTCATTATTTAATGAAATGAATATTTTATAAACAATCAAACCAAAACTAAACAAAATTTTCATTTGATAATCATCATTATCAACGAATTTGTATACTTGAGTTCTTTTTTCTTATCATCATTATCTATGAAGATAATTTTTTAATGTTAAATCTATGCAAATAAATGACCTCGAATTTTTCTTTTTTCTTTCATTTTTGGGTAAATTGAATTTGATAACTGTTTTTTTTCCGGTAAATATTGAAGTGTCTCTTTTTGTCCTCTCTAATGGAAATTTACATTGTCGATTTAAAACTTTATCTTTACGTATGTATGGAATGGCACATTTTTTTCCCACTTGTTGATCCTAATTTACTCATACATACATCAACCCGATGGATGAATGTGTGTCGTGGTAAAATGTTGAACGATTTTTTTCCTTCCCTCCCCCATCATCTACAATTCTAAGTTGATGATGATCGGTAGTGGTGAATCCACTATGAACTTCTTTTTTTTTGGTGTCAAACGTTGGTTATAACTTTAAATTGAATCAAATGTTGACATAACATATAAATATATTTTACTCAAACTTTTCTCGATTTTTTCAAAATTTCTCAGTACATTCATTATGAAATCATTTTTCGGGTTTTACAAATACCTGACCGACACTCACACATACACAAAGATCACATCTTTTTCCTTGCACCATCAAGATTTAAATTATCGGTAAATATTTTCATGATCGACTTGCATATCGACTGAATCACTATGTATTTTATATTTAGATGAATGAATCATTTTGGATTTTTCATTTGAAAACAGGATTTTTATTTTCTCAATATTTATTTTCTGATTTTTTTACTTGAAAACGTTTAATGCTTGCATAAAAATTGATGTTCAAATACGATTAGTTTCTAACTAAACTTTTTTTTTCTCCGGTCGATAATACCAAAGTGCTGATGTCGGATGTGGTGATGATGATGATGAACTTGATTTTGTCTAGTTTAGGGATTTTATTCTCTCTTTTTCTCTAATTGAAAGAATGACTAAATGTCTGGCCATTATCCGAAATGATGTGTGTGTGTGTACCGTATCTGAGCAATCCAATTCTATCTTTTGATGTTTATTTCATATCCAACCACATTTTTCTGATTATTATCAACCAAAAAAAAATAAAAATTGAATGGTTATTGGTTGATTTTCCCGTTTGTTTGTTCTTTTAAAATGTTCATCAATCAAAAGCTATTTTTTTCATTGACGTTTTTCTTTCTCCGAAAACTATTAATAATCGATACACACAAACCACCATCATCATCATCATCACCTGGAGCAGATCTTTAATAAAAAATAATAAAATTGCTCTACATAAAATTCAATCAATACGTTCAATACCATTGATCGATTAAAAATAAAAAATTGAATCAATCTTTTTTGTTGTTGTTGTTGATACCTATCTAGTGATCTAGAATATCGATAACTATATATAATTATTCAATAAAACATTTTATCAATAGATTTTTTTTAATAGTTATTATCATTTTTGATCGAAATTGATCTAATTTCACATTCATTCATACAAATAGTAATTCAATTCAATTTAATGAATCATTGAATGATAATGACAAACCTGATTCCAAAATTAAGAATTGTTAAAGGAGTTTAGATTATTCTGCATATAATTATCATCATTATTAGCGAAAGGGTTAATCAAATTATCAATAAACTTTTTTTTCTTATAAATTTTCTCTCTTTTGAAAAAAAACTATCATTTCTTCTTCTTTTTCTTGTTCACAAAAACCCGTTCATCATTATAATCATATAAGGAAAGCTATTATTAACACTTGTTAATAACACACAACGAATATCGATTTTGAGTTAAACTTCCTGAACCATTATATCAATCGAAATGATAAAACATTTCAATCAAACAACAACAACAACAAAAAGTAAATCAAATAAATATAATAAAAACTTGTTGACTATCCTCATATCATTATCATCCATAATCATTTCATTATTTATATATTTTTTTTTCTTCAAAAAAAAGTTATAAACATCATGAACAAATATAAATCATATATACATTTATTTCATGTTTACCAAACAAAACAAAAAATTGTTGTCAGGTAGCCATTTTTTTTGTTGTTGAACCAAATTAACCGAACATAGGCATAGGAAACAAAATTTCAGGTGTGCAATGAAATTCAAAATCATAAGAAAAAAAACTACGATGCTACTGGTATCATAATTTTATCGAATCTATGAGGAGAAATTTTCATTGCTAAATAGGGGTGCGAGCAAAAAAAACAAACTTTTGAAAATATTTTTGTAGGATGCTATTGAATGAATGAATCTTCGAAAAAAAGGGGTCGGCTGCATGGTTAATCTTATAATATACTAAAAATATAACTGGTAATATTAATCATGTTAATATGTTTTGTGAATAATAAAATTTGAAAATTAAGAAAATTAATTCTTACAATAGTTTTTAGGAAAGAATGAATGGATAAATTAATTTGTCAATGATGATGATTATTTAGTGAATTTATTGTTTTTGATAAAAGTTTACATTATTAATCTTCTTTTTTTTTGGATGTTGTTGAAATCATCATTAGTTTCGTCACTTGGTTAGCATATAAGTTGACCGACATTCCTAACTTTTTTTTTTGATTAACTCTCTTGCTCTATCCCCTTTTTTTGGAAATAAAACAATCTGGATATTCATAGTTTGTAAATGAAAAAAAAACATTGAACAAGTTCATCGTCTAATCATTCAATGAATCAGATGAGAACTTGATAATCAACCTGAAAAAAAGGTAAGCTTGAGGCAATAAAAAGAATGTGCCTGTTTTTAAACATGTCCACCGTTATAATTTTCAAACAACATAATTTTTTTTCGGTGATTCAAAACTTGATCTGATGATATTTAAAAACAAAAATGGAGAAAAAAATTTCATCCAAAATACCTTTAAGATTTTTGAATCCTTAAATATTAACTATCGATGTTTGTCTGAATGTTCTATTATCGTCTGTCTGTGTGTATTTGAAGGATAAAAAAAGAAACTTTCAACTTTTTTTAATGACCACAATTTGTTGTTTTTTTTATCAAAAAAAAAAGTTTCAAAATCAAATAAAAATATGAATTTCACATTATGAAATCCTTTTTACTTTATCCACCCTCTTGAATAATGTGAAAAAATTCATCATTACTTTCAATCGAATCAATTTGATTTCATTTTAGGTTTGATTGAAGAAAATGATTATTTGAAATAAAAGTTTTGGGAAAATAAACAAAACAAAAAAATGTGAGAAAAAAAATGACAATAAAAAAATTTGATTTTTCCATATAGTAAGATGTTTGGTTCGCCTGTTAAATAGCTTCGTTTCTGACATGATCGGCATTTTAATTCTGAAACTTTTTTCTGTGTTTTTGCTATTATTCAATAAAATGTATACATTAAAATCAGTTATGTTCATTCATTCATTCATTTCACGATCTCATTTAAGCTTTTTTATTTTATTTGCCAAATATTTTCATTCATCTTTATATTACAAACACACACACACACAAATATGGTTGTAATAACTTTGTTTGGAACATGCTTGCTAACGGAACATTCATAATATATCGTCGGTTAAAGAAAGTTGAATTAAGGAAAAAAACGATGAAGAAGAAAAAAAAACAAAATGAAATTAAGCATTTCTATTCATCCAAATTGAATGAATAAATTCAGTTATTATGGCCAATTTTGACATGTCTGTCGATGATGATGTTGATGATGACAAACTTGTAACAAGAAAACGAGAACAGGTTTTTTTTTCTTCTTCAACATTTGTTTTCATTTGTCTATAAAGGAAATTAATGTAACATCGAATGCCCCATTCATTCATTCAGACCACCGAAAACAAAAAACAAAAATCTTAAATAAAAACAATGTTCATGTTGGATCATAGAAATTGAGAATAATAAATAATTGAAAATAAATTAGACCTTGATGTTGATGAATGTATTTTTTTCTGTTGATCATCATTATCACTTTTACAGTCAGTCAGTCAGTCAGTCAGTAAATGTATCATCAAAGAATTAAATTAAATTTAAATCTTATTCAATAAAATTTTATAAAACAAATAGCTATTTATCATTAGGTGTTTCTTTTTTTTCAGAAAAAAAAAACAAATGACAATTAATTACAGCGAATTTCTCTGTTTTTTTTTCCTTCACAGAATAGAATGTTTGAAACGAAAACGATGGACATTTTTTTTTCTTCAAAACAAAACATTTTGTTTTTTTTCTCATAATAATGATGATGATATAAATCTTACATATTGGATAGAAGAAAACAAAAATGAATGATAAATCTTTTATGTTTAGAAGATTCGTGAATATCATCATCGTAGCCATGATATGATGACTTAAAACATTTCCATATAATAATGCAATGTGTTGATTAGATTGTATGGTATATGAAAGAAAGAAAAACATTTTCATTGTTCTTGTATACAATTCTCAATGTGTATAGCTTATAAAATGATGATGCTTAGATAATGATGATGTAAATAGGCAACAACAGTGAACCGTTATGAAGTCAACAAAAAAAAATTGAATTTTTTTTTTACTTGTTTTTCTTTCCTTTGCTCATCTTTTTCATTTTATTTTTTTTTTCTCAATCCGAAAAAAAAATTTTTGCAAACATATTCATAATAATGTCCATCAATGGTCAATTATGATTACCAACAACAATAGTGTTAACAAACATGTTTGTTTGTTTTTTTTTCACCGAAATCTTTTCATTTCATGAACATCATTATCATCAAGATTTATCATCGATAATATTTTTGGATTGTTGATATTTTCGGATGTTTATCTTTTTTTTCAAAATAATCATTTTGGATTGTATTTTGGTTTTCTCAACAAAACAAACAAATGGATTGAAGATGATGATGACGACATCATTCACCATTGATTATTTGATCAATTTAAAATATAATCTAAACAAATGTTGTTGTTTTTTTTATATTCAAAGTGGACAATAATTTTATTTTCATTTTAGAATAAAAAAACTTTTTAAAAAAAGTTAATTTTTTTCCTTGTTTGTCATTTTATTTACCTAAAAATAGTTTTGAATTTGATTTCATCATCATCATCATCGACCACAATTACAATCATTTTTGATGATGATGATCATTATTATAATTGTACCCAATATTGTTTCTTTCATTTCACTTTTTTTGTTCTCTTGCACAAAGATAATAAAGAATGGCCAAAAAAAAATTTTCCAAACAAAATCGATCCATTATGATTTCCAATCAAATGATTTTTTTTTATATATTTGCTTTCCATTTCAAGATTTTGGAAATCAAAATACATTTTTTATTTACAAAAAAAAGATGATGTTTCGAAAATGGAAAAAACAAATTTCACCAAAAAAAATCTTTGAATGATAAATATTTTTTTTCTCCCATTTACAAATAACCGGATGATGTATTTTTTTGTTGTTGTTGTTGGAAAAATTTAAATTTGTTTTCGAGTTGTTTATTGTCGATGTTTTTTCAAATCAACGGGTAGCTTTTTGCTACAGGTTTTTCTTTCTTTCTTTTGTTCCATTTCTTTTGTTGTTGATGATGGTTATATATGTCTGTATGTTGTTTTTTTATATATTCTCAGTTATGAATATCATTGTTGTTATTTCTAGCATCTACATTAGGATCTACATTAGTTGGAAATGCAAATTTTGTTGTTGTTGTTGTTGTTGCTTTCTTTCCAAAAATGTAAAGATTTTTTCGCGTGGTATCTAAAAATGTGAATGAATGTATTATATTTTTTTCTTTGAATAAAAATAAAGTACAATTGACAAACACACATACCGAATATATTGTTGTGTGTTTGTGTTATTTTGTCCATGTTTTTGTTTTGGTTGTTGTTATTATTATCCTACTTATCACACTATCTCGGATAATGGTATGAATATTGGTTTTGAATAATATTTTGGTTTGAATTTTTTTCACTGTTTTATTGCACTGGTAGTAGTTTTTTTAAAAATGATGATAATTGATGGTCAAAATCTTGTGACAAATGGATTTATTTTTTTCAGAACTCTTCCATTTTGGTCATTTTTGATTTTGTTTTTATTTTTCATTTATTTTTCTTCTTCTTTGGGTGTGTGTGTGTGTGTGTAATGTAGTGTATTCAACATTCTACATTTTAGTTGATGAAACAATGTAAAGATGAAATGTAAATCTTTTTGTTTTCTACTTTTTTTTCTGAAAATGACAACTTTAGGGAGTAGTTGACATTTATAATTCATTCGATGTAATAATATTATTATGAAATTTGTACAGTAGATGATCGTATCCGAAAATTAAAAGACAACAACAAATAAAAAAAACAATACCATTTTACCTCAACAACATTACCATAATGATTTTATTTGAATTGAAATAGAAAACACACACACACAAGCAGTTGATCTTCTCGTTCTCCTCTTTTTTTTTTGAAAAAAAAAGAATAAACAACAAACATTCTTTGATGATGATAATAATCATCATGCAAACACAACAACATTAAATGGCTAAATTTAGCATCATGATGATTATGATTATGATTATGATGATGATGTCTTTTGCCCAACTTTATGATTGATTTATAACGGAACAAACACCGAAATGAATTGTTTATTATTGTTTTCTGATGATGATTATAATAATAATAATGTTATAATGATGATGATTGACTAATTGAAACATAATAATCATTTTGAATTCAATTTTTTCAAAAAAAATTCTAATTTTATGATTTTCTTTCTATCTTTTCATTTTCAATAGTGTCAACATATTTATCACCAACACAGACTGAATGTTTCAACATTGATTATTATATACCGGAAAATAAAGAATCCGATAGCTTTACCGATACACGATGGGAACGTTTACGTAAGTTCTGTTTTTTTCATACAATTTTTGTTTTCAAAAATAATAACAGCAACTATGTTGCTAATTTTGGATTGTGTCCATTATTTTCTTCAATCGACAATTGATCGATCGATCGATCGATCAGTGTGATCTATTGAAATGTGATCGAAATCAAATTCGAGCAAAAGTTTTTTAATATAACAATTTTGAGTTTATGTTAATTCTATTGAAAAATTTCATTTCAACATAATTGTGCAATCGGGTCATCATTATCATCAACATAATCACATCATCAAATGTGACATTAATGATTAAACAACAATGAGCAGATTAGATATGAAGAATTCAATTAGATTTTGCTTCTTAAAATCATCAAGTTGATGATGATTATCATTATTGACAAGCAACAAGTTGTTAATTTTGAAAATAAAAATGAAAATTTCAAAAATAAAAATCTACGCCAAATTGATAATTTTGTGCGAACAACAAAATTAGCCACATATAGTCATTGTGCAACAAAAATGAATGGAGAAAAAAAAATAATAATCACACAATTCAAAGTTTTGCTTCACCGAAACACACATTTTATTCGATGGAATTGAATTTTTTTCCCTTCGAATGGATCGAATGGAAAACCTTGCTTTTCTTATGCCAACAAAAAAATTGAAATTCGAACGGTTCATGAATGATGATCACGATTGATTGCAAATGTGGTGATGGTGGTGGTTGTTATGGTCATTATAGATTGATCATGTAGGCGCCATATTTATATTTTTCTCCGCTTGTTTACCATCAATTGATTGATACAACAACTAAAAGAACAACCATAACAACAACAACAAAATTTATCACAATTTTCATCTAAAATTCAAAAATTTCATTTCGTGATTTATTTATATAAAATTTCTATTTTTGTTTTTATTTATTTTTTTCAACATATCCAGATATGGCACGATCAGTAGTGGCTTTATACATAATGGCATTCTTTTTTATAATCCTTTCATTTTTTACCGGTGTTGCAGGTATGTTTGATTGAAACGAATTGAATGAATGAAAATAATCAATCACGATTCGATCGAAACTTGACTAAATATTTGATTGTTAATTTTTTTATTTATTTCATTGTTTCAATCATCGATTTTTGTGTTTTCATTTTTCTCCCATTGATTAACTAAATAAATTTATCGTTTGTTTTGCGATTTCAAGGATGTTGGAAACGATCACATGCAAATCTTGTATCCACTGGATTGTTACAATTATTTTCTTGTAAGTTTTTTTCTTTCTTCATGCTGTGATTATTTTCTTTGTCCTGTAATTGTTGTTGTTTGATCAACAAAAAAATATGATCACAACATACATTTATTTTGTTAGTGTTGATGGTATTTGTTTCCATTTTTTTTCATAATTAACATTTTCATTGATTTATAATGTAGCATTGATGGATGCTGGAGCAATGGGATTATGGCATGCGGTTCAATTTTATGATCATCATAAATTGAAAGATGAATATTCGTATGCAGCATGGCCTGATGTATGTATTTTATTGTGTACAGTTTTCTTTTTCAGATTTTTTGTTTTTGTTTTTGATTGATCAAATAAATCAATAATTGATCAATTTTCTTTTCAATTTTTGTTCGTATCTCAATGTTTTTTTATTATAATTGTAATTGTGGGTGTTATGACATTCAATTTTTATTTTCATCTATTTCTAGGTTCTTAAACAACCGGGCGTTACCGAATTCTATTATGGATGGTCATATATAATTGCATGGATTGGCATCAGTCAATTATTGGTTGCATCAATTATGTTTTTATCTGCAGCCAGATGTATTCGTAGTGAAAAACGTTTGGAACAAACAAAAAATATGCAATATTTAATGCCTGTCTATCCAGATAAACGTAGTCCATATGGTTTGAATTATGCATATGCATATCCTGGCCCATACACTTACCATGGATCTCAATATGGAATCGGACCATATGCATATTGATCATTAAATTATTAAGAATATCTACTTCCAAAAAAAAGAAATTAAAATAATTTTCAATTATTTCCTCATCCTTTCCATTAAACCAAATGAACCGTATCACCGAAATCAATTTACCCGTACTGATCAATATACGAAACGATCAATATATATTCATCGATTTGTTTGTCGCCAACTAAGAAAATCAATAAAACAACAAAACTTGTCCAACTTTTCATATGATACATTTCAGAAATATCCCATAAACATTGATTCATTCGTTTTTTTCTCATTATTTCTTTTTTTTTTGTTATACACAAAAAAAAATCCGATTTCTCTTTCATTTTTCTTCTGTGTTTTAATAATAATCCGTTAATTTAGAAATGATTATGACAAAAAAACCATCATTTCTAAATTTTAAATTATTATCATTTCCTATAAGAACAACAAATCGGTCACAATTAAAAGATTTTTCTCCAAAAATGAAAAATTACATCAAACACACAGAAAAAAAACATCAAATTTAATTAACCTACCTGAGATGCAAATGGCTTCTCTGATTAATGTAAAAACACACACACACACACACACACAAAGAATCAATTTATTCCTCTTCAAGTTGAAAAAAAATTAATCCTCTTTACATTACATTTATTATTTAATATGATTATCATCTTTTCAAAAGAAAGAAAATTCTGTATGCTTGTTTTCTCATTTCCCTTTCCTCGTTTCCACATTTTTTTCAAATGAAAATTTTTTCTTAATTTTTTTTTTCGTCAAATACACTCACACAAACACACTTACATTTGAAGCTCAATTTTCACAAACATTTGTTCCATAAGATTTATAGATAACTTGCCATTTTTTTTCATGATGAATCATTTTTTTTGGAACTTTTAATCAGATAAATTATTATTTTCATTATTTTTTTCTAATCATTTTATCCCATTTTATTCAATTTTTTTTGTATCATAGAAATATTTTAATAACGTAAAATAAATGGTTTGATTTTTTTGAAATTTTTTTTTGTTTATCATCATTATCTTACGACAGTCAAATAATGATGATGATGATAATGATGCCCGTTGATGGTCATCATGATTTTTTATTGGTTAAAGATGAAATTGAATGGAGAATCATTGATAATGATGATGATATTATCCATCACTGTGTGCAAGAGATTATTGGGCCAAATGACCTGTTTGTGGTTGTTGTTTTCACAATCAAACAAATGAGATTGATATAATCGACTTGATTGAGGAAATGGAATATCTTTGTAAAAATTTTCTTGTTCTTTTTGTTAGCATAGCATCGAATATCAACAACCATATCATCAGATTTCAATGTCCAAAAGGGACAACCATCAACATCATTCAAACACACTGAATTCATGAGAATCAAATGGATGATAAATGATGATGGTAATCAAGTCAAAAGAAGAAAAAAAACGAGGCATCAAGTATTGACTTCAGTCAGTAGTCATCAAGCCTTAAAAACGGTACTTATTTTCTTCAGCTTCATTCCTCATAATCATAATCATCAATTAAGCATAGTTTAAATTGATCTGTTTCTGGCGGCTTCTTATAGCTTGATTTTCATTTTGTTTTTTTTTCTCTTTTTTCTGTCAAGAATTATAATTGATGTGTACAAAAAAAACAGTAAAGAAAATGAAATACCGTTCAGGTGAAGGTCAAGTTGGTTCGTCGACACAAACAGGTTATTTCAGTTTTAGTTAGTCCGTTTTCAAAAAATCATCTTATTCTTCCTGTTTCTTCTTTCTATTGACTGACTGACTTATTATTATCATCCAATAAGAACTGGTTCTTGCTGATAAAGTATTCATCATGAATTTTTACTTCATTTTCTTGAAATATTTTTTTCTTTAGTCATTTCATTCTTCAGATACCTAACAGAACTAAAGGAAGTATAGTTTTTCTGATTATATAACATATTTTTTGAAAATTCTATATATAACTAAACAACAATAAAGTTGATCATTTTATAAACAATGTTTGATTGAAAAAACATCATTTGAATCTATTTTTTTTACTGAAATAAATAAATTCCACAATAAAGATAGCAATAAGTGTGACAATCGCGAAAAAACTAATATTATATAGAAAAAAAACATTATCATTATCATCAACATCATCATCATGAATATCACCATCATTAAATTGATTGTAATTGATATATCTATCATTTTATATTTATAGATAATGATGTGTTTGTGTATATGGTGTTTGTGGTTATTATTTCTAATCTGATGTCATTCATTATAATTTTCTTTAGGTGTTTTTGATTTCAATTGTTCACGATATATTCGCATTTCAACAGCAGCAACAACAACAACAACAACAACAAAAACCATCATCAGCGATAGGACAAAATGTTCAATTAGAACAAACACTTCCGAAAGGATATTATGCATTTGGTAAAGCAGCATTAAATGCTAGACCACCTAAAGTACGTAAACCACCATATTTACCAATATCAGGTGAATGTCCAGGTAAATATATTTTTTTTGTAAAATAATATTGTTTTTACTATTGATGCCTATTTTTTTGTTAACAACAGGAATTCAAGATGCTAGTTCATTACTTTCAAAACATAATATGTGTGGTGATTTAAATCGAGGTCTAATTCCTCGTAATCCAATGGGACAATATGTTCATGGTGAACCATATCCATTGTAAGTTAATCTAATTCTTTTTAACATGAAAAAATGGGATAATAATATTTGGAATTAATAGTGAATTGATCAAAAACAAAACTCTACAATATTTATCAAAAACTTTGCCATATTTAAAAGAAGAAATCGATAATGTACCAAAAGTTGCCCGTTTTGTAAAGCCATCAGAATTTTTCGAAAAGTTCAGTATATTATTGATAAAATTTTTGATTTTGAACAATAATGATTATTATTATTATCATTGTATGTAAATAGTCATTCCAAAAGACATACCCGACAGGCAAATTTGCAGGAATTGAATATAAATATAGAAAATTCAACTAATGCATCACAAATGTCATTCATGGAATCGAAAATGAATATAAATTCTAATAATATGACCAAACAAAACCGTCAAAATGGATGCGATGGTAATGTGTAAGTGGAATGTATATTTCGAAAAAAAATTGTCAAATTATAATTAAAATTGTCTCTGTTTTTTCTAAGTATTTGTCAGGCAATTGAATCATTGAAAGAAGAAGGTCCATTTTCCAAATCATTTTTGAGTAATGTTGTTTCAGCTGTTGGAAATGTGGCTAGTATTAATAGTGTTGTATCTTTAATCGATCAATACGGACAATCAGTGAATCAAACGAATCCATCATCTAGTAGTCAAAGATTTGCCCTATCACAATTATTATCATCCATCGGCTCTGAAAGTAGTAGCAGCAATAATAACAATAACAATAACAATAATAATAATGCCGGAACAGGAAGCTCTTACAGTCCATTATTATCGATAATCGATTATTTACAAAGTTTGCAGACACCTAAATTTGCAACAAAACGAAAAACATCACCAGATGTAGAGGACATTATTCCTGATGGAAATGAAAAACCTCAAACACCATGTATGTCAACTGAAGAATATATTTCACCGACTTACGCTCGTAACTATCAAGGTGTATGGAAATATGTTGTGCAAATACCAAACGAAGGGTAAGATCATATCAAAAAAAGGAATATAAAAAAATTTTCTCATTATTTTTTCCTTGTTCATTGTTTGCTATGCAGGTATTTTACGCAAACAATTCAACAAACAACTTGCTTGTAAGTTACCTGAATTAACCGAAAGGATAACAAAAATCATTAATATTGGAAATGTTTTTTTTTCAATCATAAATTAATAGGAAAAATAAATGTGATCTAATTGAAGGATCATGTAGAGAATCACCAAGGTAAAGAAAACATTATCATTAGTATCGTTGTTCATTGTTATTGAATAACATTAATTGATTGTCAATTTATATTAGGTGGGTCAGCTTATTGGTAGCCGAAATATTCTACCCGGATATTTATTTTCCGGTCAATCAAATAATGCCAATGTTATATAAACAACAACAGCAAATGATTCAACAACAAGGATCAACAACATACAACAAACCATTGAACCAAAACGCCCAACAACAACAACAACAGCAACAACAAACGTTAAACAATAATGGCAAACGAACATCATTTCAATCTGGTTCCAATCCAATTATCTCAACTGCTTCATCGATTAACTTGAATCAATTGAATGGCCTAGATATGAATGCTTTAACTAATTTACTAACAAAACGAATTAATAATGATCCATCATTATTGATCAATCATTTGGGAAGCACAAATAATAATCATAATAATAATATTCATTCACTTAATAATAATCATCTTCATCAATTTGGTCTACAAAATCTGGAATTATTAGCTAGAAAAGCTCGATTACAACAGGATATAAATGGAAATGAGCTGAATAATGTTGAAGATAATGTTTCAGATTCGATAGAGAATTCTTCTTCATCAAACAATAATGACAAATCAAAACATTGTGATGGTTATGATAAAATTGGTTGCTACGTTGTACGAGTATATTATGATTGGTTTCTAGTGAATGGTAGCTGTAAATGTTGGAAGTCAACATCCGGTTCAAGTATAAATGAAACAATCAAACGAATTTTCATTGGAAAATGGAAGAAAAAATAATGGACAAATATAGAGAGAAAGATATGAAATTTACTACAAATGAAAAATAAAATTGTAATCATGTAAAGTATGCTGGAAAGAAAAAAGAATTCTACAACAAAGCAAAACAAAAATTTACATATTATTCTACTCCCACGAGTATTTCGATAAAAATTTCCAATTCAATTTTCTTGTACATAAATACTTCTATGAACACAAACAAACAAACAAACACACACACAAACACATTTGCTTGAATACCAATTTGGTAATATCATTCTATAATTTGGTAAAATTATTCTATATTCTCAGATAAGGGGTGTGGGTGAGGGAAATTTGGTACAGGGACATACACTTTTTTGTTTTTAATTTCTTTATGGATAATGATAATTTGAAATGAAATCAATGAAGCGAAGAAATGAATTTTTTTTCTTTCTTTCTTGTTTGAATTCAAACACAACCAATTTGATGATGATTTCAATAATCGAGATTGAATGATGATTACAATAATGAATTGTATATGTTTTTTTTACTGAGAAATTAAAAAATCTAATAAGATCTCATTGATGTGTTTCATTCCATGAAATTTATTTCACGTTGAATGATGATCCGGAATATGATTTTTTTTAAGAAACCGATTAATTATTGATTAATTATTTGAATTGATTTAGAGAATTTATTATCATTTTTGTTTAAAATTAACATAACAACAAAAAAAAAGAAATTTGTGTTTACATCCTGATGTTGTAAATGGGTGTGAGTTTTCTTGTTCGTTGAATAGGAATGTTGACTTTTTTTTTGTTGTTGTTGTGGTTCAAAATGATCAATGAATGTCATTGTAGGGGCTCGAGTATTTATGTATGAATGATTTCATGGTAGGTAGTGTGCATTTGATCGTCTAAAAAAAACATTTGTTCAGAATTGTATCGAATTCTGTATAGTAGAATTATGTATTTGGGTATAGTTGTTCTAGAATTTAACAATCAAAAAAAAAACAATAACAACAACAATAATTATAATAATTAATCATAATTAAGAATACGATGTATAGAATATGAAGAAAATAAGAGAAAAGAATATTTTTTCATTGGTGTTGATGATCGTGATGATTAGGCAACACATCATCAACCATCGATGAAGTGTTTTTCGATTGCACAGAAATTTTATTTAACATTTTTTTTTGCACATTTTATTGGCGTATTTTTTTTGGAAAACGTTCAATATCAACAAAAACAGAACAGAACGATTGGCAAACGTCGATGATCATTGAAATTATTATTATAATGACGATGTGGTGACAACAAGCAACAATTAATCTTCATCGTTTTTTGTTTCCCATAATGATACTTTAAATTTGATAGAATAATGTTTCGAAAATTCTACCACAAAATGTTTATACATAATCATGAAAAATATAAAGGAAATTGATGAAAAAATATGATAAACTTATTGGTGATTATTCTATAACCGTTGCTTGTTTACAGACAAATGTGTATATTTTTTTCTTTGGTTTTTCTCGTTGATATCGAAAAATTGATTGTTGATTGCAAAAGAATGCCATTCATTGTTGAAATAATATAATCGTCACAATTTTCATCATGATCATCATAAAACGATAAACAGTTAAACTGTTGAACATTTCAAATTCGTCTATATATTAGTTTGATCTATAGATTAATAATTGAAAAACCAACATTTCATAAAATTATCAAGATGCATTGAGCAATGATGAGAATTCTTGTTGTATCGAACGTAGCTCTTGAATATTTTGGGCAAAACGAACATTTAGTTGTTCCAATAATGTACGATATTGTTTATCGCTCAGTTTAATACAAGAATCACTATTGTTGTCCATCGATGAAAGACGATTAAGTTGTTGGCGTAAATTTTCGTTATCATTTAAAAGAATCTACAACAGAATGAAATAAGAAAGGAATTGTTGGAATGGTTTGTAATAAGATGAGTTTTTAGATAATCTAACTTGAATAATATTAATTGAATTATTTGATATGTAATAAGTTAGATTTAAATTATGGTAGGTTTTTATATTATCGATTATAATTATTATCGTTTTTTATTAAGCTGTTGACCTGCTGAAGCCGTATTCGATTGTGGATTCATCATCATCATCATCGTCATTACCTTTATTTTATCATCAACTTTTTGGTTTGATGAACCATAGAGTTGACATTGTTCTTCTAAACGTTTTTTTAACAAATCAATTTCACAATCTTTTTGTTTGATTTCGGTTTCAAGATTTTCACAATGCGTACGATAATGGTGAATTTCTTTGCGTAGATCAGCTATGGCTTCGGGATTTCCGTGACTAGCTTCCAGTTCAAGTATCTAAAATGATGATGATTTACATATAAAACAATTAAACGAATATTAATTAAACAAGTATTTTTTGGTTTACTTTATGTTTCATTTTAGTATTTTCATCTTTAAGTGATTGCAACTGCCTTTTCCATTCTTCAACGTTTGCGGTTGATTCTTGTAACGCATTCGTTAATCGAGTATTGTTACTTTTCAATGTTTGTAATTCAATTTCCCATTTTTTAGCATTCGTCGAACTAAAGCAAAAACAAAAACAACAAATGATAATTAAAGATAAAAAAAAACAATAAATACAAACCTCTGAGCTAAAGCTAATTTAAGCCTTTCATTTTCATAACGCAATTGTGCTTCATTAGATGATTGTGGAAGTGTAACCGATGAAATTTGTTTGTCACGGTTTCGATATTTTGGACTATCAGTTAGATTCTAATGGTAATAACAAAAATTGCCAATAAATCAACTCATTAAACATTCGTATGTGATTTTACATTAGACACTTACTTTGGCTTGAAGACCCGATAAGCTTTGGCTTCGTTGATGAGGCAGTAATGATTCTAAAAATAATTAAAGAATTTTCGGTAATTGAAACCGAACACCATCAAGAGAAAAAAAGAGAAAGAAAATAGCTTGTCAGAAAAAAAGATCGCAATGAATTATTATGTAGAATAAGATTACTGCTCATTAGGATATCATTTTGATATTCCGATGATAATCGCGGTGAATCGCGTGCTGACAATGAATGATTAACAGCAGCCGTAGCACCAGTATTAGTAATATTGCCATTAGGCTGTAGGGCTTTCTGTTGAGCGATCCTCGTGGCTTCTTTAACTTCTTGAAATTTTTCAATAAACTAAATTTTTTCAAAGAAATTTCATCAAATTTATCAAGTTTAATGTTTTTTGCCTAAACTTACTCGATTTAATTCTGGTTCCGATGAAAATCCTAGGCCGTAAACAGTATTGGCACGAATATCAGACCATTGTCCAAATTTTTGTGAAGTCTTTGTAAACGTCATATTCGGAACGATCGTGCTGTTAATGACAGGCTTTAATGAATTGAAATTGAAATGATAATAAAATATAATTCAAATCTGCATTTAAATCAATCATCACGATAAAATTATATAATCTACCTTTTGACCTTCGACACTAATTATTCGATATAATGATCGTGTGGAATCATAATAAAAATTAACATTTACTGCTGCCGAACTAGCTGGAATCCAAGATCGTTTTGTTTGTGGATCAATATGAAACACATGGGCTTTGGTTGTGAAAATTGGCGTTTCCCTTTTGAAATTAAATTCGAAAAAATTCCGATAAACAAAATTCCAATGTTAAATTTTTTCCATTGATTTTATCAGCAAAAAAAAATATGAAAAAAATTCAACTTACCCAACTTTAGTATTTTCGACAGTCATTGTTACTGTGTCTGTATTTGATAATATTAAAACCAAAAAAATAAAATAAAATAAAATATCAAGAGAATTTTTTCACGGGAGATTGAGCAAAAGTGAACTTTTGAGTTTCGGATTTTAATTATATAATCAACTATAGTTTGATTGATGATAAAATGATGAAATGATTAATGATTTCCAGGTAAATGAACAAACACAACAAAATAGTCATAACAATTTTTTTTTGTGAAAAACAACAGGAAAATATCTTTACATTGAAAAAACAAGAAGATGAAGTTTTTTTTAGAAAATAGGTTAACAGTATGATAAAAATATGGAAAGAAAATGGTAAAATTTATCAAAAGAATTATGATCTATTTTCATTAATTTACAAGCGTTCGCAGCAACATACACACACACACACACGAACAAATAAATCACAATATTATATTCATTATTGACAACAAAAAATTGATGGCCATCATAAACGGCTGATAATTATCATATAATATCAGAATGATAAATTAAATATAGACGATCGTTTTGATTTTTGCACAGAAACAATGAAAAGATGATAAGAGAAAAAAAAATTGTAAAAATTGATGTAATAAATTTCTTCCAATCAAAGCTACTGTAAATCATCTTTTAAAATCATATTAACATTGTAAACAATAAAATTGTAGCGAATAGATTCTAATCAAGAATTTTGAAAATTAATAGAAACGACTTTGAAATAAATGAAAACGTCGAAATAATATTTGTGTTCGATGAAGATGACAGAAAATAAAATCCAACCAAACCAAACAAGATATGATATTCGATGGACAACACACTAGAACCATTATCAATTATATATAACACATACAATAAGAAACATAGAAATATTCGAGGCCTAGCGGTATATTTATTCATTCGTTTCAAGTAAGGATCGATTTGGTCCAAATCCGAATTTCTTTTTTTTTGGGACACTGATGATGATGATGATGATGAACACTGGTTAAAAATTAGGTTACTGATGATGATGATGCTGTTGTGAATGTTATAGCATTTTATATTATTTTCTATAATGAGCTATGTATAGAAATGCAATGCCGAATCAGTTAGGAAATAAAAACTTTGAACTAGAACTCCGGTTATAATGACCGAAGCATACTGAAAACCCGACGAATCATATCCACAACATACAAAAAAAAAGTTGTTGGGACAATATTTACTCTGATGAGCTAGCAAATAACAACAAACATTAATGAATGAAAATTTCAACGATGTTAAAGTAAAAGAATCTAACCGAATGGCGCCTGGGCGAATAATGGAATAAAAGAAAAAATGCATCATACAATCCCGTCAACAAAACTACAACAACCAGAAAAAAACCGAGCATTATCATTCACTAATACTGCTACTGTCGTTAGTTTTATTTTAGAATCGAATTGTCTTCTGCATCGTTCATTCTTTCAAATAGAATCGTTAACATATAGAGATATCGAAACGAAAGAAGAACAAAAAAATTCTCGAATCATTCAGATGGAATAGCACTTTACCGATTACTATTCTTCTTCTTTTTACTTCGATTCATCATTTCTCGAAACAATGATGATCATCTCGGATGTGTTCACGTAATTATATATTTACAAAGACAAATATTTTATCTGTATATATTCGCATCAAGCAAAATATGTTATCGTCGGTTATTCGAATATACCAACAAATAGCATCCAAATGTGAAATATAAAGAAACCAATTATGCCACTATGTTTTATATGTTATATAGAAATATTTTCATTTTCCATACACTATATATTACACCTTGTAAAAGAATTTTGAATTATTGATAGCGGTGGAATAAAAAACAATGACATTTTTATATTCGCAAACCATCTTTGGTTTCATTCTGTGTTGATAAATGAATCTATAGAGATAATCATATTCTATTGAAAATTCTTTTATTTTACTTTTAATTTTATTCGAAAAACTTGGTTCAAAATACATAAATATAGTGAATTGAAATTCAACAAAATTCATCATAAATTTTATGATCAATTTTTTTAAACTTCTATTATTTTATTCATTCAAAAATTAAACTTGAAAATTTTTCATTTTAAGAAAAAAAATGATGAATGAGAAAATAAACGGAAAAATGAAAGAGAAAGGCACAAATCATACGAACAGAAAATAATAATTGAGAATGAAAAATAAAAATTATTATTTGATTGCAATTTTTTGTTGTTGATTTCCTATTGGTATTTAGATTTGATTTTGGTTCTTTGTGTCCATTTTAGTTTTCTACATCATTTTTTTATTAAGAATTTGTTTCTCGTTTTGTTTTAGAAATCCGACTTTTTAATTGGCCAGTTACCACAACGGCTATACAATTTCATATTTTTCCACATTCAATTTGGATTCAAAACTCCATTTGATATCTTCAACTTCATCATCGAGAACTTCTTTGATCTAAATTTTGTTTCAAAATAGAAAAAAAACAATAAGAATGATTCAAGTTTAAATTATATTGATTTTTAAACAAACAACATAGTAAAAATATACTATTGAACAGGTGCAATAATTATTATGATTTGCAAATTACTAATGAATGCTACTATATTTTGATTAAACATTAGCCGTAACAAACAACTTACAATTAGTCCCGCTAAATTTTGTTCAGAATTGAATGTACAATTGATTGGAAAAAAGTCTTCAACCGATGCTGTGGTTGATGATGAAAGATCAAAATCAATGGTTGGCGTTTTACTTTCAGGCGAAATCATTGAAATATCCCATACAAGAAAGCCACGTTTATATGAATAATCACCTTCACTACATTCATTTACAGTTGGCTGTGATGGACATCTGTATTCAATGAATTTGTTGAAAAAAAAAACATTAGAGTTGATTATTATTCATCATAATTTTAATAATGATAATAATAATCATCATCACTATGAATTTAAAACAAGTAATCCATCAATGTCACTCACGGAATCGATATGGATAACTCAGTCAACGATTTGTTGACGATTAGTTCCAAGTTGCAATTATTTCCATTTGGCCAGCAATTCAATATAAGTGGTGGCCAATCTTTCCCTGATTGACTTGTACGGCGATATTTTAACACGCCAACACTTGAATTCAATGGAAATGCTTTCTGCTTCAACGTGATTAGACCATGTTGGCGAAACAATTCTTTGTCTACATTTGGATGACTCTGTATTGTTTGTTGAAAGGAAAATTTGAATGTCAATATTTAAATTATTTCATTGTTATTTGATAGTGGTGAGACTAACCTGAATTTGAACATTTTCTGTGTCTTCACAATCCACCAAAAATTTGACACGACAAAATTGTTCATCACGAATGAGAACATGCAATACACCGGTCAGTTCGGATGAATGTACAGCTCCATCACGGGAAACTTCGATATTCAATTTTTCTTCAATGTTAATATGCACCTGTTCTTGGGACGTATTTTTGGCCACTGGTTTAACCTCTTCTTTAAGTTCAGTGGATAATTGTTCTTCTGTTGAAAATAAATTAGTATTTTTGGATCCTAATTTCAATGCTTTTGAAGGTCCCTATAAAAGAAACAACATTCATGATTTTATGTTAATAAATAAATTCATCATCTTACTCTAGGTTTCTGTGGTTTATTTGATGAAATAGAAGAACTAATATTTTTATGGCTATCATAGCTATTGTCGAATACGCTGGTGGATGAACTGATTCCGGTGTACGACGAACTATTTGATGATATACCACCACTACCAATACCTGGCATTTTAGTCAATCGTTCATTTTGTTGTGTACGCTGTAATCGACTTAATTCTTTTGCTTTTTCACGCATTTTCTGTTTAGCTTCACGTTCTTGCGTTTTACGTACAGCTTCAAATACACGTTCTTCATTTGAATCCATCTCGATGAATGTACGAACCTGTGACATGTTTACATTTTCGCGATATCCAAGTGCAACAATCTCATCGAAAGCAAAGATTAACGTGAATGCATTGTCCAAAATGGCTTGTTCATCCGAATGATTCTTACTAGTTGTTGTATATTCATTTATAACACGAACAAATAATCTAAGCGTCTCCAAATCTTCAAGAATGTTTGAAGTTTTTGTTGTGATTAGAACACAATAAAGCTTGTCCATCAAAGCTTGATAAACATAGCGAACCTATTTCAAAAACGATCAGCGTCAGAAGCGATCAGATTCATTATCAAAACGCTTACCGTATCAGTTTCTATAAACGTATGCTGTTTATCTTTGGTGATGAGCTTAGAGAAAGCGGTCAAAACACCTTCGATACGAGATCGAGACATTTCAACGAATTGTCTCGAAAGTAAAATTTTTCCATTTTGTTTGGAAATGACGGCACTGGCTAAAAGAACCTTGGTTATGAAATTATAAATTAATCAATTTTGTTATTAAATCATCGATAATAAATACCATAATTGAAGTCTGATGAAAAAGAAAAAGAAAATTTTAATTTAAAATCAAATTTATAATCTTGATCAAATAGCCACGTCAGTTTGCCGCTAGCTTGTCCACCTGAGAAACGAAATTCATTGAGAAAAATATCATTTTAGGCAAAATTCATAAATGACGTTACATCTCTTTTTTGTCAAAAAAAAATTGATTGCGAAATGATGATTATTTGATTGACCTGTTTACAGGTTGGTTGAACTTGAAATTTTTTTCTGAATGAAGGCCCGGCAGCAGATGTGCCATTTCAATATATTTAAAAATTGAAAGCAAAATGAAAAATATTGTTTGAAACGGACAGATGTTGAAAATGATCCATCGAACAAGGCGTCAATTTCATCATCAACATCACCACAATCATCATGATTATATGGTAAAAAAAATGTTTCAGAAGATATTCAGTTGAATTATGATGACATTGATCAAAATCAAAATGAAAATAATGCCTAAAGCCCGTAACAATACAATTCAAATTGATTTTTAATGAATGTTAGCTACAAATTTATTCAATGAACAAATAAGAACTATTTGATTTCAATTTGATTAGAAACAAAATCATCAATTTATTATATGTACAATGCTAATATATAGAAAAAAAACGGATGATTTTTTTCCTATATAGAAAACATAATCAACAATTATTTTTGGAATTTCAAAAATGTTTATATGTGTCAATGTGTGTGTGTGTGTGTGTGTGTGTGTTTGAAATTTTTAACTTTTTTTTTGGTAATTGAAAAAAATGTATTGTGTATTTGAAATGACTAGATATAAAATGCTGCAAATATCAATATAGCTGGATTATTCTATCGATATCAAACTTCTGATTCTTCATCGTCTTCTCTTGTTCGGCTATAATCAATTTTAAAATTCTATAAATAAATTTGAAAAAAAAAATTAGAAATTAGAAATATTGTTTGGAATTATATTTTCATACCTCAAGTTCTTTTCTCATCAATTCGATCACAGTTCGAATGGATGCCATATCTGCTTTTTGTATTGTTTCAAATTTAATTAATCGATCATTTAATCGTCGATTAGTTTCTTCTAAATGTTCAACTTTTAATGAAAGTTCATTAACACGATCCATTAATTCGGCATTTTCAGCATTTAAATTTTTAACAATATTTACAACATCCGCTAATCGATTTCTTGGCGGTTTATCCTGTGTTATCGTACCGGTTTGAAGTATATGTTTAACAAATATATCCATATGAGCTGTCCAATCTTTTTCATGACGTTCAACTTCTGTTTGTGTTCCCTTTTTTTTGAAAATTAAAAACCATATTTAAAACAAAAAATTCTTTTTTTTGAATAAATTTATTTACTTACCGAAAATTTACATCCCAACGGAATCAGACGACAATTACGTGGTTTTAATTCACATTTTTCAAGATGATCTTTTAAATCTGCACGTAATAATGATTTATTTTTACAATAACTACAAATTACTGGCTTTTTAGGACATTGATTTTCATGTTCATTTTTTGATTCTAAAACAATATCTTCTTCACAATAAATACATGATACAGCACGTCTTGGACATTCGGTTGCCATATGAATTGGTAATGATTTTATTGTAACACCTTGACCACATTTTAATGGACAATGTACAAGGCCATAAAGACATGATTTAAGATGATTCTATTTTATCATGATTTGATATGAAACAAAACAAAACAAAATTGATCAAGATTGTTCATCGATCGATGTTTTTTTTTTAAATTTGTTGCACTTACCTCTAATTCTGATAAAAGTAATGTCTTTCGACATCCTCTTCCTTTATGTGTACAATATACTTCTTGTGAAAGAATACTATCAATATTGGTGATACTTTCAATCATCTAATATAAAAATTATAACAAACGAAAATAAAATGATTTAGATTAATGTTGTTAGTAATTTTTTTTCTTTTGTAAATAATAAATGGCAATAAATTTATTGATTTATCAATTGATTGATTGATTGACAGTTACAATTTTCAAACATTACTTATTATTATAAAACCCTAATGATCATCAATAATCATTCAAAATTAAATCTGGTTAAACTAACTCTGGAAAAAAATGAAAAAACTAGAACAAAGAAATAGAATAGAAATCAGTGAAAAAAAAATCTAGGTCAAGGGTTATTTCTTTTTACTATTGTACATCAAAAAATGATTGATGTATCTGAAGATTTTTTTTTTCGTTTTGTTTTCCTTATGCTCATACAAACTGTTGATTCATTTCTATTTTCTTATATAATGATTTACGGTCTATTCGTCGGCTGATTTTTTTTCTTTCTTTCTTTTTCTCTCTTCAATTCGATGATAACGACGAAAACGAAATATAAATAGAAATTTTCATTCATTTTTCATTTTCTTTAATCAAATCGATTCCAAATAATTGAAAACAAAAACAAAACAAAAAAAAGGTCATTGAGAATTTTTTTTATTTACCTGTTTCTTATAGATTGTCATTGAATCTAATGGACATTTTCCAACAGTTTGAATACCAATAAATATAGTATCCAAACATTGTCCACAAAAACGATGAACACAATTTGTTGATAATGGTGATGGTGATGGTGTTAATAAACCACCATTAATATTTGAACCATTTAATAATCGATGATGACCATTAGTTATTACCGGGCTTGAACGCCATAATGTTCCGGTAATAACACCACATTTATCACATTTCCATTTTTGTGGTACAGTTTTAATAAATTCAACAGTTTCTGTCGGTATTGTTGGTATTATTCCTCTCAATGTTTCCATTCAGGAAGGAAAAATTGTTTGCAAATATAAATTCAAATTCAAATTTAAAATGATTTAATTGAGAATAAAAATAATGACACAGTTCATTCATTGAAACAAAATCGAACAAGAAAACTAAATGCTAAAGGTGCGAAAAATTATGATTTTTAAGCATTATGCTTTAGAAATCAGTATCAACCGAAAAGATAACCGAAAAAACACACAAATTAAACCAAAAGAATAGATAAATAAATAAATAAATTGACGACATAAACATCAAAAAAAGAAAAATTTATCGAATCCCAAACAATCATAAACATAAATCCAATATCAAATCAACAACAAATAATAAACGGCCAAAACAAAAAAAAAAATTTTTGAAAATAAAATCGTGATAGCAACGCATACCAAAACACCAGGTATATGTCATGAGATGATGATGATGATAATAATTTTTCCCTCTGCAATAATATTGGATGGATAGATGACGATGACGACGACTTGATGGCTACTATGGCTACGAAAAAAAATGGTAAATCGACTTTACCATACACACACATATACTCATCTAATTCATGTATCGCAATCTATAGATAGCTTGACAGGAGATAGAATAAGTGAGAGAAGACCAAACTAAACGAACAAGCTTTCTATCATTTTAGTTACACAACTATCTCTCTCTCTCTCGAACAACTTTGATTCTTTTTTTTCGTTATTATTGTTACTGTTGTTGGTTTGATGATAATAATGAATGAATGAATGAATGATGAGGATGATCGTTGATGATTATGATTGTTTAGCCACAAGGGCCACTCCTTTCACCTTTGTATACCTCCGGGAAAAAAAATGTTTGTCTGCCCAATTTTGTAAACAAAACACGAATGAACGAAACAAAACATCACATTATTCAAGATGCTGGTCAGTGTGTTTTTCAAATGATAAGCAAATATATATAGAGAAAGAGAGATACAAGTACACGTATTATAAAGAAACTTTTTTCAAAAATTATTCAACATTATTTACCAAATATTTGATAAAATGATGACATGAATTCATTCGGATATGTCTCTGTTAGCAACAGGTTAATTATCTCTATATATCCTCATTGGATTATAAATTGAAATTCGATTGGCATCCATCTAGTTTATCATGAAAATAGATTTTTTTTTAATGGTATCATTATCATTATCATCAGCAGTATTGTTATTGTTTTTTTGAAAATGATGATGATCAAATGGAAAAAATTAATGACATTGATGTAAAAGGATAAGGGAAAAAAACAATTTACCATTCTATATGATATTTGTTATCGATTGTTGTTTTTTTTTGAATACTGCGGGAAATCGGATGCTGGTAATGGTGAAAACTTTGTGATTGTTAAACAATAGATGGCGTAATTGCTGTCGTATTAAAAAAAAATCGAATTCGATTCAGCATGATTTGATGTCGAAGACTTATCAAGATAAATATCATTTATGAATGATAAAACGAACATTATGTTTTGATATTGATCGAAAGGATTACATAAAATGATTATCGGTTGTATTGAATAACAAAAAATCCAATTGATGATTATGATCATTTGATAATAATGCGCGCGTTAAAGCAACAGTTTTTTTCGAATAAAAAATCCGAAAAAATAAACATTTTAAAACTTGTTGCGCGCGCATTCGGAAATTGCTTCGTTCCGTATTCGACAAAAAAAAGAGAAATGGAATTGTTTTATTTTGGAAACAAATTGAACGGAAATTTTTTCTCCGATGGCAGATGAAATTCCGAATTATAATTATAACTTGCAAACCATAACAAATACAATAATAATCATGCGTCAATCAATTTTTTTTATACCAATTAATTATTATTTTTATGAGTTATCTAATCACTTGTTTTAGAAGTAAAAAATTTAAGAAAATAAAAATGATCCAAATGGAAATTGTAATCGAATGAAATTGATTTGAGCGCATGTCCAATTCGAATATATATAGAATGCAGTTGTATGAATAAAGAATATTCTCGTGGATGATTTTATTTCATATGCTTTCATGTCATATATTTCGATGATAAATGCAATAACAGTAATTGATGATTTACATGTTATGCACAAATGGATTTAATGATAATCTTGTTTACACGAAAAACAACGAATAAAACGGAACTGATTGTCGTAAGTTGATCATTGAAAAAAAAGTTGAATTATTTTTACGAAACGTCATTTATGAATTATCTTCATTATTTCTCATTTTTTCCCTCTCTCTCTCTTTTCATTTTATTGTGTGTGTGTGTTTTGTGTATGCATTGTTCAATATTTGCTGGTGGTAATTTGAGCGTTTTTCTTGTTTAATTTGCACGCACGCACTGCTCGTTGGCCCTGTATATATTTGACTTAACTGGATTCCAATTGGAACGACCAATTGTCCGCCGTTTCAGATCCCAGATTCAGAATCATCGTGTGGCCGTCGTCGTTGTTTTAATATCTTGAACAGAAGTTATATCAAATAAAGAATTCAAAAAAATCAATCTCCGCTAGAGAAAGTGAAAACAAAAAAGAAAAAAACAACTCGCGCGCGCGGATTTCTTATTTTCGTGTTATCTGGTTGATAGAAAAAAAAGCGCGCGCGAGATTTTCAACATCAACAGCATTCGTGATTGAAATCAACGACAATTTTTTATATTCAAAGTTGTTTATTACATCATCAATTCATTCGAACATATCGACAATTAAAATCATAAATCGTAAGTAATGAAAAATTTTTAATTAATTACCAATTGATACCAAAATTACAGCTAATACTAATGAATGAGTATATTGAATTGATAATCGAATAAAAAAATCATAAAAGATGTTAAAGTATGAACCGCGCGCACTTCTCAGGATTATTTGATTATTATTATTCATTTTATTTCAATTCATTATGTCTATCTCTATTTGAGACCAATACTTGATACAATGTATCTGATACCATTATAGTTTATTATTGATTTTTCAAAGAGAATCAATCAGAATCATAAAGTTTTGTTTTATTTTAAAATTTAACATCATTAGCATCATTAAATCTGCCGGTTTAAATGAAAAAGAAATTCATTTCGAAAATATTCTTATACGAATTCTATGAACAATTGAGAATCGCATGTGTTAGATATATAAACGATGACCTATGACCAAAGTTTTTTTCAACAGAATTAAATAATAGAATATAGTTGTGTAGTAGTAGTAATAAAAATAGTAATTGAGAACAAATCATGCAATTCAAGTACATTAACATCTTGTTTCTCTTAAATAGCATTATTTAATTTGGGAGAGTTAGAATGTGAAAAAATAATGAAAGAATATCCATTTATATTCGGATATATTTACCCACATTATGTTTGTATGATGGGTATGCTACCACCAGAAAATAAAATTAAATACAAGCACTAAAATTAGCCACTTTCTTTCTGAATTGAATTCAGAGAAAACAATATATATAATAACACTTTGATTTGTGTGATGAACAAGTTGAGAATTTTTCCATTGGAAATATTTTGCTATATGTTATTCCAATGCTATATTCCTTATATGTGATTTCTTTTTTGTTTGTTTGTTTGTTTGATATCAACAACACAGTGTGACAAGGAATAGACTAAACAAAAAAAAAACGAAACTTTGTATCATATTTATTGGCGCCCAAAAAATACTGTTTTTTATCTGGTTTCAAATTGAAAAAATCTTCTTTTTAAGTTATCTGGTTATAAATCGCGCGCGCGAATGCATCCTAAATGTCTATTTCGACCATGTGAATCTTTTGTTAAATTTAGTTTTTTCTTTGTTTTTTTTTCATTTCCTTTTTTTCACTCTTCTTATATTTGAAATGTTATCTATTCATTCATAGAGTATTGAAGTATTTAAACTTGCCAATCATGATCATTATCGTCTGCCTTACCGTCAACGATACCGGCATCATCATTATTAAAAAAATTTTATATTAACCCTTTTCAACAGTATTGATCATCATCATCATTGATCCATTCACATGATATAATGGCAACAAAACAAGAACAATTCATCAATGATCTTGTACAATTTTATCGTAATCGTGGAATTTCATCTGCTCATCCATCACAATTCGTTGCACGATTGAATGGAAAAAATGTTGATCTTTCTGAATTATATGCCCGTGTTTTGGAATTAGGTGGCAGCTATAAAGTTAATCAATTCAATCTTTGGGATGATATTTATTTTAAATTATTTAAAATAAATTATATTGGAGCCAATTTTGCTGTCGCATTACGACAGATTTTTAATCGTTATTTATTGCAATATGAAAAATCCTGTAACGGAAATTTTAGCAGCGAACAATGGAATGAAGATGATGATGATGAAAAGTAAGTTTAAGATTTTTTTTCAATAATAAACAAATGTTATTTAATTTTTTTTCTAAATTAATAGTAGTGCTATTTTTTCTAACTCTCATCACCATTCTGGTCAATATGTAAACAATCATCAAAATTCATTGAATCAACCACCAATATGTGATTATTTAAATAATATTACAGAATCTAATGGTCAGATACATAATGATAGTAAATTATATTGTTCACTATTAAGTGGCCTTCCAAATGAATTGAAATTTGCCTATGATGTTGCCACCATATTGACCAATAGTCATCGATTCGATTGGCATAATGATTTTAAATTTATTAATATTTTAGTTGAATCAATTAAATCATATTGTTGTGTTTGTGATCATTTTGATGAAGAGCTACAATTTGGCCGTAAAGATTTTACCGAAGAAGATGAAATTCTTCATTTAGAAAACGTGATCAAATCAAATTTTCAAATTAAAAATAAATCCAATGAAAACTTTGATACTAATGAAAATGACAAAAAAAGATCGACAAATAAATTAAATGGAATTTCTAAATTAGATGAATTTGAAATACCAAAATTGAAGAAAAATGCTATCGAAATTATTGAACATAAATGCAGTTGCTTTCTTAAATTTTGGCATCAAACATGTTCGAATGAAGAATTGTTGAATTTAGTGTTCTATGAATCCCTTGATGAAATAGATTTTGATTCTAACGTGTCATTCAAAGATTTACCTACACATTTATGTAAAAAGATTGAACAACGAATAACTTTGATCGCCGATATGATACGAAATATTTCATTTACATATGATCAAAATGAATCGAATCTTGTTGCTATGACACCTTTGCTAAAATTTTTAACTCTTTTATTCTGTTCTGATAATGTTAAATTCACCAACATATCTTTGGACATTTTATCGAATATTGCACCAGCTTTATCATTTTCTTTTAAACGACCTTATGAACATGAATTTCTAGCACTGTTACACATATTATTTAAACGTATTGTCGAAACATCATTAATAAGCAATAATATCCACGATACGACAAAATCATTCGAAATTATGGCCCGTTATATTTCTGCTACAAGTAATGAGGCAAATCTATTGCTTGAAGCTCATTTTCAAAATGATCGAATTTATGAACGGATAACACAACTTCTTACATGTCATTACGATATTGCATTAATATTGGCATTGTTGGAATTTTGCCTTGCACTTTCCGAATCTCGACCAAACATACTAATTAATAATGATAGCAGAACATTTCTGAAAATCTTAGTCAATCTATTGAATTGTCAGACGGCACAATATTTTACTACAGGTGCATTACAAAAGATCAAAATAATTGACACTAGACCTAACGAAGAAGTGGCTCATCGTCCAACTCAATTTATTCTTAATCATGATATGTCTTCGGTCACAACTACTACAACGATTATACCTCATCTTCAAGTACCCACAAAACAAGAACCTCAGATTGCAATACAATCTAATTCAAATGTTCCAACCAACAATATGATCAATCATCAAATTCAACAACAACAGCAACAGATAATACAGAAGCCGATAATGACACCGATACCGGCTACCACGTTAAATCTTAACGTTTTGGATAATGAATCATTCGCAATCAATTGGCTACGGACGACTTATGAAGAAAAGGCTACAAATTTTTCACTTAAAATAAACGATATTTATGCTGAATATGTTAAGCATTGTTGCCGAAATTCTCGCCGTAATGTTATCGCTGCTCAATCATTCAATTTCCTCCTGAAACGATGTTTTCCGCAATGTCAGATTAATCAACAACAGCAATCTGTTGAAGGTTTGAATCCTAAAATTACTATGTCAATTATCGAAGATCAGAAAAAACCGTTGATGAACAATACGGTCAACAATCAGATGTCACCTATATTAAAAGCACATCTGAGTACACCTCCGAAAGCCCTACTACCAGATGGTACGATAATAAATGCAACGACACCAGCATCCGCTGCACCTCAAACACCAACCAACGCATCAACATTAATAAAAAGTTTGTTGGCTAATAAACTTCGAAATAATCAGCAGCAGCAGCAACAACAACAACATCAACAACAAATGAATAATATTGCTGCAATACAACAGACAACAACACCCATAGCTTCAAATCTTGCGCCATCAGATGTATCAAAACCGGTGGTAAATGAATCACAACCTCAACAGCAGAAAAACATAATAATATCACAGAATTCGCCCGCTACATCGTTCGCATTGACTGCGCCTACCGTTTTCGGTAACAACATTATCGTTCCGTCTTCAATTCACCAGTCATTACCACAAGGTTCACTTCAAGGTTCTCAACAAATCTTCCTCGTTCGCACCTTTATAACAGGTCAACAAAATTCAAATACTCCGGTTAGATTATTGTTACCAGCTTCAATGATTCAGCAACGATTGCCCGTTCCGCAATGCTCTGCAGCTCCAACAGGTGCAATCAATATCAATGGTCTAACAACGGGAACACCACTTGTTCAAACTGCGTTTGTGGCAAACAATTCCATACAAACCAATCCCATGATTTCACAGCAATCATCCGTTTCTCAGCAACATTTTTTAATATCACAAGCAACAACTTCAACCGCTGGAAATGCTGTTCCTGTTATCGTTTCAACTAATGTGACAATACCATCACAATCTAGACCAGCTCCAGTAGCGGCAACAACACCTATCATGAAAAATTCATCCATTGCGAATTCCTCACCATTGTTAAACGTATTGTTGGACAAAGGAAAACTACCAGATTTTCCTAATCAACGCAATTCTTCAGTTGCTCCTACGATAGCATCCATAACTTTGAATACACCGAACACTACACCTCAACCTCAGATAATTCCTACGGCTGCAACTGTGCCCACATCTGTTGCCCAACCGATAAACACTACAATCATCCCGAATCAACCTCCTACATCAGCTCCAAATACTGTTATAGCACAACCTAAGATGATATTTCTTGCGCCAAATAATCAAACACCAACAGTGAAACCCACAAGCGTTGAATCATCAGCCAAATTAATTGTTCCCGATGTCAAACCGACACCAAACATAACAGCACGACAAGCATTGGTGAACAATATTCGATTAACCACTCCAGCGTCAACAGCACCGGTAACCATTGTGAATGGTGACCTAAAAACGCCCGGAAAAATGAACATTTTGACACCAACAAGCGCCGAAATTTCTTGCCATACAAAACATTCATTGGAAAATCAAGCAACCGAACTTAACAAAAGATTGAAACTTAATGAACCATCACAAGTTGTTCAAACAAAATCTAATGGTATTTCATTGCCAACCCAAGAAATAGCCAAGATATCAGCCCCAAATGTGCAGATTAAAATGATTGAACAACAAAAAGTTTGTCCGAACAATTCCAGCCTTGAATTCGAATGCCAATGGAATAATTGCCAAATGTATGTTAAACCTAAATTATTTTCATTGATAAAATTTCATTTGAATAATTTTACAGGAGATTCTCCAGAGCATCGGACGTTTTCTATCATGTACATTCTCAACACATAATGACGCCTTCATGTCCGAATTTTATGAATTGTCTTTGGGGAGGTGCTGAAGGACGGGGACCAGGATGTCTTTCGAAACGGCCTAAATTATCTTTACTTACACATTTACAGGTATTTTCTCGTGATCTTTAAAATTTATATTCCGTTTCAAATGTTTTTTTTTGACAGGATTATCATTGCAACCCAAATGCATTAAAACAAGAATTAGAACGAAAAAAGCAAATAGCTTCGACTGGTTCAACCAACATAATACTTCCTGCTCCACCAGCGCATCCGGGTTATGCTCAGAATGCAGCTATGTTAGCTATTCGCCGTTATACAAATAAAACAATGGTTAGTAAATGATAAAATCAACTTTATTTTTAAATAATAACTTTGCAATTTTATTCATAGCAAGAAGCATCGGAACCAATTACTCCACTAACCCCATTAACAGTTAGTATTCGTTTGACAACAGCATTAATACTGAGAAATTTGGCTAAAAGATCTCATTTCATTAAAAAGTAAGTTTCATTCATTTTTCTGCTTTTTTGATACGAAAATTGTTTTTCATTTTTCAATAGATCACTGGAATTATTTGAATCATTGCTTTGTGAAATATCTGCTGCTGAGGACAGAGATGAATCAAGAACGATTGCCCAATGTTTGGCTGTCTTAAATGAACATAAATAATTATTGGTTTGTAAGAAAGATAAAAAGTGTACATATGCGAAAATAGGAAAGAAAATTAATCATATTTTTTCTACATCAAATTCATCATCATTCATTGTATTATTATGAACATTAATTTAAAAAAACAATTCCACACAGTGGTTTATTCCTTTTTCAACAAGAATCGATTATAACATGCATGTAAATTTCCGTTTTTTTTAATATCAATTTTCTTGATTTCAAATCTAAAGATCTGTATTTTCTAAACACACACTGATCTGACATACACAACACCTTGAATATAACAATCATTTCTTAGTTATTATTAAAAGTCATTTTTGGGAAAAATGGTTATGAAGAATTGTGGAACAACAATTGCAAAAAATTATTGTTAAAATTGATAAAATAAAAAATTCAACAAAAATGCCATCTAGTGTTTTTTATTATTTTTCTGAACCAGAATACGCATGCTCATTTTAGATTTGAGCTACAGCAACTTAATCAATTCAATGATGATGATGATGATGATCGGATGCGATCTGTTGTTGCAATTTAAACATCGATACTGACTTTAATCATCACAAACAAAAAATACGGCAACGACTACGATTAGGACAAGTTTGATTCTATAAGTGTGTATATGATTGGGCTATATGTGATCGAATGAGCAATTATGATTGTTTTATTTTAAGGCATAATCATCAAATTGAATTGCCGGATCCATCCTATAAACTTTAAACTTTTCTAATGTCTTTTTATTTATTTTTGTGATGCTTTTGATGGCATTCAAATTATTCTAAATTTAAATCTGTGTTTTGTTTTGTTTTTTCGATATATTTTTGTATTCGTATTGATCATCCAATAAATTAATTATATTACACATCATCGTAATCCAAGGATATTAACAAAAAGTTTTTTTGTTTGTCCGTGTGATTTGACTGTTGCTACAATTGTCTTTATCGCTCATAATTTTTATTTATCAGTCATTAAATAACCATCTTATTATCGGTGGTTTTTCTAATATCAGCGACATTTTTTATGGCGTTTTTTCTGGATTTTATCATTGTTTCTTACTTTACTCGAATTATCGATAATATGTCCAATTGAATGGTAGAACAAAAACAACAACAACAAAGTAATAATAATAAACTAACAATCGACACATCACAATATTCGATTTTTTCCATCCTGCAAATTCTTTAATCTTCATCAACAATTCGTCATCATTGATGGCCAGTGCCATAAATCTTTTGATAAATTTATAACAATCATCAAACATTCATTCATCCATCCTTTCGTTTTGTTTTCTAATCAATTCCAGAGTGAACCAACAGTATACACAAACCGTAGGCCATTTATTAAATCTTTTCCAATAAAATAATAAGTCTTTCAATTATCTGGCAAATAAACAGTAAGAATTTGTTAAGACAAAAAAAATTTCAGATACCATTAATTTAAATTATCGTTTCTACAATAATAATAATACATCGGACCAATTTTATTCTATTCTTTGCAAATTGAAATTTCGAAATGTTTTTCATCCATTAATTGTTGTTTTCTCAAAAATAAAGGTAATTATTTTCTAATTAATTTTTTCTATATTTCTAGAATTTTTGAAATTTAATTTTATTATTTGAAAAAAAAATTTCTCTACATTTTTAGCCATAAAACAATCATAAGAATAATAGAATGCAGCGAACAGATGGATTAGTACAAAGGCGTGTAGCCAGTTCAGCAAGCGCCAATAATCTCAATAAAGAAAATGAAGATAATAATTGCTATAATGGTGATTATGATTCATCGTCAAAAGAAACAAGATTAACATTGATGGAAGAAGTGTTATTATTAGGTCTAAAAGATAAAGAGGTAATTAAAACATTAATTGAATAAAAACTGTGAAAACTTTATTGATTTTTTTATATTTAATTAAAAAGGGTTATACTTCATTTTGGAATGATTGCATATCGACCGGCCTTAGAGGATGTATATTAGTCGAATTAGCTTTACGTGATAAAATTGAATTGGAAAAATGTCCAGGTAGAAAACGGCGACTTTTGTTGCGTAAAGTTATTATTAAAAATTCCGAATCAACGGGTGATGCTTTACTTGATGAAGCATTGAAACATATCCGCGAGACAGAAATTCCCGAAACTTTACAAAGCTGGATTGATTATCTTAGCGGTAAGTTATTGCTAATTTTAATGATTGATTCATTTCATCTTATCAATAACTTTTACATAGGAGAAACGTGGAACCTATTGAAATTGCGATATCAATTGAAAAATGTTCGTGAGCGTTTAGCCAAAAATTTAGTTGAAAAAGGCGTGTTAACAACTGAAAAGCACAATTTTTTCCTATTTGATATGACAACGCATCCATTAATCAATATGAATATAAAGAATAAGATTATTAAAAAAGTACAAGATGCTTTATTATCCAAATGGGTGAATGATCCACATCGGATGGATAAACGAATGTTATCATTAATATTATTAAGCCATTCATCGGATGTATTGGATAATGCATTCATGTCATTATCGGATGATGATTATGAAGTTGCAATGAAACGTACACGTGAGCTTCTTGAATTGGATATGGAAGCTGAAAGTCAAAAACCAAACACCAATGAATTAATATGGGCTGTTTTCGCTGCATTGATCAAATCGAATTGAGTTCAAACTAATTTCTTCTACTTTCCGATTTTGTTTTCAACAGAACATCTCAAAAAACGAAATCAAACTTTGATTGTGATCATCATTTATTTCAACTATCAAGCAACAAAAAAAAACTGAAAATAATCGATTTTACAAAATAACAACATAATTTTCATTCATTTTGTCATGCCAATTGTGACTTTCATTGTGTTAAATAATAATAACAATAATTTGAAACAAAGAAATATTAAAACAAGAGCATGACCGACCAACGGAAATCAATCTTTTTTTTTGTTATTTTTATATGAAACAAATTCTTAATTGATTTTTATTTTTCCTCATACAAAACATTCGACATGTTTCAATTTTGTAAATCAGATTTTCTTTTTTTCGGCTATGTTCATTCATTCACAAATTACACGATAAAATTTTTGATCATTTTTTTTCTCAATTTAAAGTTTGAAATGCCGCTTTGATAGCATCCGTTTCCAGATATACATTATTGAGATCAATATAGCCAATTTTTGAACGTTCATTTTTTGCTAACCATTTCCCCGGTGGATTATTTTCCATTCGTAATATGAGAACAGTTTCATCTTGATTTACTGATAGATCATATTTTGAACGACTTTTATAGGATTCTTTTACAATTCCAGCATTAACAGGAATTTCTTTACCAGTCATATTGAAACGTTTCATAATTTTTTCCATTTTCTTCACCTGTTTTATACATTTTTTATTTTGTTCATCACTTTCGGTAATTTCATCAAAATCAACATTATCATAGATGAAATCATCATCATCCTCATCTTGGCCATAAGGTTCATAAATTGTTCCCTCTCCCGATGATAATTCTTCATAAATACAAAGACCATCATCATAATAATCGTCTTCCTCATCATTGTCTGATAAAGAATTGGCATTTGTACTTTTTCTTACATTGTTTTTATCATCATTATTTTTTATTAAATTGTTGTCGATTTTTTCATTACTTTTAATGACACTTTCATCTTCAACACTGCAATAAAGATCATCAATTTCATAAAAATTAGCCGAATCGTGGTATAGTTCACTGATTGTATCATTTGTTTTCTGTAGCGATGATCGATGTTCATCGTCGATTATTTCTTTGGGTAATGGTGCCGGAGGTCGAAATCGTGCATCAGGTGGTGGTGGTGGAATTCGAGTTGGCCGATTATAACCACTTGGTTCTCGATGATGATGTTTATGATGGTGATAATCATTCATTTCGGTGACTGATTTTCTATTGGAATTTCTACCACGTAATGATAGAAATTTATTAGTTTTGATTTTGTTGATCATTAAAAATGATCGAAATGAACTTTTACTTGTTTTGATTTTGGTGGGCGTTTTTATTGCCGGTATCTCTAATCGGTTGGGCAATTTAGCTAATTGCTCAAATGACTTTTGTATGAAAACATTTTTGTTGTTTGGAATATGAGTTGGTAAACTATTGCACGTTTTTATTGACAAATGATCAGAATCGTCATTATGATCATAATTCTGTTGTCTGATAATAGGTTCCATGATCAATTCATTGTTTTGTTGAATTTCATCTTGAAACGAATTCAAATTTTTTGAATTATCTGGATTTAGTATCTTTTTGCTGCGACTTTTACGTGGAATAGGCGTTGGTCGTGTTTCGGGTATATGTTTTATATCACATATATTGAAATTATCACAATTATCTGTAGGTTTTGGCTGTTCACTAGAATTAGGTACAATAGTTTTGTTATATTCATTATTTGAAATTTGTTGAAAATTTTTCGTTATCAAAAATTGACGAAATCGATGAAAATTTTCATTTATTATAACATTATCATCACGAAGCTCTGGATTGCTAAAACTTCGCCGATTTATCGGTTGCATCATGTTTAACATGATTTTTTCCGCATGCAACAGATGACAAAATTGTGTGAATTTTCCATTTTCATACGTGAATAGATCCTGTACGGTTTGTTGTAGATCCATAATTGTAAAATTTAAGCTAAACAAAATAGACAATCAAAAAGATTCATTTCAAAGTCAACGAAAATAATTATTTCAATCAACCTACCTCTTCAATGATTAAATACGTCTTACTAAAAAAAACAACAGAAGTTAATGAATTATTTTGACGACCAAATTAAGTATTTTCATTTTGAATAAAATTGAATTAGTGACATGATTATGATGTACCAAAAAAAGCTTCCAAATAAAGTATAAATGCTTTTAATCATCGTTTAATTTCTAAACATACACAGTGTATTTCAAGATTTTAAATGTTTTTATCAGAAAAAATGTGTTTTTCGTTTGGCACAGTGATTTTGTCAATTTTTATCATAAATATAATGAACGAAAAAAATAAATAATTTTTGACTGTAAATGATAAATGAATTATGATAATAATGAAGATAAGAATTTCGAGAAAACAAAAACAATACAATTAATGATTATAATGAAGAGAATTTCGTGCATCGTTTTGTTTTGTCGTTGTTCAATAGTTTTCGTCATCATTATCAACGACAATGATGATCATTTTGTGTTCCAACAAAATGAAACAATCGTGAGATAAATGAATAATAACCATAGGGAATGATGATGATTATCGCCATTATCATTATTATTTAATGGCAGTAGTATTCGATTGATGTTAATTTGAATGGACAAAAGAACAAACATATACAATATACATACATGCAGAAGAAAAAAAACTAGGTGACTATTTGGCTCAACATGTTTTCATTCGACAATCCTTAACATCACTGAATGAATGTTTGGCCTCGTAAATTTTCATGAAGAGAGTCAGAAATAAAAAATAAAAAATCCAACCATCTTTTTGAATTCTTTCGTATCACATTTGTACAAAACGACACCACAGGAAAGCTTGTACGTATATAAAAATTCGCATTGATGATTTTGACATCGAAATGGGCAATATAAATGAATGAAGAACGAAAGGAAAAAAAATCTAATACAATAGTAGATCGCAAATCGTCATCTTTAGAAACGAATAATAGAGAAAGCGATCAAAAATAATGAAAAACTAGTGGAACAGGTTGTGGCTATATCCATAATATTGATGATGTTCCATTGCCACCATCATTCAGGATCTTGATACTGAAAAGTTCTCAAAAATGAATGATCATTTTTTTCTCTCGATCATTTCAAATAAAAAAAGTCTTAGTGAGAAAGGAATCGAATGATGATGTAATTGAACAATGATGATTATTTCTGTTCAATTCGGGATTATTTTTTTATTTTTGATTTTTCAATCATTTACAATTGTGTAATTGACTTGAAGCAAAAAAAACTGATAAAAAGAGCCACAAATATATTGTACAATGAATAACAATCATTTTGTGAATAAGATTATCATAATACAAACAAATAAATCAGATATATTTCAAGTTTTTTTATTCGAAATGAATCATCATCGATCATGAAATGCTGATTATCATTATCAAAATCGAATCAACTAAATTTTCCACCATTCAATAGGAAACGGCAGATATAATTCATTTGATAATGGATTTGATTTTGATAATGATGATTATTATTTAAATGCTCATATACGGGACAATTTGTCGGATTATAATGATTGATTATCCTCATTGGATTGAGAAAAGTTTGATGAAAAATCCTTTGAAGATGTTGTTGTTGTGTAAAGGCAGAGGAAACGTTCTTGGATGAATGTTTTTGAATATTTGAACATTCAACTTTTTTATTATTAAGATATGCATGGGAAATGATGTTTAAATGATCATTTTCTCTTTTGATAGAGATATTTTCATTATTGTCGTTGTCATTTCTGATGTTTTGATATGCAAATGATTCGGGTGGCGTCGGATCATGTTTGTTTGATAATGATGATTTAATCATTGTTGATTCAAATTTATCGCTTCCAGTTTGGTTCTTGATAGTTGAATTGTTTTCTTTATCCATTAAATGTCCGTCTTTTTGGAGAGTTAATTGTTCTAAAATCTGAGACAAAGGTTTTCGCGATCTCTGATTGATATGATTATTCGGAGCCTTGAAATTATAATGTACAATTGATTCAGGCTCTTTTAAAAGTTGTTTATATAGACATTCTAATTGTTTGAATAATGGATTCACTTTTAATGTAGTTGATGTTGAAGACGACAAAAAGCCGTCAGGAGAATGAGAGTTTTCTCGGCGGAAATATTCCCAAGGATCAATAGCCAAAGGTAAATGTAATCGTTTTGTTTCTAAATTATATTGAGACAATGTTGCTGAAAATTTATCACATTCATTACTATCATGACCAACAATCGTAATCGCCAAACCAGATGAACCGAATCTTCCGGCACGTCCAATTCGATGTAGATAAGTTTCGCAATCGATTGGTACATCAACATTGATCACAAGATTGACCGATTCAATATCGATACCACGTGAAGTTAGATCAGTCGAAACGAATATCTTATATCGTTGTGATCGAAACATTTCAATTGCTTTTGATCGTTCTTTTTGTGACATATCACCAGTAATGTAAATGACTGACAAGCCTTCACTATTTAAACGTTCGTAAAGATATTTGACACGTGTTTGATAATTTAGGAACACAAAACATTGATTAAATTGAATGGAATTCAATACTTCAAGTAATGGACTAATTTTTGATTCGAAATTCATATAATCCAAACAATGACCATCAACCATTAATGTGTATTGTGCAACTCCGATTAACGAAGGCTTATCAGCATTCATTCGTATTAATGCAGGATCGCGCATATATTTGGATAAATATTCAGTCATTTCGTCGGACATGGTAGCCGATGTGACAATCATTTGTTTGTTGATGGGCAAACGATTATAAATTTTATCAATTTGAATCTTAAAATTTTCTTCCATTAATTTATCACATTCATCTAGAACAAACAATCGTATTGAATGTGGTTTGAGAAAATTCATCTCAATTAATGAGACAATTCTACCAGGTGTGCCAACAACAATTTGTGAATGATATAATTGTTCAACATCATCACTAACCTTAGTCCCACCGATTGCTTTATAACAAGAAAAATTTTCCCAACCCGAAGTTATTACATTGATTAGATCGCCAATTTGAACAGCAATCTCGCGCGTGGGAGCTAAAATTAATACTTTTGGGCATGGAACTTCATTCTGAAGATCTTGTCGAATCATTTCCAGTGCGCAAACAACAAAGACGATTGTTTTGCCGGTACCCGATTTGGATTGAGCAATCAAATCGATGCCAAGCCTTGCAATCGGGATGCAAGTTGTTTGAATTGGTGATGGCCATACAAAGCCACATTGTTTAAGATTGTCAACAATTTCTCTATCAATTTTCATCAATGAAAACGTCGTATTCTTATTTGAATTTTTCAGAACAAAATCAGGATTATTTGATGGGGTACGAATTTCGATTTGACTCGAAATCGGTTCATTGTATTTTGATGGATCAACATCTTGTGATCGCCAAATTTTAGCTTCAAGATCATGAGCTATCGATGATTTGGTTGTCGAATTCATTTCAATGAATATATTCAAAACATGAAATCACATGGCAGAATTAAAAAATGAATAAAAGAATCCAATCTACTACCATCTATCGGGGAATATAAATAATAAATTTAAAATTTATTTTTAAACCTTAGATAATGGTAATTTTTTTGCAATAAAATCATTCAACAATTGTTTACAATGACCAATTGATTGATTCAATTTGGTCTTGGTATCAGATTTAGCCTGATCATCTTTGACAGCAATAAATTGCAGAACATCATCTTGACATTCTTTCATAGCCTGAAATATTTCTTCGTTTGTGCTTTTCTGAAGGAATTGTAGAATTTGTGGTACAAATTTTCCACTTGCATGCAACATATGATGATGAACCATTTGAAAAACCAGCAATACCAGAATGTGTAAACACAGAATAGAATCTTGACATTCGTTCAATTGCAGCAAAAGTGATTGTTGGTGTTCGGATAAGATTAATTTTTCTTTTTTTGCATCAATCTTTTTGATCATCAGATCAATTTTAGCAGCACATTCCTCTAATTCATCGATAAAAGCTTGTACTTCGTTTGAATTCAAAGATTCATTAAGTTTGATGAATTCATTTTTGAATTCAAAATCAAGTTTGTTGATTATTTTCGTACGAGCTTCAAGTGAAATATTTTCCGATAATATTTCATCATTGAAAAATGAAACCAATTCGTTAACAATATCTGTTGCCAATGTTCGTAACAAATGTTTAGCTAGTCTGGATTGTAAATCCTTAAAGCATTGGCTGGATTCACCAATAAATTGAATGGATCTATTGAATAATAGTATTTTCGAATAGTTGGAATTAACAAAGCTTTGCAATTCAGCGAAGCTTTTCTTCGTTTTATTCATTTCAGCATTTCGTGTGATGAACAATTCTTTCGCATATACTTCGTATGATTTACGTAAATCTTCAATTATTGATTCGGCAATCGATTCGATAAATTCAGTTGATACATCATCAGTCAATTTTTCTGTTAGAACATTGATCACTTGTTCCATTGAAAGAAATTCTAATTCACTCACACCGGAATCATCTTGTTCTTGTTCAGATTTTTGTCCTTTTTGGCCAGGTTTATATTTCTTTTTTACTGCTTTTGTTTTCACTTCTCTTTTTTGAGTTGCACCACCGCCACCACCACCAGTACTACCACCGGAACTTTTACCTTTACCTTTTCTGCCACCATGATCATCCTTGGTAAATTTTTTACTATCTTCAACTTCGGTAGATTTTACAATAGAACTTTTCGATCTGAAAAAATAATTTTGCAACACACCATTTTTCAAATCTTCTTCAGCTCTATCTTTTTTGATTTGTTCAAAATATTCTTTTGCTTGTTCCAAAAATGATTTGCTCGTCACATAAGTATCACATAATATTTCGATAGAATTGGCGTAATTTTTATTTTCTAAAGTCTTTTTAATCAACAAATCGGTATCGACTGTTGTCAGAACTGATGGAATCATTTCGAATATATCCACAAATGATTTGTTCTGTATGACATCTTCGAAACTGGTTTCAAGTTGAATGCTCAACATTTGATCAACGGCACAAGTATTCAGATAACAAAGTTGATCACCGAATTTTTTCTGCAAGTAAGTTTGCGGATTGGAAATGCCTAGCTTGATCAATGTTGAATAGTCTAGATATTGATTATGTTTGAAAAAGCTATTAACATATTCTTGCTGATTTTTCGAATAAATATCCGGTATGAATGTTGGCCCAGAAACAACACCAAGTATTCGTTTCTTTTCCAATAATTTATCTAAAGTTGATGTTAGAATCTTTTCCGAAATATTATAACGATTGATTATCGTTTGCAATGCAATCGATTTTGTTATGGCAGAAAATATTCCAATTATTTGTGATTCGTATCGAGCTAGATAATCATATGTGTAAATGATTCGAGCATCATTATCAAGTTGACCTTGAATTAATGTATTTAATCGTTCTCGGATTAGATTGGCAAGAAAATCAGCTGGTAAATCATACTGCTTTGATAGATCTCCAATCGACAATGATCCAGATTCTTGAAGATGCAGATCAATCTCCGATGCTAGATTGTCCTTGTAATCACGTGAAACTAATTGCCCAAGTACAATGTTGATTTCTCCACCACTGTTTCGAGCTATTTGATTGGCCGAAGCTTCTACATGGCTATAATCGACATTCAAAATGGTGACTAAATCAGGAATGGAAATTCGTCCGCCAGCAGCATAGAGTTCACCTTCGATTTCATATCTAAGATGATCGGAAGTCAAATATTCTTTGCCATCGTTTGTAAACAATACATTGATCAATTTTTTTTCGATTAGCTTTTTCACAATATCGACACAATTTCTTTCTGAAAGTCTGTGTTTCGAATGAAATAAGTTAGTTTTTGATTGATTATTTGTCGTTTAAACTTACTTCAAAGCCGAGCTCATCTGCTGAGCTCTCTGAAAATCAGAAGCCAATTTTTTCACCTCTTCCCAATCTGCAGCCATCGTGATTTCGATGATTGGATAAAAAACAATCGATTCGAATTAATTTATGTTGACTGGCCACGTCGCAAGAAAAAAAATTCGACAAAATCTTTTTGAACATATTTTACCTATTGTGTTAAAATAGTTTCCTGATTTTTATCATCTTTATTTACCGGTCATATTTTCATTTAAAAATTGAATCAATTCTTAATTATGGTTACCATAGTTCTTGATATCATTGTTATCTAATTGTTTCCAGTCAAATATGTTTTTTTAACAATAATGATATTTTGTATTGAGAGTTTGGGTAACAACCAAAACTCCCATAAGAAATGGAATAGATCAATGGGTTAGGCATACGCCCAATGATTTGATGTTAAGCATCCGCGTTAGTATAGTGGTGAGTATATCCGCCTGTCAAAGTTTGATCCTTAAAATGGATAAATGGAGCAGTTCGCGGAAGACACGGGTTCGATTCCCGTACGCGGAGCATTCTTTTTTTTCGAATTTTTTTTTTCGTTTTCTTAAATCTTTCAGTATGAGTTGGAAAATTTTTGTTTGGATTTGGGATTATAATAATAGCAAAGATTTTTCTATTTATTCAAGTATGTAATTGACAGAAATATATTCGGATATGGTCGTGGGAATACTACAAATGATAATAATGATGAAAATCTGGAACAAACAAAAAAAGGTAAACATATTTTTAAAATATAAGATTTTTTTCTGTTTTTTGTTTTTCATCTTCATATGTCATTCTATGAAATGTCATGAAATTTTATCGTATTCGGACCGAAACCAAACATGTTTTTTTTTCTTTTCTTTTTGTTTAACTTGATTTAACCGAATGATCATATTAAATATGACAAATAACAAATAATTTTTGACATTTGTTGTTTGTTGATAATATTTGTCACACGAATATTTCCGAAAAAAAATATGTCATTACAATTTCAAAATGTTAAAAAAACTGATGATCATATTGAAAATGAATTACAACAAATTATTTATGAATTACAACATCGTATTAATAATGTTTCAATGACAACAATACATTCACAATTAACAACAAATATTGATCGTCTAATCAATTTAATTGAACTTTGTTCATTATCATCCGATTCATTGATTCATCAACATGTTGAGCAATTGAAATTGGATTTAAAAGTAACGAATACTAATTTAAAATTCATTGTTTTTTTTAAAAAAGAAAGATTTCCAATTTTATTTTTCTCTTTTTTTTTGGTCTATTTGTTCCATAAAAAAACAAAATGTAAATTTTTGATTTTTGATTTTTTTCCATACAGAAACTTGAAAATGATAAACGAAATATACTTCAATCCGAACAGAATGTAAGTATCTGAAACAAATGAAATTTATTCCGACCACGTTTTTCTATGAATAAAATTTTTTTGTTTCATTCTTTCCAATTTTTTCCAATGTTTTTTGGTATAGTTGAAATCTAAATTGAACAAATTATTTGCATATTATTATACATTTCAATCGTTGAATGTTGGATGTTCAAACAATTTGAACCATGTGGAAGATGATAATGATGAATTTGTCAATGAAGATTTTAATGTTAAATGTATTGAAGAAGAATTGGTTTATATTCCCGTCATTCGTTATTTAAATAATTCGAATGTTTTGTTTTGCAATGATCACGATGATGTTCGAATCGATGAAAATATTGATCATAAAAATGTCAAAAATCGTTCGTTGAAAAGATCAATTTCTAATCTATTTAACATCAATAATAATGATAAAAAAGATTTGAATTTCTGTAGAACAACAAATGTACAAAATGAACAACATTCAACATTGCCCACAGCATTTCGTTCAAATTTTATTTTTTTCAAAAAATAACAGTAACAACAAAACAAACAAACAAATGATGATAAAAGATATTGATAAATTTTTTTTCTTTTAAATCTCAGTTTTTTTGTCAAAATTTCAAATCAGATATTTGAATGATTTACACAAGCGTATTAATCTTTTTGATACTTTCAACCAGAATCTGCATTTCATCTGTAAATAAATGATAATAAAAGATTATCGATCAATTATTATTTCCGTTTTGTGTAAACAATATATGTTTTGCGTTGGCGTGTGGCACGAAGAGGGTTTGAAAATGAAAAAAAACAAACTTAAACAAAAAACGAAACAATAACACTTACTTTCAATATCACGGCCTAAATGTTCAAGCTGCGTTTTCGAATCTATTATTTCAATATTTGATGTGTACGGATTGTAATGTACAGTAAATGGCCTTGGAATTGAAAAAGCAAATTCTCTGTTTGTTTATGAGATAAAATAATTTGATTTAATTTATCGAATTTTTGTTATCCATGAATCAAATCATTAATTATTTACCTCAATTTTTTCTGTGCGTCGTAAAAACTTTCAGCAAGATAATAGACTGGCTGAAATTCAGTGATTGGATATTGCTGTTCAGATGTTTGCCTTGGATCAAAATTTCTTATCTCTGGTTTACCGCTCAGGCAATACTGTTTTCATTTTTAAAAGAAAAATTTTTGAATTTAAGATTTGTTTTTAATTCACGAAAAAATAATCAATCATCTTACTTCAAGTTCACCAAAACTAGATAATAAACCAGCACCATAAGCTTTTAATTGATCATCTTGTTTACAAATACCGAATTCAATTGTAAACCAATAACAAGTTGCTAGCTTTTCGATATATTCATCCGGTGCACCTAAACTTGCAAGGCCAATTTCTTGTGAAAATCTTGCAAAACTTGGATCAGCAAATAAAGGTGCATGACCTAATAGTTCATGACAAACATCCGGTTCTGGTGTATACATTGGTTTTGAATAATGACGAATGTATTGAGTACAATGAAACACACGAAATGCAAGACCGGCCAAAAAATCTCTTGAACTTAATAATCCGGCTGTTGGTCGTAATGTAAATCCAGTGCAATCTATTGAATTAAGAGAAATCAAAATTTGAATTTTTAGGGTAATAATTGAAAAAATTTATATAAATTAAACAACATATATGAAAAAACGAACCTTTCAAAAAGTTTGAAACATCTTCAAGTTGTGGAATGTTTGTTTCGGAATATCCACAATTTTCAATCATCAATGGAAAAATATGATTATGTTCTTTACATGCATGTGTTGGATATAGTTTTACTAATTCACGAAACACTGTTCCCCATGTTTCGATTTCTTGTTCAGTGTATTCAACACGGGGAATTGGTTGTCCACTAACAAATTACAAACATAAAAACATGATTATTTATCGATGATCAAACAACGAAAAAAGGATTAATATTGTTTGTTTTCTCTCTCTTTCTCTCCCTACCAAACACTAATTTGTGGTCAATACATAATTACTTACTGTTTGTATTTCATTGCTAATTCACCAAAATAGGCTCGTCTTCCACGATACACTTGATCTTTAAATCCCTAATAAATATTTTAGCAAGGAAAAAAACAAATTAACATTACAATAGAATTCAATCATATTCATATTTACCGGATGATCAGCATCTAATTCGGATCCATATGATAAAATATGATTAGCAAATCGATCTAAATCTTTAATCTTTCGTGGAAACCATGGAACAGTTTCATCATTAGCTTTATCACGTGAAATTACTTGAATATATTGTGTTTCTTTTTTCAATTCATCTAATGCTGCACTCAATCCAACTGCTTGTGATGAACATTCAACCAAAAATTCATAATCACTATCATAACGTTTTGATGATCGTGATTCAATACGAAATAAATTGATATTGAAATCTTTAAATATTTTCAATGCATCAGCAAGTGAACCAACTTTTGAACCATCTTTCATTGAAAATATAATATGTACCGGATCACGATGGCCACCCATAATTTGTTCAATAATATATGAACCACTGACTCTTGCTGGACGTGGTGGTGATGTAGCCAAATTTTTCTTCATTTATGATAAGCAGAAAAAAATTTGATTAAATATTTATATGATTTATTAATTGAATTATAATGAATCAATATTCATTTATGCGATGAAAAATTGATGAAATCATCGAATATTATTAATACAACAAAAAAAAAATGCAACAAAACAAAGCAATTGCTCTAATATTTACAAAAAGACTTACCGAATCACCATTTTGTTCATCCTGATTGAAAACCATTTTTGTTTTTAGGATTAAATGATTAAAAAAGAGTAAAAAAAGAACGCAAATGAGAGAGAAAAAAAAAGTTGATATTATTAATTCGCAATTATTTTAGAAAAGGAAAATCCTTTTTGAAATTATAATGCTGATGCAAAATGTAAAATGAATTGAATCAGAAATTTGTCAAAATTGTCGACCATTGGAATGTCAAAATTGAAATGATTCGAAATCTGAAAATAATCACTAGATAGTATTAATTTTGCTTTTGGTTTTTTCTTTTAAAAAATGCTAATAATATTGTAAGATTTACCTGCCATCACTAGTTTTATCCATGAAATTTTCTCTTTAATCTGTGTAATGAATAGCCAATCATAATTGAATGATAATATCTGAAACTTGTTTGATCGATAATAATTTTGGAAGGAAAAAAAAACATTGACGAATCTGAGAGTTCCACAAATGGCCTTGTCATTCCATTTAAAATACAAATATTTTTAAAGAGATGATTGATAAAGATGTTTTCAAGTGAAAACAACATCATCAACAACAACGATAACAACAAAATTATTATCGAATAAAAAAATCTAAAAAGGAAAAGAAAAGGAAAATTTCTGTCGTTGTTGTTGTTCAATATGATGAAACATTAAATCATCTGATAAAAATGAATTTGGAAATTTTCTATTCGTTTCATAAGAAAAAAACAAAGTCATCCATCATTTTCGGTTGTTTATGATATTCATCCAATAAAAAAATCATCCGATCATTGATGATGATCAACAAATCAAATGAAAAAATAAAAATCATACGATTTTTAATGAAAAAAAAGAAAAGAAAATTCCATTTAATTTTCTTAATTCTCTAGAAAATTATTATCAATCAACAATATCTAAATGCCTATGGGTAATCCACCAATTTGTCCTTGATAAATAAAGAAAAAAAATGCAATTGTTAATTATAATTCAATGAGAATATTTGTCTAATTCAAAATGGCATTTGTACATTTATCAAATGATGAAAGAAATGAAAATTCCATACTATGGATTGTGTCCAAAAATAAAATTTCCTATGTAAAATGTATGACATTTATTCACACAAATGTACAGAAAAACAAGCAAACACACACACACATTGATTATGTAATTTTTTTCAATTTATTTTTGAAAAATAAATAAAAAATTGTTTTAAAAAATTTCATTTTTTCAAGATACATGTAATGGGAATGATGATGAAGGAGGGAAAACTCGATTGAAATATCATCATAGATTATTCATTCGGAATTTAAGATATTTTCTTCTTTTTTTTCTTCGTTCCAACTCATATATATGAAAATGTCATGAATATTATTTGGTTTTTTTCTTCATATTTCGTCGGAAATCAAATTATTATTATCATTTTATTATTTCCATATGTTAATGCAACAAATAAAAGAAATAGCCATATAGATTATTCTATGAGTGTGTGTGTGTGTGTGTTTTTTTGTTTATTTGTCGATTTGGTCTTTTTTTCTCTTTCTCTCTAGGTTTTGGCCAATACGACGAATCATTGAACATTCTGAAACTCTATCACATTATATATAATCATTGAGGTGAAATTTCATTATATTATATTTCAGGAATATAATCATCAATCGTAGGTTACAGAATCCTAAATAACCAAATGGTCAAACTGTTGCTGGTGACGTTGATTTTAGTTTTTTCCCCTTGGTTGTTCACTTGCTATGCTTGGTATTGCACTGACTCGGTAAAAATGAGAATATTTTTTTTTTGCACATGACAAGTAAAAGATTACGGTTATAATAAAACTATATGTTGTATGTATGTTTTGGAATATAAATAATGGAAACATCCGCAACGATTGAACTGGATTGCCCTAAAAAGAAGAAACTTTTTTGTTTGTGTGTCTCTCTCTCTGTGTATGTTTCATACTGATGACGAAAACTATTTTTTTGTTTCTTCGTTGTTTTTTGTTGAATGTAGCAAACAACTTGTGATTGTTCCTGAAAATTAAGTAATACGCTTGCGAATAGACCGAATCGAACGACCAAATCATTCATTCATTATATAAAATTTACAAGATGCATAAATATGAATCATTCATTCATTCATTCATTGGTTTTTCACTCACTAATGTATAATGGTTGATATTTCATTCAAAATTCTAAATCCATTTTTGGAATCGTGCGTATTTTTTTGTGTTTCAAAATAATTTTGAAATTATCGAAACAAACTTCTTATCCAAATTTGAATAAAAAAAAATTGATTCAATAAATTTTCACATCAAAAGAATTTGTGCCCATTCAATACGAACAAAAGCAACAGAAGAAACAAAAGGTATGTGTGAACAAAACAAAAAAAAATCTTGAGAATAATTACTACCCAGATATATTGTTGATGATTTTTTAATAATCAATGGACCGAAAATCATTAGCTGCTAGTAAATTCAGTAAACAGAAACATTGTTATCAAATATCCAGTATTTTATACCATTATTCAATTTCATGATCAAATATTTGTCCAACACATACACACACATTTGATTAAAAAACATTATTTGAAATTAATTATTTTTATCGTTGATTTTTTCCAACTTTAAAACCTAGAAAAAACAATAATTTCTTGTGTCATAAAGATCAAAATAAATAGGTGACGTCGATTGTTTTATACTGTTTAATTACGAATTTTTTTTTATCATCCACTATAAATCATCATGGCAATTATTCTTAATGATAATGATAAATTAATTATTATTGCTATTGCGGCAACATTAATTTTATTAACATTATTGGTAACAATTTGTGTTGTTTGTCCATGGTGTCCATTTCATCGTTGTATATTGAAATCAAAACAAAAGAAAAAAGCCTTAAAAACTAGTTATCCAACGATAGCTAACCAACAGAATCCTGAATCACAACTTTTTCATTTTTCTATTGTTCCTGTATATGGAACTAAAACACATTTACAAACACCTACAACACCATCATCAGATAATAAACAACAATATTATCAACAACAGTATAAAAATCATTCCTATAATAATGGCCATCCACATCATCCAATATTGAACAATCAATTTGAACATTTAACAAATTTAGCAAAATTACGTTATTCATTACATAGTAATAATGATGATAATAATAATAAAAATGATCAAATATCATCAATAAATGTCAAATTACCAAAATTAGAAGCAACAATTTATTATCAATCAATATCCGTAATGGAAAATTCCAATATTAATAATAATGAATCATCAAACATTCGTATACATATGGCTATTCATCGTGTTTTTGATCTTTCCATCAATGAACTTTCAATCGAACCATCACCATATGTGGTAGCTATATTAACCGGTGGTTATCGTTTACAACGAAAAAGTTTAGTCATTAATAAAGGTAATTAAATTTAATTAAATTTATATTATTTTTTAAAAAATAACATAACATAACCATTGACATTTATGTAATAGAAACAAGAAAAAGAGATAATTACTCATTCGAAATTGATTCTGTTGAAGTATTTCATTCACATGATGAAATAATTCTAGATTCTATAGTTCATGAAAAATAATATTTTAAAAACAAACAAACATAAAAATAAAATGAAATGAAATAACACAGAATTCGCGGATTATGAACAAAATTCCAATGAAATCAAATGACTGTTGTTGAATTTTTCCAAAGAATAAGTTTTTCCTCTATTTTTTTCTGCAACAATGAAAATTGATTTTATCGGATGATCATCAGAACCAACAAAAAAGAAAAAAGAAAAGAAATCAATTCCAATTAGTAAACGAATTACAAAATTCTATATTTCATAAGAAATAAGATTTTTGTTTTCCTTATTGAACATTCTTATTTCATTAAATATTTGTTCTTGAATTAGCTAACCAACAGAATTGTTCATGATTTCATCATTTTCTTCGGAAACCAGAAAATGAAAAATAATGTTCGAAAATTTCATTTCTCACGTATTTTTGTTTCGATCATGATCCTGATCATGATCCAAAAAAGAAACAAAAACAGAAATATTTAACTTGTAAAGAAACCATTGAAAGTAACAAAATTTTTTCTTTGAAGACATTATAATTTTTTTTGTATATTCGATGAATAAAAAAACTTGATGAAAAATTAACCGAAAGGAAGAAAAAAAAACAATGATTTTCAACAACTATAAGTATTGAATGAAGTACTTTAATGATCGTGACATTTAACATTTATTGAATTATTGATGAGGATTCAAAAAAAAAATTTTTGATTATGTTTCAAAATCTTTTTTTTTTGTTTCCGTTAACACAATGAAGTAATAAATTAAGAAGAAAAAAAAACATGAATTTTTTATACATCAAAGCAAGTGGGTGGATGATTGGTTGTTTTGGTTGATTGTCTGAATAATAATGATTATAAATTGGTTAAAGGATCAGGAATTTGGATTTTTTTTTCTCCCCAGTTTATTTTATTTGAATTTTTTTTCTGTAATATTAAAGATTAAGGATCTGGGACATGAAATATGAGATATACAGTCTGTTTCGTCAATCGGATTTAATTGATTATTCTTTATTAATGAAAATATTTTTTTTTTCATTTCATTTCAGTTAAACAGAAAACAGAAATTTTTTCATTCCCAGACTAATTCTTAATCCTGTTTGTTGATGTAAAATGTCAATTTTTTTTTTGTTTTGTTTCTCTGTTATAAAAAAAAATTCAAATCAAATTTCATTCGAAATTGAATCATTATTTTTTTCATTTATTTTTTATTTTTAAATAATAATTAGTTTTACAAAATGAAATGTTTCGTACCGAAACGATTAAACGTACATTGGATTCAAATTTTATTCAACAAAAACAATTCATCAGTGAACCATTATCAAAAAATATATTAAAAGATGCTGTTATAAAATTACGATTAATGCATGATGAACGTTATGCCAATGATATTTGTTTGGGCGAAATAAGTATACCACTTAAAAAAATTCAATCATTTCAAGAACTAAAACAACAATCATTAATGAATAAAAATGTTGACAATTTTAATAATAATGAAAATAGTGATAATAAAGATAGCGATTCGTTGAACAATATTGGTGATAGTAATAATAATAATGGTGATGATGATATCGAATCCAATTTACAATTTCAATCAAATATTTATACATTATTTCCAATCAAAGAAGTAAGTTCAATCAAAAAAAAAATGATTGCAAATGTGATTATATAACATTTCTATGGGTTTTTCTTTAATTCTTATCATTGAAATTAATGAAAAATAATAATAATGTACAGACTAAAGCTGAACTAATGGTAGGTCTTTGTTATTTACCAACATCTCGTCGTGTAAATATTACAATCATCAAGGGTACAATACGAAATTCGATATTTCGATTCATTGATCAATCAATTCCGACATCTAATCATCAAGGTAAGTGTATCAGATAGTTGACTTTTTTTCTTTTTTGTTTCTTTTCTTAATCAAATAATAATTATTCTTCTTTTATAAAATTCAACTTTTATCTCATTTTTCCATTTCCTTATTTATTTTTTTCAAAATTTTTCATTTACTTTTAATGAATATAGCCTTCTATATAAAGGCACTTATGTTTCTAAATGGAAAATTGATTAAAAAGAAAAAAACTTCCTCAAGCATTCGATTAGCGTGGGGTAAAGATGAAATAATTTCATTCGATTTATTACCTGAAGAATCCAGTGAACAGATGTCATTGATGTTAATTTTAGCATATAAAATGCAGGATTCAAATTCACCAGAATCACCGGATAGTCCAGAAAATCCACAGCCTCCAACATTACAATCATCATCTGTCAAAATTAATCATAATAAACAATCCAATACAAATTCTACACTTCCGTCAATAGCATCAACGATAACATCAAACAAAAACATAATTAATGATAATCATAATAATAACAACAACATCAATAATCAAAAAACATCTAAAAATAGTCCCAGAAATAGTTTGCGAAAAGAATCCTGTATTGGACATTTTATTTTGGATCGTCAAACATGGATTGAAATTCTACGAAAACCTCGTCGACAAATAATTAAATGGTATAAACTGCATTAGAATATTGTGTGTATTGTGTGCATAAGCAAACAAACCAAAAAACAAAATGTAAAGAATAAAAAAATTAATCCACTCTGTAAAAATCAAATGAAATTATTTTTTTTCTGTCAAAAATCTTAAAGCCTACAAATTTTTTTGATTCTATATTTATACAAAATCCATTTATTTATTCAAGACATTCATACTTACATCGAAAATTTTGCAACCTAATCATCCTATGAATCTCATTTATTCATATCGAAAAACAAAGTATTTAATTAATACAAATTCTTTTCCTATTAAGAAAATCTTTGAAAATGTTGTTTGGCCATCATACAATACATTACATACATGCATTAACACATCAATATTATTGAGAAAAGAAAGTGCAAATGATTCCATGAAAATAAAAACAACTAAGAACAAAAAAAAAGTGAAAGATTCCAAACACACATCATCATCATCTACAAAAACATTCTGGATATTTCTATTCTGAGAACATATTTTGTTTTTCTGTTTATATCTAATAGCTTTTTACTCCTACAGTCGAAATTATTTTTGGAAAAAAAATAATATTCCTATTTGTCAAACAAATTTGATTGATCTGTTGTTTTTCATTTCTGTTATTTTTCATTTTTTTTCTACCTCTATATCACCTCTTATGTTACTTTCTCTGGTCTATATCGCCCACTTTCTTTTCTCGAACAATTCTTATCCATATATTTCTATCTTGTTGCAGAATAATGTCTACACAACAACAACACACTGAAAAATGTTTGATGAATAAAATTCTAATCTTTTTTTTTCTTGTTGACATTCTTTATAATCTTATTCTTTCGGTGATTATTCAATTAGAAACAAAAAAGGCGTTTATTCGTAAAAAAAAGTTTATTTTTTTATTATTTATTTAGTTTTTGATTTTTATTTTTTACATTATAAATTGATTGACAAGAATCAAGATCGTTATATATTTTTGTTGTTGTGTATAGAATTTGTACAACAGATTGAAAAATTTGATCAGGTCTGTGTATATAATGATTATGATGATAATAATGATGATATCTGATACAATAGAGTAGAGTGAAAAGAAAACAATGAAATGAAAAGATTTGAAATGTCAACAATACAATTAAATTGATTTTTTGTCTATGTAGGTTTTTCTCAAAGTAGATGTATATGTTGGTTGTGTTGTGTGTGACTAAAAAAAAAAGTTTCAACAAAAAGAAAAAAAATGATATTTAAAAAAACGACTTCCATTTTTTTTCTGTTCCAAAGAAGTTTTTTTATCCAAGAAATTTATCTCGTATATCAATTTTTCGTTCCAATGTTTTTAAATCATCAAATAAAATCAAACTTATATCATGTAATGCTGATAATTCGGAAAATATCTCTTCCATATTACGTTTGGTTTCGGTTTCGAATTTCTCTCCATTTTGTTGTTGCTGTTGTTGTTGTTCATAATGATTAAATTGTTGATTTTTATTTCGTCGAGAAATATCTCGTTTCACCATTGGCCTTTTCATTAATTTTTCGGATAATTCCATTGTAGGCGTTGATTTTGTATTTGTTAAAGAATGTTGAACGGGTGCATCAGCCATTTTTAATTTTAATTTAAAATCATTTGATTTTGTCTTCAGATAATGACTTCGTTTAATTAGATAAATAATCTGTTTTTGTTGTTGTGAAAGAAATTGATGATCAGTTTTTAATTTGGTTACATCTTCAATCAATTGTTTTTGATTGTTTAAATTATCACGATGTACATCATCAATATGTTTTGCATAATCACGTTGTAATTCACTTAATTCACGTCTTAATCGATTAATATTATCAATAAGCCATGCTTTTGTTAGTAACCAATTTTTATCATCATTTTGATTCACATTTGTCATTGTATTTTTAGCAGTAGATTTTGTTCCGTAAATTTGTTTGTTTTTCAAATCTAAATTTAATAATGATGATGATGGCTGTTGTTGATTCGGTTGCTGTTGTGTACCAAAATAGTTTATTCTCTTGGGCATATTGATAATTGAATTCGATGCAGGACTTGTTTGAATATTTTTTTCCATTGTCGATGTTGTTGTTGATGATGATGATAAAATTTTTCGTACATTCTGTGTTTTCCCATCTTCAGGCAAATCAAACCGATATACATTTGAATTCTTTTGATTTCGATTATTTTCATTATTATTATTATTGTTTACATTTGTAGGTATATTTTGATGTGATTGCTGTTTCCATTTTAATATTGTTGTATTCATTTGTTTTGCTGTTGTTGATGATGATGGTGGTGGTGGCAGTGTTGTTGATACATTTATTATTGATTTCAAAATCACGGAAGTAATATTATTTGTCGATATTGAAGCTTGTTCAGTAGTTTCTTTTGAAAATGGTGAAGATGAATGTAATAAAGTGTTGACGGTTGATATCAACATCAACATTATCATCATTGCCGACGGTAATTCCATTTTTTCTAGTTTGTTTGTTTGAGTTTAAATATTTAATTAATAAAAACTATAGATGATTCTCGACAAAAAAAAGTGGAGAAATTTTACAATCAAAAAAAAATCAAAGTTTTTTCAACAGAAAAGAAAAACAAAAAAAAAAGATTCGTTGGTTAAATTGTTGAACGATTTTGAACAAAATCCAAACTAATAATAGTTTGAAATCAAAATTTGCAGATGGTTTTTATAACGAACAACGATAATGATTTGATCCATGATCAGCTAACCATGACCGTATGTTCTGTTGCCATTGGTCGTAGGGTATTTTTCTCTGCTCCTGCTGCTGCTGTTGTTGTTGAACAAATGGACCGACCCTTGTGTCAACTAAACAACAACGTAGAAAAAAAAAGAGAAAGCGTAGCAAGTTAGCGAGTAAATCAATTGAATTTAATTCAATAAGAGGAGGTTTTTGCCACGCGTCCCCTTCAAAAATAAAACATTTCAACAACAAAAAAAAAATAAAATTAAAGTTGAATAATTTTTCTGCTTTTCTTTTTTTGTTTTTGTTTCATCATAGTTGGAGTATATACTCGGATAAAAGATTCATTTTTATGTTTTCTGTTGTTAAGCATGAATGAATGTTTGATCATCATTATCAGCATCATCAACGGCTGGTTTTTAACGAATTATTGGTCGAATAAACATACATTCGACGTATGGTTCAAACTTTTTTGCACTTCTTCTTCTTCTTATTCGCAATAATGGACCATTGGTTCTGGACTTTTTTTTCCATGATTATTCATTCTAACATGGTTGGATGCTGATTGGATCTCTGTTTTTTTCGATAGTGAGAGTGTAGGATGTTTTTTTTCTTTTTAATTTTCTATGTTGACTTTCTGTAGTTTGACAACATAGAAATCGAATATATTTAAAAAAATTTTCGATTCTATCCATGACCTTTCACCATTCGACCAGATCCTAACACCCCCACATACCCGCTTTCATACTCTCTTTCTCTCTCTCTATTCGATTATGTTATCATTATTTCATTATGCACCTGGTGTATTGTTGGCTATAAAACTATTTAACAAAACAAAACAGACAAAATAAAAAAAAACATTCGCATCAAATATCAAACAAGAACTTTGGATCATTTTTTTTCTGATTTGGCCAAGGCCATTGAAGCTGAAAAAAAATCAATTTATTTACGAGAATTATTATTATTTTTCCTATGAAGTGGAAAGATTTAAACAAACAAACAGCTGATGTTTTTTTTTCTCGATAATTCAGAATCCATTTCATTTCAAAACACAAAATCAAAATTCGTTAAATTAGGATTTTTGAATCTTGTTTATTTTAACATAAAAATTTAAACATTTAATTCATCATCATCATTAACAGGATTTTATTTGAAATTCAACAAAAAAAAAAGTACAAACATTGAAACAGCCAACACCCGAAATTTGTTGTTTCAATAAATTTGACTATTCTGGACAAATAATCTATTTTGTCAACAATCAATTTATGTGGAACAACAACATTGAAGTCAAAAAAAACAAAACAGTAGCAAACAAGTGTCAACAAAAGCCGAAAAAAATCCATGACCTTTGACTTTGATGGTTTGTATGTTTTTTTTCATTGGTTCAGGAAGAAAATATAAGATGATACAACCACACCTTTCTTTGGTTCAAAAAAAAAAATTTTTCAATACAGGTATTATTGTTAGAGAATAGTAAAAGATAGGATTTTTTGTTTCTATTTTCTCCGCCGGAAACAGTTAGATTATTTTTTTTTTTTTTGGGAAACGCCAAACTAATTACATAATCAGTCATTCATTCATTCATCATCATTATATAAGTATGTAAATTAGGAAAGCAAAAGAGAGAAAAAGTTTCTTTCAAGTAAAAAGAAAACAGCAAAAATAAAAATTTTCCATCAATTAATTTGTATAAGCTTCCGTCGATATGACCTCGGCAATGAATGAAATCAGATCTTCAAGAAATGATGTTGTAAGTCTGTTTATTTGTTCATTGAAATTGTCACAATCTGTCAACATTCAGATGAAAAAGCCTTAAGAAAGAAGTTTTTATTACAAACATATGGCCAAAGTCTTAGTTCATTTAAACTTAAGATCCAAATCAATGGACACACACAGACACAAACACACACAATGATGGTGGCACGTGTCATGTATTGGTCGGTCCTTCTTAAAGAAAATTTAAAGATAAAGGTTCACCTACTTTTGTTGTTTCCACATACAAAACTAAGACCTTCTGTTTAAATGTCTTAAACTTTGGCCTAAAAAATAAAAATACAACCAACAATATAAGGTGTTTTTTAAGACGTTTTTTTCTTCTTGCCCATATTTACTGATATTTGATTGGTTTTTCTTGAAGCACATGTTACTTATTTAACAGAACAGAATAAAATAAGAGCAGATGGATAAGAATAATAAATGTGGTGGACATTTGGTCATTGCAATACTGGTGCTGATAACGAGTTAAAACCTTGGCCTTATGTTTTCTATTTCATCTCTCTCAGTCTTTCTGTATTGGTGCATTCGATAGACGCGTGCCAGATGCCCAGGTATTGTTATAATCAAAAAAAAACATCATGACATGTGCAACAACTGATCGATTCTCGAACACATATGCCCGATGGTAAATATAAACCAACTGAAAAGCTTTTACTTGGTCACCACCTGGTCAATAAGAATGATGACTGTGATGATCAATGGAAAAAACATCATCATATCATCATAATAAACAACAAACAATATTCGACACGAGTGTGCCACGCGCCAAACCAGATCAAATCTTTGATCGAATTTCGAATAACAATGAACTTTAAAACCAATTTAATTGGTGTTTTTTTTGTTGTTAATTAAGAAGAATACTTTAATCTCAAAAAAGACAACTAAAGACAATTAAATTTGATTTTTCTTCAAATTGATTTGAATGCAACAACGTACATTGACGTTCATTGACGTTTATCTGTCTGTGTCAAAGACCCATAATGTTCAAATATTATATAGAGATGAGTTCCAAAATAAAAAATCCAAGATTTAAGAAAAAAAAATCCAATAATAAAAAAGATTCGATTGTAATAAAATAATGATGGAAACAAAAAAAAAGTTCAATAACATTTCATTTTCATTTTTATTTTTATTGAATGAAAAAAACTACACATGGTTATTGACAGTGTGTATTTGCAGATGTATATATTCCTATTCAATTTTGTTTAATTCAAATATTATTGAACCATTGGATCATTAGTTTACTTTTTACAATATTTTTATTTAAAAAAAACAGGTAACTTTCATTTCAAATGAATTATAACATGCAATATACATTGGCGAACATTGACATTATTGGCCGACTTTTGTTTCAGGTCAGTAGCACGATTTCAAGACCCTATGGCCCAAAATAATGTCAGAACAAAAAAATAATATAACGGATCATTTTTTTTAACTATTACAATTGCCGATAGTAAAAGTTACTGCTGCCAAATAATTCCAGTGATGATGGTGTCATATACGATCATATAAGCTATTTTGGTGACAAAAGAAAACGTCGTTCGTTTCGAGCGTCCGGTCCGATCCGTTCCGTTCGGGTATCGTATATTGCACGAAAAAAAAACAACAACGGTTCATTGCCATTGGCAAGTATGGATCGTGTCATTCAACCACCTTTATTTTATGGTTGTTCTCGATAGTAGTGGTGATGGTGGTGTCTGGATTACTGTAACTTTATTGTATGAATTTATTGAAATCTAACTGGAATAACGTTATTTTCATCCACCAATATAAATACACACCAGGTGTAGGTGTGAAAAACAGCAAACAAACAAGCGCATCAACTTTTCGCGTGCTATAAATGAAACTTTTTTTTTTGCCTGCTGGTGTCATCGTCATCGTGGTTTGTTGTTGTTACTGTAATTATAATGAAAAAAATAAATAAGTTGACCTTGCAAATATTACCATTCAGTCAGTCAGTCTGGTCTGGTCGGGTCTAAAATCGATCCATTTATAATAAACAAGAATGATAATAATAACAAGATGCTGCCACGATTGCCACGTGCCAGTCATGAATATCAATAATGCAGATGGTCAACATATTTTTACCAAAAAAAAACCAGATTTGACCAAAAATACAACTAAAAATGAAAATTTTTCATCAGGCAGATGATCCATATGCATCAAATATATAAACAGAAAATTTTCCTTATATTCAAACCATATGCAATCCATATGCGGGTTGTTGTTGTGGAAAAAAATTGATTCGTTTTTAAAAGTTGAAAAAAAGGATTTTTAATTATAAAAATAATAATTATCTTCAAGCTTTGACATATGGTACATTGATATTAAAAAAAAAAGTTATTTAGAAAATATGCGTGGGTGTGTATTCTCACTAGATTATTTACAGAAAAAAATTCTTGATATATTAAAGATTCGTATATGTTTTATTGATTGAATTTTTCATTTTTGTTTTTGTTTTGATACGAAACTCAGTTCAATGATGATATCGATGATGAATTTACTAGCTGTTTAAATTTTAATTTATAGATTATAAATAATTTTAAGAAATTTGCCAACAAAATGTTTTCATATAAAAAAAATTCATTTATAATGAAACATGAGATGAGATGAAAGATGAATAGGCTTTATCTTGAATGATAATAAATGATGAGAGTGTGTGTGTATGTGGGTAAAATAAGAATTGCCATTATTCAAATTCATTGATGTCAAATTTATCATGTAGATTTATTATTGTCGCCATTGCCCAGCAATGCCGTTGCACATTCTTCAACATTTTCCGGCCAATCACAAACATTTTCTTTTATATTAAATACTAAATTCTGTGGACAAGGCATATGATGACGTCTAGTACCTTCGCACATAAAATACATCGTACAATCATTTTTATCTTTATGATAGCTAATATGTCCATCAGCTTCATCACATTTAACTTCATCTTTATTTTCTGAAAGAAAGAAAGAAAAAAAATGATTAAAATAAACAATTAAAAAGTAGGAAATAAATGGAAAATTTATTTGAATAAAGTTTAATCAAAAATAAAACCAAACTATATGGACATTTTAAATGGAATTCATTAATATGAATTGTTTCGAATGAATTGCCATAAAAAAAAATCCTGATGATAAACCAACATTGATATATTGAGAATATTCCCCAAAGATAGATCGCAAAAAAATGAACAAAAATAAAAATAATTCAATTTGAAAAGTTGTTGTCCGCTAAAAAATTGAAAAGATCCACATTCACATGTACACATTTTGTACAAATAAATTGAATTTGAAGTTAACATCATTGTTGGATAAAAAAAGAAAGAAAAAATGGCAATAAATTTTAGCACATTTTCACATCAACAACAACAACAACAAGAAAAGAAAGTGAACAAATGATGAATTATTTCAAAGCAAATGGAACCATCATAACACTTTCGTTTCGAAAATGTTCCATTTATGAATTGAAAATTTTGGGAATTATTTGTAGATATTTTGCTGCTATTTTTGCCACATCGGCAAAATTTTTATGAAATTTGAAATAAAATCTCAATTCTATGGATCATAAAAATCATTTCTATTTTGTTTTTTTCTCTAACTAAACTGTATGAAAAAGAATAGAAATTGTTGTTTTCATTTGGGAAACATTTCAAAAATAAATAAATAATAATATTCTATCATTGAATTCAGTTGTTGTTGTAAAGCATTGGTGATCATTTTCTTTAGGATAAAAGACAAATTGATTCTTTTGTTGTTGTTGAAAAAGTTGAATCATTCATTGAATTTATAAAAGAAAAAAAAAGATTTTCAGCTTAGAATTTCAAGAATAATCTAGGATTATAATGATGCTATCTAGTATTTAAGAATAGAATAGAGATAGTTTTGAACTATTAAATATATGGCATATTGTAATTTTAAATCCTAAAACTTTTGTTTGAGAATTTTGTTTTTGTTGCGAGGATGAAAATTCATTAAAATGCTATTTAAGAAAGCTATTTTTTTTAATTTGATTTTTTTTTTTGAATCTACATACCAGATTGAGTAGACAATGTATTTGCAGTGATTTCATCAAGATTTTCCACATAATAACCTTTCAGATCATTTTTGGCAGCATTAATAAGTGGAAATTTTTGTCCCATACATGATCCACTGAAATCATCCATATCAATTGACCATATCATTATGCCACTTAGGCCAGCTTGTTTAAGCCATTGTGTCTAAAATGAATATAAATTTTAAGAAGAAAACAAAATTCAGAATTATTATCAATGAAAAAAAAGCTATAAATAAAATGTTTATATACTTTGACTTTGAAACTTCTTGGATCATCAAAACCAACCCATTGATCACCAAGAAAAGCATATGGAACCATTTGTTCATTATCCCAGACTAATGTTGCTCCCATTTTAAGCATATCACAAATCTATAATCATCATGATTATAAAGATAAATAAGTGAATTTTATAAATGAATAAAAATCATAAGAAAAAAACCATACCTCAAAAAATGAAAGGAATCCCGATTCTTTTGTATACATTCCCGGAAGTCCACCTTTAATTGCTGGATCACCAATATCGGTCAGATTTGGACTAGCTAATGTAAATGATCGACCTACATATTTTTGGATATACAATATTGTTATAGTAAAAATTTTATCAAATTGAAATTGAAATTTTATCATCAATACCATAGGTTGGTAATCCAACAACAATCTTTTCTCTAGAAGCTCCTTTGTTGATCCATTCATTGACGCTAAAATCCTATATGGTAATACAAATGCATTATTATTATTATTAGTTCCATATGTTTGTAATGTTTTTGAGTAAAAATAAATATAACGGACATAAAATTGAATGGGTCAAATGACATTTTAAGTGAGAGTATTGGTGTTCTAATGAATGAAAAATCTGCCAGTCTGTAAAGAGAAAAAAAATCTGCCAAAATAATAATGAACACGGCACGCGCAACACGTGCTATGTCATTGTTTGTATTTTGGAATATATAAGAGAGTTGAATTGTGTGTAAACTAAAAGTGAAAAAATTGGAAAGGGTCGCGCGAGTTGATACCGTTGTGTTAACAGTTACAACTAATAGCAGCCACCGAGCTAGACAGATTCGGAAAAAAAACACGGAAGTTTTGGAATGAAAGTGAAAAATAAACCAACTCTTCAAAAAAAATTATGAAAATAAAACGAATTGGTTGAATAAATGAAACGACGGGAAAAGAAATTTTTTTTTTTTGACCCGACGAGACAAACAGATTGCTGACCTAATCGAAAGTTGAGAGAATGAAAGTTGTAAACAATTCAACAACAACAAAAAAAACTAAACAGATTGGATTTGGATAATGATGTACGGAAAGAGAGAGTTCAACCAAAATCGGTTGTTGTTTCGGTTTATGTTTCCTGGTTTATCTGAATCATCATAGGAGATGAAAATTATAAAAGAAAAACTTACCACTGTCAATTTACGTTGATAATCGGATGCAGCTTGTATTGGAAATAATGGTGAATTATGTGCAACATTTTTCTCCCAATCACCATGAAAATCATAGGTCATAATGTTGATAAAATCTAAATATCTAAATATATTTATGATGAAAGTTTAATATGAATATAAATTAAATTCTTAAATTCTTACTTATTTACTTCGGGAACATCATAACCACTGTTTACAGCTTCAAAACTGGCCGGTACAGCTGCTGAAAGTAATAAACGTTGTTTATTCGAACCTTTAGCTTCACCGTCAAATGTTTCACGAAGTTCCTGATAATTTGATGAATAGGAATTAAAATAAATTAGAATAAATCCAATATTATTGCCAAGCAACAAACTTTTAATAATTTTGTATAACGTTCTTTATCTTCAATTCCACGAGGAAATTCCCAACAAAGATCTAGTCCATCGAATCCTCTTTTACGCAGAAATTCGACTACATTAAATGTGAATAAAGTCTGACGATAAGCACTTTCTGTTAATGTTCGAAATGGTATGGGACCCATCATCCATCCACCAACGGCAATTAAAATTTTAAGCTTAGGATTTTTTGATTTCAATGATAAAACTCGTTCATAAAGGCCATTGGCTATTTCATCATTAGGCTCACTGGGAATTAATTTAAATTCACTATTTAGATTAGCAAATGCATAGATAACATGTGTGCAAAGAAACGGATCTAAATGTTCCGGTGTAAATTGACCTTGACCAGGTCTTTTATGTGACCAATTGGTGAAATAGCAAACAACTCGAGCGTTTGTATCATTTCCATTTTTGACTGGCTTATTTATGGTTGGAGCAGTCGGCATAACTTTTGGCTTATCAATTATCATGTTAATATCAGTGCTTGGCACGAATACTTTGGTTGACGGATCAACTATCATGGCTTTTTGAATGATCGAATCAAATTTAGATTTTTGTTTTGGCCTACCCAAAAGTTCTTCGCCCATGATTCCGATTAATGGATATTTTATTCCAGCACAAGTGCCCTTAAAATCATCCATATCAACGGTCCAAACCATAGCACCACCATAACCATTATCGATGACCCATCGAAGTTTTTCTCGAATTGATCGTTCATCATCAAAACCAACCCATTGATCACCTTGAATAGCGTATGGCACTTTTTGTTCTTCATCCCAGATGTATTTGGCACCATTTTTAAGCATTTCACAAATCTCATAAAATGCTAAAAATCCTGATTCTCTTGTATATTCACCGGCTTTACCACCACCAGAACTTGGAGCATTGAAGCCATTATTACCAGTTGATGATAATGTAAAACTTCTTCCATATGTTGCAAGTCCGACAATGAGCTTATCTTTAGGAGCTCCAAGTTTTTCCCACATTTTTACACCATATTCCTAGAAACCAAACAAAATAGTATTAAATAATCAAAATCAATTTACAAAGAAAATCGATACTAACCATCGTTAGCTGTTTACGCCAATCACTTTCAGTTGATAATGCATAAAGTGGTGCATTATGTCCGGTTTTTGGTTCCCATTTACCATGGAAATCATAAGACATAATATTTATAAAATCGACATTACTTATTTGGAAAATTAAACAAAAATTATTGTCTCATCATTTATTTATCACTTTTTTCTAACAATAAAAACATACTTTGCTACTCCTGGAACATCATAACCATTTTTGATTGCTTCAGCTCCAGCCGATACAGCCACAGTCAATAATAAACGTGGTAAACTTTTTTCAATTGCTTCCGATTCGAATGCAATACGTAATTCTTTAAGAAGATCAACAAAATTTCGTTTATCATCACTTCCTTTAGGAAATTCCCAATCAATATCAAGGCCATCAAAGTTTCTTTGTCGCAAATAATCCAATGCACTGAATATAAACACTTGACGATTATAACGAGTTGATGCCATTGTTCGAAATCGTTCGGTACCAAATGACCAACCACCAACGGCCAATAATACCTTAAGATTGGGATTTTTTTTCTTCAATTCAACTACTCGTTCATAGGTTCCTTTTTTATTATTCAATGTTTCATCAGTCGAATCGAATGATGTTAATTTATTTGCTTTCATCCAACCAAAACTGAATATTATATGTGTACACAGAAAAGGATCTATATCTTCGGGAACAAACTTGCCCTCTTTTGGTCGATATTGAGACCAATTTGTATAATAACAAACCAAACGTTTATTCGGTATGTTTGACGACTGAACATTTTCTTTCATCAATGTTGATGATGATGATAACAATTGATTGGATACTCTTGGTTCTATGAATAATTTTTCAATATAAAAATTTTCATAAAATCAAAAAAAAAAACCAACAACAACAACAACAATAATAATACTTACGATATAACCTTCGAGATTGTGAAAGACTAATTAGGCCAAAATAAAGGAATATGATAGTGAATAGATGAAATCGTTGTACAAAAGTCTAATGTCAAAAGGATATATTAGTATTAGGAAAATGATTTTTGATTTCGTGTACAATGATAATTATTTTATTCATAATTAATTAATAATTTTCACATAATAATGATGGTGGCAATGATTTGATGTGTGAATTTTTCATTCGTCTCAATCTTTTTAATTGAATTTCTTTTTCCAAAAAGCGACCTGAACTATAGATCTAATCCAGAAGTTTAGACATTCAAGACATTCGTATTTCAATTAAATGTCAATTAAATTCACTTGATCAGTATTGCATGATTGTTGTTTTGTTCGAAACTTATCACACTACATCTTTCCAACATAATTATCATCATCATCATTATCATTAAAAAAGTAAACAATTGGAAAATTTTTTTTCATTCAAATGACAAAAACAAGCCAAAAACAATGGAATTAATATGAAGAAAAAAAATGATAAATGAATTTAATAGTTTTGAATTTTTTTAAATACTGAAATTCTTGAATGTTTTAATGAAATTATAAAAGTCGATTATTATCATCATAATCATTATCAAAAATAATTTTGATGATGAAAATCACCCACGTTATTTTGCCTTAAATTTTCTGTTATCTACACTCTTCAAACTTGATTTGACCAATCTAGTTTTGTCGGTCAAACTTGTAATGAATTATGGTCTCATTTTTTTTTCTCTTCTCTCATTCACTATATCCAATATGGTATGTCATGAAATGGCAAACAAACAAACGAAAAAATCGAATAAACAAACAACGAATGAATGATAAACGTAAACATAATTATTCAATAACAACAACAAAAAATTCATGAACGACCTATTCAAATTTATAGAAAAATTTGTAACAACAATTAAAAATAGACACCTACACACATCTATTTGATCAAAACAAGATATATGAAAACAGATCATTTTCATGATTTTATTGATCAATCTGTTCATTGATCTCGATTATGGCCATGAAATATAATATTTATATATTGAATAGAATTATGGGCGTATGTTGACAAATAAATTATTGTTTTGATTTAGATTTTTTTTAATGTTTTTCATTGATTATGATGATGATAATAATTGTTGTTTACCCTTATTTTGAAATGATTTTTGTGGCAAGAAAATCATCATATTGCCTCGACGACCCAAAAAAAAGATGAATATATCAATGTGTTTTGGATGTGACAATAAACAACAACAGAAAAAAAATTACCCACGAAGGAATAACTATGGCTATTTTTGAAAACAATCATTTTTTTAATTTCATCATTCGAATCGAATAAAATGAAGACATTAATTTAAATAGCATGTCACGATATAAATGTGGATTAAAATATAAATGGCCATGATTGAGAGAGAGAGAAAATTGAATAAATATTTTTCATTTCAAACAATAATTATTATGGATTCAGTTTTTTTTATCCAAATTGAAAATGAAAACTTTTTCATTAGCCAAAACAAAACAAAAAAAAAGAAAGAAATTCACGAAAATTGATCGATTTGATTGAAATTCTCAATACTTTTGATCCATATATTGTTTTCTTCAAATAAAACCATAATAACGAAAAAAAAATACTTTACAAACTAAACTTTAATAATAATGAAGACCCTTTAATATTATTTCAGTATCATTGTTGTTCGTCTCAATAACAAACATACACGATTCGATTCAATTCAATTCATTCATTTAAAAATAACAGCATCATACAATGATGCTAAATTCAGAAACATCCGAACAACAGCGAAAAAGTAGAAGAGAAAGGGAAAAATCAATGAAAATTACTGCAAGATAGTAATGATAATAATAATGAGGTCACGTGTTTATATTCGGATATCAATTTTTTCTTTGTTATTATTTAATCATTATCAATATTGACAACAACAACGAATTTTTTTCTCCATTAATATGATTGATTGATTGTTTTCGGATATGATCAAAAAAAAAATGCTACATTACCATGATGATGGCCATAATTATTATCAAATTTATTGATGATGAGCAGTGATGGTTGATATTTATGGCAGTGATTCGTTTTTTTTCTGGGAAAACACACACTCAGATAATATAAAATCAGATGACAAATCAACTATAACAAATAGATGTGACAGGTGATTTAAACTTTGTCGTGATATTTTTAAAAAAACAATCTAAATCAAAAAGAAAATTCAGATGATTTAGGCTAGTGATATGGATTAATGATGAAACAAAATTTTTCACAATTAAATCACAATATTTTATCAACAACAACAACAAAAAAAATCTTGATTAATTAATCAAATTCGATTGATATGAAGCTGCTCAATGACGATATTCAAATCGAAATATTAAAATATTGTCACATTATATCGGTGTTCAGAAACGCACACAACATGGATAACAACAGATTGTGATGATTCTTTGATTATAAAATATTTGGATAATAATATTGATGATGATGATGATGATACAAAATCATGATGATGTTTGGTTTTAATGTTTTGTCGATTGAATCTTTCATTTACTTTTTTTTCTTTTTCTTCTTTTTTTCAAATTCATGTAATGATCAACTTTTTTTTGGAAATGAAAGAGTATGTTCAATTTATGTGTGTGTGTGTACAGAGTGCCGTTTTACTAGTTTTTAAGTACGAAAAAAAAAATATAATCATTTTGTTATATATAACGGTGGCAAAATAATAATGTGGAGCAACATTAAACATCAGCATGGACATCGACTTTTGTCGACGATGATGATGATGACCAACAAGAACAGCATTCAACAACAACAACATTAGTTATAGTAACAGTTCTTAATAATGATGGCGGCCAATGAAATAGTATCAATAAGACTCAATGACAGCTTATTTTTAATGGAACACAACAACAGAAAAAAAAACAGAACAAGAACTAAAATATCGCGCCCAGCAAGTTAGACCAGAATACTTTTTTTTTATCGGATACATACGCTTGTTATACAATGAATGAATGACAACTGTATACATATCCACCATACAAACATTTTTCATTCATTCAGTTTGAAAAAAATAGAAATTTTTTAAAAATAATAAGAAAAAAAAACAACAATCCTGACAATGGTTATCCTCTTCAAATCCCTATCCTGTTCTTGTTTGCAATAGAAAAAAATACATGCCAATAACAACAACAGGTTCCAGCTCCGTTTGTAAACATGACAAAATAAAATGAAAGAAAATCTCTTCAAATTATATTTTTATTTTTTTTGTGTTCTGTTCTGTTTTCAATCATATCAAGAAGAAATCAAAATAGAGAGAACAGCTAAAATGAAACCGAATGAATTGAAAATTGGAATATTGGGTAAAGGAATGGCAAATAAATGATGATAATGAAGTGGAAGAAGTCATTACATTTGAAGATAGGACACAAACACATACACATAAGATCAGGTCTACAAACAATTTTTTTAGAAATTTCAATTTTATCATTCTGTTTTTGTGAAAAAAAGAGAAAATTTTTTCTTTTTCTCTTTTGGATACGAATCAGATCAATAGCAAAGAGTCAAAAGTTGTTTTTTTTCCTCACAGTGTTAAACGAACAAAAAAAAACAACAATCGACCAGAAATAAGATAATATTTCGATTTTGGATCATTTGATTCAATAGAGATGTTGATTGGTACCATCCATCAATAATAACCATGATTATTATGTCAAACATATAGTGATAGTTAACAAAATGAAAGTCAAACAAGACCAGATATTAATTGCAAATATAATTATTATTGCTAATTACAGTTATCAATCATTTACAATACTATTTGTTTTTAACAATTTTCAATTATCATAGAAATTCATTTGGAAAAAAATAAATTTTTCTTATTTTTCACCTTCGATCAGAAGAAAAATCCAGTAGGCAACATTTTTTGCAACATAAAAATGAAATCAAATAAATAATATCATCATCTACAGGATTTCCGTTATTCGTTTCATTTATAATGATAATAATAATAATCATGATGATGATGATGATGACAAAATAGACAAGATGAAATGATATATATTTTCCATTATTATCATCATTATCAACATCATCACGAACAACAAACAATTTTACAATAATAATAACGATCATTTACCCCGATTTTTCATTTATAGATTTTTTTTTTCAATCTCAATTTAGTCAATCATTTGTTCTGTTTACAATGATAATGATGATGATAGTGGTTAAATTTTTACTGTTGTTATTATTGCTGTTGTTTTTTTTGTCTACCTAAAACTTGTTTGAATGGATGTATCCATTATTATCGTGTTTCATTGTGTATTCCTTAGGGATTTTTTTCTTTAAAGTTAGATTTTTAGATAAAATAATTTCCGTTTTCGATTTCTAATTTTAAGCTCATTCGCCACAATGATGATGCTGATCAATAATAATTTAATCCATATGAAAAATGAAATAAAGAAATTCCCAATCGAATGATAAAATAATGAAGAAAAAAAATTTCTTTGGCTTATTTTCCATCAAATTTGTTTCGTTTCTCAATCTAATATTCGATGTTATCGTAATATTATGGTATGTAACATATATTCGGTCCAATCATTTACCAATCATCACCATAGAGCGTGTTTGATTTTTGATTGATCGAATGAATTATTATTATCATTTATTATGATGATATCAATTACCAAAAAGACTTTGTATTATGGAATTTGTTTTGAAAAAGTCTTATGATTATAATCGTCTCATAAAATTAATCATGAAAAAAAACTTTTTTTTTCTTGAAATTTCTAAAACTTTCTGACATCAAAATCAGAAAAAAAATTGTAAAAAATCCCAAGATTTTTGTTGTATTTGTTACTTTTCCTTCATCAATAAATCATTTCGATCCATTTCAATGTTTCAAATTGTTTGTTTAATGAACAATTAAAAATAAATCATTATTGGGAATTTATAATTTCAATAAATTGTTTGTTGTGATGATGATCATCAGTTAGATTTGCACGAACGATTTAACAACGGCAAAAAAAATTGTGATAAGATGCAACATCCAAATCTTGTAATCGAATAACTGGTTTCAATCGATTGATTATCGATCAAGATAGTAGATTCGGTATGATTTTTTTTTCCTTAGTTGTATGATTTCATCATCATAATCATAACGAAATTCATGTGAAATTTTTTCAACAACAACAACAAAAAAAACAATTCAATTTTTTTTTTTGCCCCGTCAGGAAGTTGATAAACATAGTTTGTATCGCTTCATTGTTTTTTCTTTTCCAAGTTATACCAAGTTATTACCGGGAAATTTCTTAATTACAAAAAACATTTCATGATGCGCTATGGTGACAAAAAAAACGAAACGAAACGAAAATGGAAATTTTGTTTTTTGTTCTTTATTAGACAATGATCAATAATTTTTATTTAGGACACATACCTTGACAAATAAAAATATAGGTTTCTCATATTTATTGTGTTTTCATTCGTTTTTTTTCAAAAAAATAACCATCTCCTGATTTAAAGTATTGTAAAGATGACAACAACATCATCAAAACAAAATCCTTGCCATTAGATTGCCGATAGAACATGAATAAGCAGAAAAATTAACATTATTGAACAGCAAACAAACAAAAAAAATCAAGGCTGATAGAAATTATATTGAAATAAAGAATGAATGTAATGTAAAACTAGTTCAAGTTCAAATCCGATTCTTTACAATACATCATATATAAATCGACAAAGAATATTATCGAAGAATTTGGTGTGTGTATATATAGCGAAAGATGGCCATGAAATTTCAACATCATCTTCAAAACCATTTTAACTTTATATTTGAAAAAAAAATTATATATAGCAAATGAATTGATATAGTTGTTAAACAACCATTTTGAATTTCTTATGAAAGGCTTTTTGTGTAACATGTATATAGATTTTTATATGAACTTGGAACCATTGAGTATGTACAAAATTGAATGCAGACAGCTGTAAAAGAATTCCATCTTCACACACACACACATACAAGAAAAAATGGCCTTGATAAACGAACAAGGTCAATAATAAAGAATATTCTATACAATCATAGAATACTAGTGGATACTATTATCAAGGTCAATTCCATGAACTTGGAGATTTTTTTTCCATTGCCCGAAACATCACTAAATGAAATTCTTCTATTATACTTTTGTGTGTGTGTGTGGGCGTCAAAATAATGGATATGATAATAAAACGAGAGAGAAAAACATCAACCAGATTTCAGGGCAAATTAAAAAAAACAAGATGAATAGAGAATTGGGAAAAAACCTTCACCTTGGAAATGAAATTTAGAGAATTGTATAAAAATTTCCAATGGATAGGAATACAGAAAAAAAAACAACAAAGATATTTTATAACATGCTCAAACAATTGTCTACTATTAGTGTGTAGTATGAATGGTTGTCATTTTTTATTATCATCAAAGCATACTACTTCCAAATTGTAACCATATCAAGAGTTCCATAACTTTGACAATACGAATGTTTGATGGTAGTCGTCGTAGCGATATTAGTGATGATGATGATGATGATGATGGCTAGTCGTGTATTCTGACAAATAGTATTGCCAAAACTAAAAGAAGAACCAAACAGCAACCAGATTTTCTTGGTATCTTATAATTCCATACTCCTACCTACCTTCGAAAACGAAAACGAAACAAAAAAAAACAGGATTTTCATTTCATTATCATTTCTTTAAAGATTTTGGATGATTTCATAATATTCCTATGCATTGTGTATCTATCTATTATATGGAAATGGTTCGGCACGATGATCGATCCACGCACCGAATTATTAAATGATGTTATTGATAATAATAATAGCGGTGGCCGCCATCTAACGACCTTCAATACCATAGAAATAAAAAGTTATTTATGTATGTTTTACACTTTCGCTCCAAACATTTATTAAACGCCATTATTATCATCATTAAAAATCATCATTCATTTATTCATCGAATAGTATCGTTTGATTTCTGTTTTCTGTCTTCTTATTGTTGACTATGGCTGTGTTTTTTTTCAAGTTTTTCTGCAACAACAAAAACTGTTAAAGAAAAAAAAGTAAATGAAAAAATTTTTACATTTTCATTTCAACGTCGGCGTCATTTTGTTTTTTTTTAATATTATAACTTCAAGCATCATCATCATCATCATGATTATGCTATACACGCATACCAATTCAACATATTACAAACAGATACATGCATGTATGCATTTGGTGTTGGATCCATTCAAAGCCGCTATCATTTTTTTTAGTTATATCTTTGACGCCATGACCACCACCACCACCACAACCACCACTGCAAACACCGACATCAAATTTTTCAAGTTCACCATTTATATATAATTATTATCATCATTATCATCATATCACATCGAAATATATCGATATTGCAACATGATTTAAAAAGACGATCAAGAAAAAAAAACTAAAACTAATCAAAAGTGTGATACATAGAAGAAGAGTGAGAGAGAGAGAGAGAGAAAGTTATCGATATATTTGTTCCATTTGAATTTTTGATTGGAATTTTTTTTTTATAAGTTTTGTTTTCGAAAAACAAAAAAAAATTCTCATTTCGAATTAAATGATTGACAACAACAACAAACGACGACAACAACTACAAAATGAAATTCAATCAATATTTGATCTGAATTGAACAAAACTTTTTTTTTCCTCCTTTTCTGTGTGTTTAATTTTTGTTCAAGTAAGTTGTTTTTTAACTTTCACAAATATATATTATTATATCGGTTTATGAAAATCAAACATTCAAGTGTGTTTAGGGTACAATCTTTCTGTCTGTCTGTGTGTGTGTGTGGTGTATATATAAAAACACGTCAACTTAATTTTTCTCATCATTTTTTTTCTTATTATTTATTATTATCATCGCTAAAATACCATACATTCACAAATTTTACTTATTAATCGTCATCATTTATAACAACAACAAAATCGTAAACGATTATACTGATGAAATATATCCTCAATACAACAAACCACCTACACATAACGAAAGTGACAATTGAAAAAAAAATATATTTGTTCATTCTAATAAAACAACACAACAATTTATCGAAATTTTTCATTCATCGTTAAAAAAATATCATCATCATTTTCATTGGTATAAATTTTTTTAATTGAATTGTTCTGAATTTCTGTGTGTGTGTATGAGTTGAATAAGTGAAAAAAAGCAATATAAAATATGACATTTTAGAAAAATAATTCAATTCATTTATTCCATAGGATTCGGTTATTCTGAGGAAAAGAAAATTTTGAAAAAAATAGGAAAATTTTTTTCATGATCATCGTCATATTGCTATCGTGAAACACACATTGCAACAAATTTTTTTTTTTTTTTTTTGTTAGAAATAATTGAAGAAGAAGAATATTCTCTTACATTCAATGTATGGTGTGATAAACATTCTTGAATTGTTATAAATTGAAACGTCATCATCGTTTATTATAGAAATCGTCGTTGTTGATAATAATCGTCGTCAATGATGACAAGTGGAAAATATATTTTGCTAATAATAAAGTTTCTTCTTTCAATTTTATTTTTGGTATTTGAGAATTTGTTTTCGTCTTAAACAATTGGAATTTTTGTTGTCAAATTTTACTTTGTTTGTGTGAAATTATTATTACAACATAGTAAACACATCACATGATTTTTTTTCACATATTTTTTAAACTTATTTGTTTTTTCTCAATCATTGAAAAAAACATCTTTCTTTATTACATCATTTTTATTTATTTTTTGATTTTGTTTTTCATTTTTTCTTTCTTCTTTACGACGAATGATTTTTGTTGAAAATAGCTAGGATTTTCCAAGAAAAAAAATCGACAATAATTCCCGAATGGAAGTTCTTATTTTTAATGTTTTCAATGCTGTTTACCAGGAGAATTTATCATTGCTCAAGGTTAGTAAAAATACAATATCCGGCTATTTAAACACAAACAATTGACGCAGGTGTTTATTGTCCGTGTTTTTTTATTCATTTTAAATATTAATAACATAACCTTGATTATTTTTCGGCTTATTTTTTGTTCAGGATTTGATTCGTCCTTTGACAAAAATCCAAATTCAAACAATAACATCGAGCAAATTTGAAGGTACAACATTGTTGTTGATCGCTGCACGACATGGCCATTATCATATTATCAAATATTTGATCGAACATTGTGATGTTGACATCGAACAGGTAAGATATTTTTCTTGTTATTGTTTATTTAATCAACTTTTGCTATTCAAATTTGAATTGTGATTAGGTTGGAAAAGTTGAATTCGATGGCGAAACTGTACATGATACGCCCCCATTATGGTGCGCTGCAGCCGCTGGAAATATTGATTGTGTCAAATTATTAATTGAACATGGTGCTAATGTCAATTGTACGACTTATACGAATTCCACTCCACTACGAGCTGCATGTTTTGATGGACATTTTGAAATTGTCAAGTATTTGGTGGAGAATGGTGCCGATATCGAAATAGCAAATAAACTTGGCCATACTTGTTTGATGATATCATGTTTTAAACGTCATTATAATATAGCCTCATATTTGATCGAACAAGGTTGTCAGATCAATAGACAAAGTATGAAAGGTATGTTGATGATGACTAAATGATTTTTTTCTTTATTCATTTATCAATAACAAAATTTTTAATTTGTTTATCTTGATTGACATTTTGAAGGCAACACTGCTCTACATGATTGTGCCGAATCCAATAGTATGGACATAATGAAATTATTGGTCAAAAATGGTGCCATTCCTAAACGTGATTGTTTTGGTTTAACACCATTAATGACAGCATGTATCAATGGCAACATTGAAATTTTCAATTATCTTAAATCGGTTTTCAATTGTACAATTGAAGAGGAAACGGATGCTTATCGATTATTGGGTGCAACATTTGTCGATAAACTATATAATATGAGAGAAGCATTAAAATATTGGAAACAGGCCGCATCATTGACGACAAAATGTAACAAAAAATATCTAGACAGTTTAATCAATAATAGTGAATCATATAAGAAAGCATACAACAATTCCACCGAATTTCGAACTCAAGAAGAGCTTGAAAATCTTTTATATGATCCTGAACTTATGAAGTATCAGGCAATGATGATTAGAGAACGTGTTCTAAGCATTCATCATCCAGATACTTATTATTTTATTCGAATTCATGGTGAATCGTTGGCCGAATCAGGCAAATATTCACGCTGTCTATCAATGTGGATGTACAATCTTGAGCAGCAACAAAATTATTCAAAACCATTGAACGATATTACGCAGAATAGTTTCCTATCGTTGATTGAATTATTTACATTGATTTGCAATAACAAAGAATCTGATTTAAACGCATGTGATATACTCAAAGTGTTAGAGATGGCCATCTCCCAAGTATTGATTTCGTGCAATATAACACCAAATAATGTTGCCGGTGGTAGAAACAGTCGTATTCAGTGTATATTCGACAATAAAGCTTTAGTTAAGGATGAACGTTTCATGTTCAACGGATTTCTTAACCCATTAGATCGTCAGTTCCTTATCGTTATTCATTTAATTGATTTTATGTGCCAATTCAAAACGAAAATGTCTCCAGATATTTGGATCGAGTTCCAGAAATTAATGCGTCGCTTCCTATCATGTGATCCTCGATCAGCAAATTCTCAATCATTATTGCACATCATATGCATATTATCTTCCGAAAATGAAACATTATCGACTAATGAAATTTCTTTTTTCAACGTATTCCAATTCATTGTTGACCTTTGTACAAATTTGAACATTGTAGACATTCGAGGCAATACAGCATTACATTTTCTGATGGACAGTGATCAAGTGAATCCTGAAATGGTTGAATATTTAGTAGATGCTGGTGCGCATATTGATCTCCGTAATGACAAAGGATTGACACCATTGGATTTACTTGATGATAAACCACAGAAACTGAAAAATCGTTGTCAAATTCAATATGTATCGCTTCAATGTTTATGCGCTCAAACCATCATCAAACACGGTATTCCGATTTCCGAAACAATACCAAAAGATTTACAAAATTTTATTAATGATCATCATCGTAAAGATTTCTTCAATACAATATTCACTTCTACAACTCCATCACGAAACAATTAATTCTGACTATTCATTATATCATCATATCTATATGAAAAGATCTTCGATATTTCTTCACATAACTAGATTTCACTATGTTTTTAACCATCATCATTCTAGTTTCATCCATTTCGAAACATGAAAAAAAATCTGTCTCGCACACATTTATTCAATGAATTTATTCTAATCATAATTGTTTAATCTTTTTTTTTGTGTTTTTTTTCAAAATTTAACAAATTATTATTGTTCGATCAAAATCTCTAATTGATTATTATTATTTTTTTAAATGTTGAATTTCTTTTTATCTTGTAATTTGTGATGAATTATTATTATTAATTAATTATTTTTTTTGTTTTGTTTAATTTGAAATTACAGTGTTTAAGTTTTTTTTTAAAAAAAACAAATTAATTACATAATTAATATATTAGATCTCTTTACCTTGCAACAAAAATCAATATACAGATTATATGAATGGAGAATTTTATCGTCTTTTTTCCTGTTTGTAACATTCGAAAGAATTCTCATCCAAAATATTTATTTTACTGTTTTTTTTTTCGATTTTTCATCCGTTTAAAAAAAGAAAGAAAGAAGTATGTTTTACAGATTTATTTCAATGAATGTTTTTATATTATTCAATGTTAAATTGAATATAAGGGTGTGATATTTATAAACAAAAAAAATGATACAATTTTTTTTTGATTCGCTGGGAAATAGGCGTTGAACGTCATGATTATTAATATTTGTTGAAGAATAATGAACGAAAATAAAATTCCATATTATTTCCTGTTATCATCATCATCATTTTTTTTCTCATTGAAAAACAACCAAATTATAAAAAAACGGTTCATTGTTATCTATTTCCTTTGCTTTTTTTCGAAAAAAATGTTCTATTTTTTTTTGCATCTTCAAATGAATAATACAAAACATTTATGCTACAAATGTAGAATGATACTAGAATGAAATGAATGAATGATTTTGATGAAATAAAAGATAAATATAGCAACAAACAAAACAAAACAAAACGAAAATTCACATCTCAATCGATACCTGTCCACTTTTTTTTTCTTTGATTACAATTATGATCATTTCCGATGTTGGTTGATAAAATAATTTTTTTTCTCTAAATTTTCATTCAATAAATTTATGATATACGAATCGGAAAAGGGCGAACCATTTTGTGTTTGTCATCATCATCATCATCATCATTAGAAGAGTTCATCAACAAACATGAACACAAGGTGCAGTTTGTGTGTGTGTGTGCAATTGTTTCGCGCGAATACACGAGCAACAGACACATTACCTGCCCAAAAATTACCGTTGCCCTAGACCTAGTTCTTCATTCGAAATAAATTATGTTGTTTTGAAGATTGGGTATGGTTTTTTTACCTAGCCATAAGGCTCTTTCATCATATATGGAAAATAAGCAAAAAAAGGTGACATTTGGTGTTCGACATGATTGGTGTTGCTGTAGCCAGCTTGCAAAGTCAAATGGAACAAACCAAACTGACAATAGCGCAGCTGTCCTTTGCGATTTATGCCGAGCTTGATGAATATTATGATGATGATGATGATCTTTAGGAGAAAAAAAAACATCATACCAGACCACATCATGGTGATCATGATGATGACCTTTTCCTCTTTACTCTCATTCATTCTTTAAAACATGGAACACACGTGCCAAACGCGTGCCAAACAAAAAACACACTTATCGATAATGTTATTTTCCGCTCTAATTTCATGTCTGACAAAATGGCGAAGTTTTTTTAGTTTAGTTTAGTTTCAACCAAAAGATCTAACAAAAGAACAACAATTGAAGATATACACGAATACGAAATAGACCAAATAAACAAACTTGAACTTCATAATATCATTGTTGTTGTTGTTGACAGACAAATATTTTTTTTTTTTTTTTGAAGTTAGACGACAATAAATTGAAACCATAGACCTAGTATCTGATAAAATGTGGCAAGAACATCCGTTCGATCCAGATGTCTGTTGGATTGTTGTTTGATGTTTGGTTGTTACATCTTAAGATGTAAAAGATGACATGAAAGATTTATTTATCTTTCATCCAAATTAAGTAAATGATTTCCTGGCTTGAATTTTTTCTGGCTTTATCGGGTCAGTCGTTTGTATCAAATCATTTTGAAAAGTATCATCTTTTTTTTTCTTCAGTAATACTTTTGTGGAACAAAATTTTTTCCCATTTCCAACAAACCATATGTGTGTGGTTTATTTATTTATTTTTTTTTCTCGCTGTGTTAATTCTAGACATTTTTAACTTCATGTCATAATGACACTGATGATGATGATGATAAGATGACAATTCACTTTATTGTCATAATTATCATCTGGAATTTAATTGCATAACCATTATCTTTTGCAATGTTTTTTTTTACATACAATTGTTCAACTTTACCAGTTTGTCAAGTAATGAGAAAGTGAATAGAAAAAACATTTTACTCTTTTTTTTTCTTTTCATTGTTTGTCGTTTTATATTGTATGACACTATCTATGAAAATCCTGGATGAAAATTGAACATGGCCTTTTCGACATGTTCTGATTAATTTTTGAAAATTTTCTTTAAAATTCATTCATGAATATATCATTTACCTAAACATTTTCAATCGGATCTAAAGTTTATTTCTTGAAAAAATTTCCGTTTTTTTACGGCATCATTATTCTCATCATCATCATTATTATTTATAGAATCTGAGCAAAATGAATAAAAACAAAATAGAGAATCCGGATTCTTTGCTAAGATCATCATGACTAACGAGAACTATTCCAGATGTTTTATTTTATGTTTCTTTTTCTTCTTAATTCCATCGTCATCATCCTTGTTTTTATTTTTCGAAAGAATTCATGAATAATGATGATGGATAACAAGGAGGATTTTCTTTTTTCTTTTCTTGAAATTTTCAAAATAAAATAAAACGAATTTCACATGAATGAATGGAAGTTCTTTTTTTATTGTCATCCAGATTTTTGAATTTTTTCTTCTTGTCACAATGTGGAATGAGAATCCTGTTCTATTCGGTTGTTGAATTAGTGGAAAAAAATGTGGGCGACACAGGATGTTGTCATTTTTCAACACACAAACACATACACATAGATAGCAGGATGTTTATATGCTTCAATTATATTCAATTATTTGAATTGATTGACAGTAACAACAAGATTATATAATGATGATGATGATGTCGGTTCTGATTCAAAGAGCCTGATTCAAAATTTTTGACATTTCTCAAGAATACGTTCCGAATAAAAGCATAATGTTTCAATTGATTTTTGTTTCAACGTTCAAAAATATTCAAAATTATAATAATAATTTTTGTTTAATTGAAAATATAAAATTAATAAGACAGACACCACTATTATTCATTCATTCATTCACTATTATAAAATGAAATGAATCTTGATATTAAAAAAAATGATTCTATAAATAAATTTTTCTTCTTTTTTTTGATATTAACTCATCATCATTAACATGGCTGTCACATATGTGTCTGTGTGACATTATATAACACACACACACACACACACTCGAATAATGATAATGATAATTATAAAGATAATCATAGAGATATTTTAAAAAAAATCCAAAATAAAAAAAAATTATCTTTCATTATTTCATTTTTCTCTTTTAATAATACAATAATAATGTTCATGGTAGATGATAATGATAATGGTGATGATAGTAGTGGGTGTCATTAAATATTTATATATTTAAAAAAAATTGTCCATGGTGTTTATAATCGGATTAAAACAAAAACAAAATGAAAAATTATTTTGTTTGACCCAAAAAAAACGAAACAATTTCAAATTGTTACTTTGAAAATGAACAAGAAACGACCAAGATTTTTGAAATTTCAAATTAACAACAATAATTCAAATTATGAATAAGTTTTTAGTCATTTTGATTGATGATTCCATCATAATCATTTTTTCCACTATGCAACAAGTTGTTGTTGTTACTATTATTTCATTTATCACAGTTACAACAAAAATTGTCACCTTTTTGTTCATTGCAAACATCCATTGTAAAAGTAATCTAATTTAATTATGTTGCTACAAAACAAAATAATTTAGTTTTTCTAAAAACGAATATGAATTGTTTATGAATGAATTTCACCTGTTTAATTTATCAATCAAACCTTCCTTTTTTTTCATTTTGCAATAATAAATGTTGATGTTGATGTGTATGTAACCGTCATTCAGAATATTGATATTTGATAAAATTAATAAACAACATTCCGAACAATGTTTTCAGGGCGAGGATGCTAAAACACAGACACACACACAAGCATGAAAAATGGTTAGGCAAAGTTTTTTGTGCTTGGATAAATATCAATGAAGAATCGATTCGATATTTGACATTTAAAAAATGTCATTTCGAAAAATCATCATACAGCAACAGGAAGGCGTGTCTATATTTTTGTTTCGTAGAAAAAAACCCCTGAAAAAATAACATCGAAATTAACGATGACAACGGAAAACGGTCGTTTTTTTTCATTCGTATTTTTTTCATTTATTGACAAGTTGGTTTCTCTCGTTGTGTTTTTGTTGTTTACGCGCGCAAGCTAGACCTCTCTTTCGCTATTTCATTCTCTCCTGGTACTTCTCCGTTTCCAGCTAGACCAACTGTTTCTCTCATTCTCACACACACATTATGGATAACAAAATCCAACAAACTTTTTTTTTAACAAAAAACAGCCGATGAAAGCGCAATTTTTTTTTAATTTTTATTTTTAGTTGATCGTCGTCAGATCGGTCGACATCAATACGATACTATAGTCATCATCATCATCATATAAAGTGGATATTCGAAAATGTTCAAATTTCAGCTGCTCCCACGGTATTAAAAACTTGAAATAAAAAACTTTTAGGCAAAAGTGTTTCTGGTCTTTTTTCTTCTTCTGCTATCTGTCTATGTGTGTATGTTATCCTGTTATTTTGTGCATATAAATATGCATTCACATCATCGTCTCTTTTTTTTCAGATTACGGACAACATTTATTATATAACATGGTGATGAAGATCAAATCTAATGGCGCGCAATAATATTTAAACATATAAACAAAAAACAACATTCAAACAAACAAGATTCAAGAAAACCATTATCATTATCATCAAACATTATTGCCCGTTTAACCATTATCATTGTGCTTGATTTTATTTAGTTAGTGGTTTGATATTGGTGATGGTTTTTTGCTATTTGTGTATGTGTTGTTGTTGTCTGTTCACATCAGAAATTTTTTTTTATTATCGCTTAAAATTTTCGTTTCAAAAAACAATTTCATTTCATTTCATTCATTCATACATTTATCCTTTTTGCAATCATTCGTATGGAACGCGAAACAAAAATTTTTCAAATGAAACGGTTTTTTGAATTGAAAAAAATGGCATGGTAACGTGTTTGTCTTGTGTGTGTGTGTGTGTGTGATTAACGTGAAAAGATACACATGCACACACCACATATAACCGATTTTCAAAAAAATCATTCACTTTTGATATACACAACAACTACAATACAACGGTAAGTCGGTAAAATGAAATTTATTTGAAAACAAAACAAAATCAGGTAACCTTATTCGGGTTTCTGTGTGTATTGTGTGTTTTCGTCTATTTTAAACTGATTGCAACTTGTTTCGGCAAAGTTTTCATTTTGTGTGTACACAATCCCGAGAAACAGAAAAATTGCAAAAATTACGCGCCAATTTCATGGAAAAAAGTAAAAGAAAAAGAAATTCATTTTTTTTCTTCTCAAAAATATTCAACAAGAAAATCAAAACAATGATCTCAATTGATAAATTTTATCATCATTATCGATCGTTTTGTTCATTGATCAATCATCATCATCAATGGCCATTGTGTTTTGCGAAATATTTAACAACAACAACAACAACATCAGGAAACAAAAAAAAAATGAACCGAATCAAATCTAAATATCAATAACAACGACCACAATAAGCAAAACACTAACATCAATTTCACATGGTGTGTGTGTGTGTGAAACAATCCACCTACTTGAATACATTTTTTCGATTCTCGATTGTATCTTTTTTTAATTTTTTTCTTGCAGCCATCAATGTCAAAAATAAATCATTATTAAAATTGTCATTGAATTTCGTTGTTGTATAGTTATTATGTACATGTATAGTAGTTGATGTGTTGATTTTAATTTTCATCATCATCATCATCGTCACTACCTGAATTCATCAAAATTTTTGATGAAAATTTGTTGATTGTTGTTTCTCAAAAAAATAATAATACGTTTTTGTGTGAATACTAACTTTTTCAATATTTGATTTCAATCATATTTTTCAGGTAAGCGGTTAATTTTATTATTATCAAATTTTTTCATAAAGAGAGAGATTCTTATCCCAAAAAATTCTTTTTTCTTTGATCAATTTTTTCACCCAAAATCGTTTAGTTAAAGTTGTTGTTGTATAGTCGTCATTTGTTCAATTCAATATTTATAACCATCATAGAAATAGAATGTTGTTGCTAGTTTATTTAGTTTGTCTAAGGTAAACATCACAATCAAGGTCTGTTTTTACGTTGATTTTTTATTTATTTATTTATTTTCATTTTTACCACCACCACCATCATTATCATCATTATTATCATCGGGCGGTGTGAACAACTTTCATATAAATGGAAATTAAACACACCAAACATTCCTTTCGTTACCAAATTGCCATTGACCTTCGTTGTTTGTCAATTTTTTCCCCTTTCTATCTCTCTTTCTATTCCCTTTAAATGATTTTTGTCTGTTGATCGGGTTGAATACGAAAGTATTTGATATTTGTTTTTTTACTAATTTTTTTTTATTTAATAAATCTTCAAAAAGCAAAACAGAAAAATCAACATTCAAGTTTTGGTCAATGAATTTTTCGCTGTTGTTGTTGTTTTTCCAATCGAAAATGAATTTTGCAAGAATATTTTAATAAAATTTTCATGATCAAAGTTTTTTCTTCGGTATTTGTGAATCTAATTCTTTACTTTTGAAATATTTATGAATGGAATGCATCGAAAAACAAATCGAAACAAAGTTAAATTCAAGAAGCAAATCAAAACATTATCCCGTTGAATGCTAATCAGATTATTGACTAGAAAAAAATCATCAATAATTCTTTCAAATGATCAAACCGAAATAAAAGTTTATTTTTAATTCCAAAATAAATTTGAAATAAGGTATAGTCAACACATAAACCGAAAGATATAAAATTCAATGATTATGATGAGAATAGTTTTTTTAAAATTTCTTTGTCTGATTAAATTTTCTTCATTTATTTTGTTGTTGTTGTTGTTGATGATAAATCTTAAAATAACAGTTTGTGAATTGAAAACAACCGACTACGACAAAAATGTCCCATCAAATGGACGAATGAAAAGAAGATCTTCAGATGTCATTTTTTGAAACACGAATGGAAAACATTCAATTTTTCTTTTTTCTTTCATGTGGTTATTCGTTTCTGTCATCGTAATCATACTGAATAATCTTGGTTTATTGTTTTCGTTTAGTTTTTTTGTTGTCTAATTTATGATTATTGTATTTTTAGTCTTTGGGTTTGGGTTTCATCATCATTGTCATTCTGATTGGATTTTTTTTTTGTTTTCTGAATTCAAATAAGTTTTTTTTGTTGAAAAATTTTCTCAAATAATTTTCTAATCTCATTTCAATTATCATCATTGGATTTCCATTGTTTTTATAAATTATTTTTAATCAAATTTTCTTTTCCTTTTGTTTTTATTTTTTTGCATCCATATGTAGAAAACAACACTTTACTGATGAAATAAAAGATAGAAACAGATATGGCAAAAGGAAATCGTACAATGGTTAATATTGATCAAACATTTTTAACCAATAAATATCCGTTTAATGAATCTTCATTATCATCTTTGTCTAGTCATCCTCAACAACAACATCATCATCATCATCATCATCAAATTATTACTTCCGATAAATATAATAAACAATTTCGATATAATATTAATGAACAATCGATTGATGGTGTCGATGATCTTACGAATGAATCGTATTTACAATCAATGCAACAACAACAACAAAAACAACAAGATTCAACATTAATGGCTAATAAATTATCGGTCAGTTCATTGCCAATTCGAAATGGCATCAACTATAGCAGTATGAATGGAACGAAATTTCGAAAATATCAAAGCGATCTACAGTCAAAAATGAACATCACAAAAATGCCACAATTGTTGACAAACAAAGCCGAAATAACATCATTGAATGAATCTCCACAATCAAACAAATCAACAGCGGTGACACTTGTTGTACCAACATCAATATCGCCTTCATCATCATCATCATCACAAGTTCAAATGACTTCGGGGCAGATTTCGAACACATCAAATCAGACAGCCACAACATCGGTATCATTACCATCGGTATCGGCTACAGTTGGACAACGACAAAATCATGGAAAAAATTATCAAACAAATATTTCTTTAGCAATGATGACGCCAAATAACCTGATTGCTGGTAATCAACAACATCAATTTCCTCATAGTCAACATTCTCATCAAAAACATCATAATCAACAACAACAACAACATCAGCTTCATTCACAACAAAATAAACAACAGCAACCATTGCTCAATAGTTTATCGATGTTGGAATCATCATCATCATCAATACTTCATCATCAACAACAACAGCAGCATCAACCAACAGTAGCTAGTCAACAAATGATTAATAATAATAACGGAAGTCATCATCCTCATCATCATCATCATAATCATCATCAATATTACGAACCATCACCGATAATGTCAACCGGTGTAAATGATCATCTTATCCATACGAAATCGAATCCAAATCATAATCAATTATTATTACCAACATCTTCTTCATCATCGATATTTTGTACCGGAAATTTTTATCGTTTAAACGGTATCGGTGAATTATTGGCATCATTAGCTTTAATGTGTATACTATCATTATTGATGGCATTTTTAGCATTATCATTTATTCAAAGATCATATTCAATTTCACAATTATCTGCCAACACTGCCAATATGATGATACCAAATGAACAATTAATAAATAACAATAATAATAATTCATTACATTCAAAACATTCAAAATTATTTCATACAACCAATATTAACAATAATGATGGACAATTTAATCAAAAAATTGTTGCCAATGCAAAAGAATATGTAAAAGTATTTCAAATTTCGGTATCATTAAGTACATTGACTATTGCATTAGATCTTTGCTGTTTATTCGTATGTTGTATACAATTTTTATCCATTATTAAATTATTGAAAACACCGTTTGGAGTTCGAAGGTCAGTATGTCTGTGTTGAAACAAAAAAATAATGATAATAATAATTAACAAATTTATTTTGTCTATAACCGAATCAAGTCAATAAACTCATTTTTATTTTTCGTTAATCAAAAAAAAAAACAGATCATTCGAATTCATTCGGAAAACATCACATATACGAATCATTTCGATTGGTGCATTTCTTGTTTCGATACCAATCTTTTTCACTGGTAAGTTTCTTTTTAATCATTGTTTATAATTTATAATCTAAATTGTATTCTCATGTTTTTTGTTGTTGTTGTTGTTGTCGATAGGTGTAATTCTTTATACATTTGTTAATTTTGATGAAATACCTGCATTAATAACTTCGATTATAATTGGAATCGGTATAATATTCTGTGGTATTGCATCCGTTCAAAATGTTTACCTTTGGCAGGTAGGTCTTATTGTTTTGTTTTTAATCAATCAGATTAAAATCCACCATTTTCTCTTTTGTGTTTCACAAATAGTGGGAAAAAACTAAAGCCAGTCAAGAGATGCAACAATTCTATCATCAACAACAACAACAACAACCACAATCACAACAGCAGCAGCAAAATCTTCAACAACAACAACAATCCTCATTTGTTTATGAAAATGGACAATTAAACAATACGAATAATTTATCATCGACATCATATCAGCAAGCCGAATTATCGACATTAGTATGATTATTATTGTTGAAAAGCAAACAAACAAAAAAAAATTTAGTCATTATTGTTGTTGATTTCCATTAAAATTTATCGAATCTTTTAAAAACCATTCTTACACGTACACAGAATTTTCGAAATCAATTCTTTTTTTTTGAAAAATTTTTATATAAAAAAACATCAGCGTTTATTTGTTATATCATTACAAATATAATTTACAAATTACACAATACAATTCGTATGTTTGAAAGTGTGTATGAAAAAAAAATTTACAATTAAAAAAATGTTTTTTTTCAATTACGTAATTGATTATTATTTGGTCAGATATGAGGTGATTTGTGAAAAACAAGTGGAAAGGATTTGTTCACTTTTCAAATCTTACTATTTACTATACAGTTGTTTATTTGATAAAAATCAATCATCAAAGCAAGATTCGGTATAATGTCGATATGAAATGCATTCAATATCCCGATGATATTCATCAATCAGTCAAATTAATTATCAAAAATCAAATTGAAATTTAAAATCAACACTATAAAAACTGTTAATTATTATTTTTGACGAAAAAAATGTTAATAATTAGTTCAAATTATAGTTTACAAAATAAAATTAAAAATTATTGTGTTAGACATTGTGGTTATGTTGTCATTATAGTAAATTTTTTTAAAAAAAGTTTACACATAAGTAATGCTATAAACATCATGAACGTAGCCGGAAACAAAAACTTATTCTGATTGATATTTGTGTGTTTGTAATGTGCTATATATCGGTTGTATTAAAATTATAATTAGTTAGAAAAATAAGCAATTCCTATTGATTAAATATCATAGGTGTTTTCTGGTCACAATAATATATATGTGTGTGTGTATGTTTTGTGTATTTGCTACAGAAAATCATTAATTTTACATAAAAGATTGATGATGATAATGATTTAAAAAATAATGATGATAAAAAATGATTATTTACAATAATGAAAAAGATGTGAAAAGAAAAATACAATCAAACACTCAAGAAAAAAAAGAACAAACAAAATCGATCCCAATCAAGTTGAGTCAATCAATCTTTTTTTTGATTAGGCATTTGTATATTATCATGTAGATAAAAAAAACGTCACGAAAAAGATGTGTGTGCGAGTAATTTAATGGAATTTACAATATATAAAAAAAATCACAAAAGTGAAAAATATGATAATAATGACAATGTAGGGAGTGAAATATAAATCGGGTCAAAATGGTGAATGATGATCATGAATACAAAAATATTCATCAAGAATTAAGTTACTCGAGATTCTATCCAAAGGCTTGATGATTATTATGATAAACGTCGAAATAAAACAAATGACCATGTTATTCCGGCAGCCCGATGATTATTGTCATTAAATTCAGCATGAATGAATAATTATTATGATGTGAAAGAATCTTCAAGGCCATATTCCAAATAAATCATTTCGAAATTTTTATGGGAAAAAAATAGTAAAAAGCGTTCGAAATATCAATTAGCTCATATTCATAATGTTAATGTTTTTGCCGTTTTAATGATCGGTTTGTTGTTTTGACGGCAAAACATTATCGTCATTTGGGTGTGAATTGATGAACAGTATTAGTAGGTACCGTATGATTGACAATCATTGCTATGGCAAAATGAAATTGTATTTTTAGCAAAAAACAAAAAAAAATGAATACATGAAAACAACAAATTTCAATTGTCTACTTACCACTGTACGGATCGAATATTGGATATCCAATGGCCGATGTATGTAATGAATGTCTAGGTGGCAACGGTGGTGGATGCATTGATGGAATATGACTACGTTCAGGTCCTGAAGGTATCGATGATGATGATGATGATGATTGAGAAAGGGGTGGAACACCGGTTAAATGATTGTTAGCAAGGAATTCAGATGATTTGTTTGGCGATGATTTATGATAAATCGATGTAGTTGAAGTTGATGGAGTTGTTGATAATGATGATGATGATAAAGGCAATGATGAAGATGATGGAACACATACGGAGCTCGATGCAATTGTTGAAAATATCTTTGGATTGTGACTATTGAATGGTGAAGATGATGGCGATAATGAATAGCTTAGCTTGTTAGATGTCGATGATGAATGAGGCGGTAATGTTGATGATGTTGATATTGTTGAATTTCTTGACACGTTCGGAACACTGCCGGGCATACACGGAAGACCATCCAATGGATTCATTGGATGTGATGGAAATCTCATTTGTGAATGTAAAAATTGTGATGAACCGGATGGTGTTTGAGATGGACCATAAGGTGGTCCCATGACCATCGGATTCATCGAATTAGGACCAACACCGCTACGAAACATTGCATCGAATGGTGATGGTCCACCGAATGATGGTGGCAAAAATGAGGGACTGTAATAATAACCATTAGTGATGGGTGGTGGTCCGGTACTTTCCATGGTGGGTTTTATTCCTTCATCATGTTTACTTGTTTTATTGGATGAATCCTTTGTTGATTGCTGATGATGGCTATTACTGTCGTCTTTATGATCTTTGGATTTAATTTTTGTCTGTGTCGATGAATATTTTCCAACTTTATCTTTTAATCTACTTTCCATGTCAAATGATGAAAATTTCGGATGTTGGGATGGTTGCAGCGGCGGCGGTGGCTGTGATAAAGAAGGCTGTTTGGGCAAATGTTCACTATATGGGATAACATTATTGCCTGGTTGTTGATCAAATGAATATTGTATTCGATTCTTTAGATTTTGAAGTTCAGCAATAGCAGAACCAGGGGCACCACTAGTTATTGAATTATCTTTAGTTTCATTATCAGATTTAATATTTCCACAGTCATTGTTATTCGATGATGATCCACCAAATCCACGCCCAGAATATAAAGAGGGCGGATACGGTGAGAATGGTTGACGAGAATCAGAAGTGATTGAATTATCTTTATTATCTTCTTTATTATTGAGATCATTGTTATTGGATTTTTGTTCCGAAGAATCAGTCTGATGATTTGGTGGAATAAGAAATTGAGATTTATTGAAAAAGTGATGCGGTAATGGTGATGACGTGACAGAGTTAGAACTGCCACCAAGTGGATTGAATTGATTAGTAGAAATCTTTTTCGATCCATTAGTGTCGATAGATGAATCCTGGCTTTTTGGTGTCACTTTTGATTCGGATGAAGAAGACGTGGAAGCAACACCAACAACACCACCACTTCCGCTGTTACTGTCATTATTATTACTATTATCATCAGAGATATCTGAAAATGCTGGACTAGCAACGGGCTTATCATCAACCATTTCACAATTGTTCTTTCCAAGATCACTGTCACTGGCAACATCACTTTGATCAATATTCTTTGAATCAATCGATTCTGTAACAATTTTATGCTGAGATGATGAAGCCGAATGGGATGATTTGTTACAATCATCGACTAGTGTCGCATCATCGTTGGTACCATTACTGTTTTTCAATTCTGATGATTGATCGGGCGTTTCATTTTGTTGAGAATCAGATTTCTTTATCGGAGAATCAGAATCATTGTTATCACTGTCGGAAACATCGCCACCTTTAATCGGTGTTGTTTCATCTGTGTTTGATGTGGGATCGTTGGTTTGAGAATCATTGAATTCTTGAGTATCACTAACGGTAAACGTGCTGCCAAAATGAGCATGTGATTGATGATACTTGAGGCCATTGATATGACGATATTTTTTTGAACAATTAGGCTCAGGACATTCAATCAATGCCGGTGAATTTGGTTGTCCAGAATCGCAATTAATATTGGAAATTTTGTTACGTTTTCCGTTTCCACTCATAGCATTATCATCGCCAATAGCTAAATCTAATTCACTAGGTCGACCTTTACGTTTGTTATTTGACGATGATGATGATGATAATGATGAGTTAATTGCGGAATCACTTTTGGCCGGACTTGAAGGAACATAACCTGAATTTGCTGTACGGCGACCTTTTCCATTTCTAAGCTTACTAGTAACTGATCTTGTGTCGATCGAATTTTCTGCAATAAAACTATTTCGGGCTCGTTTTCCACGGGTATTTTTCAAGGATTTTGATTCAATATCACTTGTAGGTGATTCACAAAACCTGGGTGGTGCCCAATCATGTTTAGTACAATCCAACAGAGTTCCAACATAGGTTTTGCCACGCCAAGTTATATTCACAACCAAAACACCTATACAGAAAAACAAAACAAAAATTCTAATGATAAGAAGAAATGTAATGTAATTTGTTGAATACCATTCTCTGTTTCTTGCCAAACAATTCCTTCAAGCGTAACACTAGTACCAGGTTCACATGGTCCAAGACAATCCGGTTCGGTTATAGTAGCAATACTGGTCATAGTACCAGAATCCACTCGATCAGCAATATTTTCATCAACCTTTTTTGAAACAAACCATTTTCGAAAAATTTCATAAATAAATCAATAAAACAAACCTTTTCAGTCGTTTGTTGAATTTGATTGATCACAGTTGAATTTGTAAATTTAAGCGTTGATCCAGATGATGATAATGATGAAGATGCATTCACATTAGATAAAGTTGATGACGATGACGACGATGACGATGATGATGATGCTAAATATTTGGTAAAAGAAAAAGATTTAGTTTGAATTTTTCGAAAAATTTCTATTCAATCGCAAACCTAATAATTCATCATTTTGATCATTGATCAGTGTTGATTGTTGTTGTTGATGATGAACCGGATTATTATTTGCAGTCGCAATTGAAAAGTTATTATTATTGGTGGTTGTACTATTAACCTTATCTCGATTTGATTTATTATTAATATCTTTATGTGAATGATGATGATGATGATGGTGGTGATGGTGATGATGATCTTTCTTTTCACGATGTCCAATATTTTTCATTTTACTTGTTGATAATGATGATGATGATGATGATGACTTAGAATCCAATGTTGATCCAGAACTATTAGCAGTTGTTGATAAACCAGCATTTGAATTCAAAGTAATTATATCATCTTTATTTTTATTTGTTGATGAAGATTCACAAACATCTTTTTTATTATTATTGATGATCACAGAATTATTATGTTGATGATGATTTGAATCATTTATATTCTTCGCTGTTGTAGTTGTTGTTGATGATGTTGATGTTGTTGTGGGATTATTTAAAGAGATATGTG